GGAATTCTAGAGAATACCCCGATTGACTGACTGGACTGACTGAATGAATAATATCACTATTTCAGTGTAACTGTGTTATGTTACTATGTAAGAAACAGTCCGTGTAGTAGGTATGTATAGAAGTAATATCAGCCTAGCGCGGCTGTATCGCTTATTGCTTCACAATTAATGACTCTAGTTTTCTTTTTCTGTGGTTCTTTAAAAGGTGTTTGCTTTGCTTCATTGCTTGTTTGTGGCGGTGATGGTAGGGAGTGACTAACTAGCCCACCAATTAATTACCCTAGTACTCCGTTACTCCGTGGTTAACTAGTTAGCTACTTAATTACTTAGGTATGAATGCCCTGCCAGGCTGCCTGCTCAGCCTCATTTCATGGCCTTTACTTAGGTAGAGGTGTGGCTATGTAAGACACATTGCAGATCTATCTATCTAGTTACTTTCCTTTCCTACTGTCTGCTTTTCGAGTTGCTAACTAACTAACTAGTAACTATGGGGTAAATTGCACTGCACTGCACTTTAGCTCATCTTCTCTTTCCTTTCATATCCTTGTATCCAAAAAGCACTGCAGTACCCCGGCTGTGCTACTTAATTATTTATTTATAGAACATTCACACTTAACTTACTCTACTCCAGTTTCGCTAACAGTTCCGTTCCCACGCTCCCTCCCCCCTAAAATAGATCATTACTCGGCGGTAAGGATCATCATTGTTTATCGGCTATCCCGGTAGGAGGCATCCGGATCAACGAACGCATGTAGAGCGTTTTGGCTTGTGGACTAGGGGAGGGGGGGGATTGGATGGTCATTCTATTTTTTGTATGTAGATTACTTTATGTATGAGGGGGTGGTGGTGCTGATGAGACAGGGGTAAAGCAAACCAGGAGGGTCCTGGCACGTTTCAGCTGGGTAAGTAACTACTACTCGTAGTAGTAGTCTAGCTATGTATGGATTGGTTGGTTGGCTGGCTCGAGAGCTTGAGCATTGGGATTGTTTCACTGCAGATACAGTCGAGGAAAATAGGTGCTTGCTTGCTTGCTTGCTTACTGATTATGTTACTTGGGTAGATAAGTTGACTCAGTATCTTAGGGGAAAGGGGGTAAGATAGGTACATTACAATAGTAGTAGATAACTAACTAATTAGTTTCGAGGATGGATGTGGATATGGGTGGATGTGTGGGGATCGAATCGAGTTCGAGTCTTGTCTTGTCCTTTTGATCCCTTTTTATTTCCCTTCTTCTTGATATTGATTCTCCTGTTTGGAGTGTACATGATTTATTATTGTGAGGGGCTCTGCTTACTTACCAGGTAGTTAGTTAGCTAACTGACTAGCTAGCTAGCACATTTATTCTTAGTAGGTGCTAGTAAGCACAGCAACCTGGTAACTACTAGTAGGTATGTGATGCTGTGTCGATGATGTGCTGGCAATGGCTGGCTCCATTGTCAGTCCCCGTATTAGACGTATTGTAATATACTAGAGTAAGTACGTAAGTTGTGAAATACGCATACCGTATTCATTCTGCTTCCTTCCCCTCGCATGAAATCAGGCCCACCAATGATCAATTTCCCAGCCAGCCATCATCCCTCCAGCATTTCCCGTTCGGGCGGGAACTTCACATCTGAACTTACACAGTCAGTCCGTGTATGCCTATTCCAGTAGGCTGGGGTGATAGAAAGGGAAAATGAAGTTCGGTTACTTGGTTAGTCATATTTGGGGGTTGCATTCCAGATGGGTTAGATGCATCCTGCTGAGTGACGGTGTCATTCTGACCTTCTGTGTCTGAGGGTCTACATAGACTACATCCTTATGTAAACTCGCTGGCTGCTACTAAATTATATCATGAAAATGAGATACCTGGATAATGAGGGGATAGCAGTATACTGCTGTTGAAGGTGATCAGATATCCCATTACGTCACCGACATCCAGTGCACACAAAACAGGTGTAAAGTAAGTCAGAGAGGGAACTGGGAATGATTGAGGGCAAGCCACAGCAGCTGCATGCTGCTGCTGCTCCTCTGGCTAGTGTGTCTGTTACGCCTCGTAGTAACTCCGACAGAGTAATGCAGGGCCCATTCCCTGTGACGGTCTAAGCGGCAGTGGCAAATGCTGGACACTTACTGTCACGGAGTATCCGTATACTTACTTGGTTTAATGGAGCTGATAGTACTACTCCATTCTGATTAGTAGTTGGTAGTGCAGTGCTTGCTTGCCTGCCTTACTGCAAAGTCATCCTATCGTATCGATATGTCTAGCTTCAACCAGAGAGTGACTCGATGTCGAGGCGGCCTTCAGTTTCCACTTCCACATCCACTCGCCGGGGCTCAAAACACGTGGAAACGCCTCGCCAATCATCAACACGAGTTCAGGCTGCCCGGTTGCCCAGCGCGCGCGCGCAGGCGTGTGTATAGCAGATACTCGAATACACACATCCACCTTACCTAACATGCATGACACTGAATGCCCAAGTCATGCTGATGCAGTCGTTTGTCTACAGGGTGTTAGTTGCGCCCGCTTTGAGCTGCTGGCGCGATTGATACTTGTTATTCTCCTTTTCTTTTCCTGTCAATCGAGGTATGTGACTTGACTTTTCCTTGATCGCTCGACGTCTGAACGTCCTGTGCGCATTCTTTCCCCACCTTTTCGATGTACCGGCCCTACAGGAACCTGGTCAGGATGAGCCTTGCTTGATTGGACTATCGCCTGTCTGTCCATAAACGAATCCCAGGTCGGGATACAGTAACGGAAATAACACCCGGTCGGGGGGGTGCGCTAGATAGTCTCGAGAGAAAGCAATGAAGCGATGGATGGACGAACACCCGGGTTGATCAAAGACCATAGTGGATGCCTTGTATGCACTGTGTTCAGACACTAGAGTCTCAAAGAAGCTCTTGAAGAAAAGAGCTGACCGTTCACCCCTTCATTACTGAACTGGAATGATCACAGGGCGGTCCATCCTTTTCTGGGAAGCCGCGGACCAATTATTCCCTCTAGATGAAACCTTTTTCTTTCCTTTTTCTCGTTTCCATTCTCCCCTGCCCTGATCCCACCCCCTCTTCAGTTACTGACTAACGGACGGACTTCGTACTTAATCTTCATCAGCGAGAGAGATCTTCCTAGCCAATAGATCCCTCCCCAGTGGAAGGATCATCTGGTTGGTTTGTCTCGGTTAGAACCTCGGCCGGACTGTAACCTGGAGCTGGGATTTCATGTCCATCGTCATCACCCGCCATATTGATTTTGAATCTCCGCGATCTCTCCATGTCCTGCGACCTTATAATTAATTCCGGCGCTTGAATTTCTCCTTCCATTCAGCTCATCCGTAGCATAGCAATAGTCTACTATTCGGAGTAAGTAAAAATACAACAAAAATAAATCTATAAGGAGCAGTCCGATTGTGACCACTTCCCCCCCGTGACCTACCAGCTTATCCGACCCCGACTAGGAAACTCGTGTGGTTTCTGGACTGTCTGAGATTGGACCATCACCTCCCGATTTGTGCTGCCCGTACCTCTGTATTAAGTTTGGCCTGCACGAGAGCAAGTGCCCTGTCCATGCAGGTTTACCATCTTGCATTCTTTTCTTTTCTTTTTTTTCCCTTTTGTGTTATCTTTGCTTTTGACTTTTTTTTCCTTCTCCTGGCGGTGCGGGATGTCGCGCGGGTTTGCCAACCGGTAATCTGGGAACCACCCTCCGTCCTTCTCCTCCCTCCTCTATTTTTTCTCACCCTACGGGAATTCCCCCTTCCCCTTCCGATCATCCGCCGGAAATAAGAAAGGGTCGAGGCTGGTCGGCGGGTGATCTGCCGTCAAGCTGAACCAGTGGCTCAGCTTTTCAGTTTCATTACTGGATCAAGCAGCGATCCGGTGACAACCCCGGTACCTGGTATTGTCTGAATCATGGGATGCGAGAAACCGTTCGGATGACTGGTAAAGTGTAATCCAAGCAAGGCACACACTCTCTCACTCACTTTCTCTCTCTCTCTGATATCTGATCTCATACGTTCTCCTTCCATTCAGTTAGTAGATCAGTAGACACTCCCGTTTTTTTAACTCTTTCGTCACTTTGTAGAAAAGTCTGGTATTGGTCATCTGCTCGACAATACATCTCTGTTCTGTCCTTTGATTGATCCATTCAATTCTTCTAAAATTCCCGTACCACCTTACTGTCCATTCACTGCCGAACGTGTATTAAACCTGCTTAGGAATCTGCTTCCCTTCCAGTCAGCAGCCAGCCAACAAGGTATTGTTGAGTTAATTAAATTACCGGCCGCGACTCTTCAGAAAATAGTGCGACTCGATATTAAACTTTGGGCACTTTGTGACGTCCTTTCTTGTCCTCTATTGTCTATTCTATATCCGGTGCCGAATCATATGGTTTAAAAACAGAAATAAAATAATATCATCCATGGCTCATGAATTGCTGGCTGCTTTCGCTGCTGCAGCAACCACCCCCATGATGAGGCTCCCCTCCATTGTTATTTGGCTAGTGAGTTAGCCAGGAGAAACGACCCGATCAAGGCAGGCAGCAGGAGACGATAGGAGTGGTTCCAGATGAATGGCCGATGTGACCCATTCTTGTCATCAGTGGGTGGTGGGGACGCTGGGTGGCAGAGGCATGGCCATGGCGTAAGAAAGTAGCTAGACTCCCAGCTAACTACCTAACTAATTGACTAGTGAGCTACAATAAAGGGTGGTCGAACAAGCAGTTCCCGTTTTGTACCACCACCCAGAATGGAGTCAGTCAGTCAGTCCGTCCGTCGTACAACCTGAACAGAAGAGTTACGACAACACGTCCGGGTAAAAAATACCGGCCCCGTAATCGGACCCAAACCCAGGCATCATTCATCATCCTACCTTTCGGGGTTGGGACTTTCTGTTGCCTTTCACAGGCAAAAATGCGAGACAAGAAAAAAAAGGGTTCGTAAAGAAATCTATAATAAAGTGAAACCCGCTGTCATTCCATTATACTTGAGACAACAAAGCCAAAAAAAAAAAGAAATACAAGGGTATGTAGACAATAATATATTTAGGACTATAGTCGAATTGAATAGATAGCAAATGGTGTCTCTCTCCCCTTGTCACTTTTGAATGCATCCCAGGCTTCCCTCGGATCGATCGCTGGTAGGGATCAATTGTTCCAGAAGAAACCGACTTTCATCCATCAAACGCCCCGGGGGAGTTGTAATCCAGATACATACACCACACCTCAACTCAGCACACCCACCCCCGTAAGTCTGCGTAATACACGTTCCATCGCATGCCATCCACTTGAGGACCCCGTCAAGGATCAGACTACCTCCCTTAGTCTTTAGCACCGACACCTGGTCCTCGAGAAGTAAAGTTGGACTCCATACTGTCGGCCGTCTGCCAGACTAGTGGTCGTACTATCTTTCTTCTTTTTTCCCTTTCCTAATATTATTCGTGTATCCCCTTTGATTATTCTTCCGACAAGTCATGCCAGAGTTATGGTCACTACGTTGCCAGGTCAAAGAACAGGGCACCCGCTACCTACCCATTGTAGTACTTAACTCTCTACCATGGGGTAGATAGATGGTGTTAGCCTCGGGCTTACTACACACCTTGCATTCGGCTTTGCCACATTTCCTGCCCGCCTTGTTGTTTATTCTATTTTTCTTTTTTTTTGTTCCCCTCCCCGCTCCAAGAGCTGCTGTCTTTGCAGCCTATCAAACGGAGTTTTTTTTTTTTTTTTTTTTTTTTTTTCTCTTCTCTTTTTTCCTATACCTTGTCGAGTTCAAGGTGCATAGTCTTTTATTACGGTAATAATAGCGGTGCCGGCGGCGGTGGCCAACTCCGCTCTCCCTCCGCGGAAGCAGAGAGGCTATTACGGCAGCAGGCAGGTACCGCAGTGGAAAGGGGAAATAAAATGAAAAAGAAAAAGGCTCGGGAGGAAGATGGAGGTTAGTTTAGCAGCCGTGAGGATGTCGTCGCAGGAGGGATTTGGGAGAGTCTGCAGGTCAACATAAGTGGTAAATTTAATTAGTGATCCGTATGATGGAGGGCCAGGATTGGGATTCTGCTGGTGTTTTGGCTGGGCTAGTGCCTGCCTAACTAACCCAGGGTGTGATAGCGTCCTTGAGAAATGATTGTGAAAATAAATATTCTTTTGGATTATTTTATTTTTATTTTTTCTTTCTGGTTTAGAGGGTCGGGTTGTTCCCTTATTATTCTAGGCTTTATTATTATGATGATGATTATTATTATTATTATAATTTTCGGGTCACTTGGTTAGTGAGTTAACCTTTTTTGACACCCTACTTTACAGGACTCTGGAACCAAAACGAGCAAGGTACCCTGAACGATACCATACCGCTCCTCCCCACTCAATACCTCAATACCTCAACTCACGCCTCTGGTCTTGTCCCGACTGGCACTCTCCGCTCCAAGGCCGCCTTACACTCGCATCCCCCCGTTCCTTTGGCATCATCTCATCTCATCCTTCCCCTTCCCCTTCCCTCTCTTTCTCTTCCCCTCACCCTCCCCTCTTCCTTCTTCCCTCTCCGTCTCTCTTTCTTTCTCTCCCTCCCACGCATCCATTCACACCCACTCTCTCTCTTCACTCTCCGACAACCTTCAAGACCACCCTTCTTGCCATGGGTCTTGTTGGCTTTCACTCTTCGTTTGCTTCCTCTTATGCAGACTTCCTCTCCCTCACTTTCCTGAGTGCCGTTGCTTGATCTTATGGCGTATTGTCTTGACACGCCTTTCCGTGCATTCGGCCGCTGACCTGCAGCTTCTAAGCTGCCAACCGTCTGTATTCCGGATCTCGAATCATTCCCTCCTCTCAATTCCTCTCCTCCGATCGACTCAGACGTATCTCGCCCTCTTCCTCCCTCCCTTCGCCTCGACCTCTTCGATTATCTCTACATTATCCTTTCTGCAACCTACCTCATGCCGGCTCTCGAGGTCCCCGAGTCCGGGTTGTCTCTCTGCCGAGACAACCACGGCAATGATGCTACCACCAAGCCTGTTCAGATTATGCGGCTGAATTTAGCTCAGAGCACTCTTGATGAGCTGATCCAGAGCCTCCGGAACGATCAAACAGCCCGAGTCCGCCTGGGAAAACATGCGACTCTCTACTACGGCTCCAAATCCCAACAATTTCATCCCCTCCCCGAGACGTGTCGATCAGAGCTATATAGCAGTAGCTCCGCGGACAAGGAAAACCTATATTTCAGCGGTGTTTTGAGCCATAGCTTGGAGGTCCAGAAGGCGAAGGAAGATACCGCGAGTGCTGACCAGGCATTGGCCAATCTGGAGCAAAGTCTAAATGCCTTCGAAAGAGGGAAAGAGTCGAAGAAGACCGCTATAATCACGAGCATTGATGAAGTGAGAGCTCTGCGAGCAGGCGACAGCCGATACGGTACTGGAAAACAGACTGCTCGTTTGGGTCGTGCTCCGGCAAGCAAGGTGGAGCTGGAAAAGGATCGACTGCTTACTGCCAATCGCTCCGTTTCCTCGAGCCCGGCTCTGGGAGTTGTTCGATCACCTGCATCCATACCTCCGCTTACGCCTACCTCCGCTCCGCTTTCTCAAAACAAAGATCGCATTCGCCTTGAGGCTCTAAAGGTCCCCTTCATTCACCTCCTCGCCGTCCGGGCAGTTTCCGCCAAATTCCTCGCGCGACAAACTCGCGCGTCCCTCGAAGACTGCGAGACTCTGGCCCGGAAATACGGCACCGAAAACCGAATCAATCCGGAGAAGTTCGATCTTAAAGATAAAACCTATCGAGAGCTTGATGTGTGGAAATTTCCCTATCCCTCCCAGGAAGATCGACAGGAGGCAATTGAGAATGCCATCTCTGCATTTGATCGCCTGCGAATCTCCCGGTCCGACAAGCTCTGGCAGATGCTTCTTCCCAAGGAAGAACGCGGAAAGGGCAAGTGCTTATCACGCCTGGACTTGCGGACGGGTCCCATCAAGAAAGCTGCCACGCCTCGGATACAGGTACAGACATCTGATGACAATAGCAAGGATGGTTACACTACGGGTCAGGAGACCGACAAGGCTAGTGGGAATGGTCTAACACCAAGGACGGGTGAGCCGACGTCAGCTCCCAGATCTGGGACGGTCGCGCAGAAGAAACGGCCCGGCGACAAGGATGCCGGTGCGAAACGGACCGCCGCAAAGAGCAAGGTTGCGGGTAACAGTACCTTGACGGGACGCGTCACCAAGAAGGCGGAGCGGAAGACGACCGCGAAACAGCCGGAGGGCAAGTTCAAGTCGGCGGAATTCGTTCATGACTCGGATGAGGACGACACCGATCTGCCAGATGCATCGTCAACCGAGAAGCCACAGCCTGCAAAGGCAAAGGCTGAACCAAAACCGCAGACCAAACTGCAGAAGCCCAGCCCTCCCAGGGAATCCTCTCATGCGCCTACCCCGAAGGTGGAGCAGCCAGAAGCTACACCTAAATCGGAGCCGATCGACCAAGCGTCTCATCGGCCTATGGCAGCAAAGAGGCCTCCTTCCTCGCGACCTCCCGCGCAGAAGTCCCCTCAGAAATCCCCTCAGAAACCGTCGCCCCTCGGGTCTTCCCCCCCAACCAACGCCTCTGATATCCAAAATCGCAGTCGTTCTTCAAGTCAAAACAATTCTTCAAGTTCCTCGTCATCATCGCCCCTCATAACCCAGGTCAACAAGCCCAGACCTGTTGCGAGCGCGCCCACCGTGAGGAAAGTGGTCAAGACCAATGGTGTATCTAAACCGGCTGGAGTTGCCAATCCCTTGAAGCGCAAGGCGGAGCTTGAGCGGCCTGCAGCGTTAGCTCAAGTCCCCGGGCGTATTGCGGGGGATCTGGAACACAAACGGCGGCGAGCCGTGAGCACGTCCAGTGGCAGCACTGGGAGCGCCTCGCCCCCTCTCCGCCGCGAAGTTACCATCCAGGAGTTGCACGACAAGTCGAAGAAGTTCAAGCGGTTCTACGCCAAATACCACGCCTTACATGACGCATTGGCCTCTCAGCAGAATCCGTCGCGAGCCGACTTGGAGAAGCTCCAGAGGCAGCACATTAGTCTGCGGCGGATGAAGGAAGAGATATGGGCCGAACATCAACAGCTCCGGGGTGGGCTCTAACGACAGAACATGGCATTTGCATGATTTTTATTTATTTCATTTATTTTTCTTTTTTTTTTTTTTATCTATTTCTCGACCCTTGTTTATTATGGTGTCTGGTCCCGGACATTGACAGAACGGGGTTCCTGTTATTATTCCACGATGTTGTTCTTCTCGACTACCATTGTGTCTGTTTTGTTTAGCATGACGAAGCCGGATAACAGAAAAAGTGCTTCGAGGCGTTTCATGGGACCAGGTGGATGCTGTTGATGCTTGGATTTTTTTTTTTCTTTTTTCTATCTGGTTAATTTCCTTATTATTTTCTTTGTTGATTGGCATATCTCTGCATCTTATCACGCTGACAAAGAGCATGCATGTAATGGGAATGGGTACATATTAGAGGCCGGACTGTCATGGAGGGCCAGAAGCAAGGACGCTGCAAGGAGTCTTCGATACCGGGAGACGGACATGAGTTTAGAGACCAATGAAAGACAAGATTCATACACCATTTTCGTTCCTGTGGCCTCCGTTCCTACAGTAAGTAAAGCTAGTTTGAATGCAGGAGTAGATAGTAGACTGGCTATTCAGGAATCAGGAATTCAGTGGCCCGACGGAGGCACTTCCCGCACTCATTTTGTCTTTCTTCCTTCCAGTACGTTCCGATACTCCGCAAATAGGCCCAGCAACACGAACCGTCCGTCCGTCCGTCGTGCCCCTCATGTGGCTGTCTCTCTTTCTGTTTTCTTTTCTTTGCCCGATTAGGTCCTCGGGTGCTGATTCCAGCCCAATCTGGTCGATAATACCCCGCCATACCCAAAAACCAAGATTAAATGAAGCAACAAAGAAAGAGGTCTGACCAAGTTACGTTGTATGGCATCCTAAAATCCTTCTACTTCCTATTCATCCCATGCAGTAACCACCAGAAAGGAAAAAATAATACCCACCACCTACTCAGTTATGGACCTCGACCAATGTTATACATGATCAGCACGTCAATCATCTAGTCAGATCATGGATTACTGATCCTACACATGAAAATCACAATGCACGAAGCAAGTACCATGAACCAATGAGTGACAGTATTATACCCCGGATCATCCCTCACCCATCAATCATCGCTGACCGATACTAGTAGATTATCTGCCAGGGAAACTTTTGGCTGGGTATGATACACACTAAACCCTATCAGGATCGGAGTTTCAATCGGACTGAATGAGTAATGAGGGGGGAGGAAAGAAAACTCCCCCATCCAATCCTCCTCACTAAACTACTAAGTAAAGTACTCACCCCCACTATCGGCACGTGGCTGGAGTGGCCGATTGGTCCCGAATAGGTAGGGATACGCTACTAAGGTAGGTAGGTATACTTGGATACCTTACGGAGGCGGGTATGTATGTATGTATGAATCGGTTTGTATTGGTACGTGTGTATTTTACGGTTCGATGGGTTGGGGTAAGTGGATGGGTGAATGATGTCATGTTCATACTTATGCTCGGGTTACTTGGGTTGTGGATTTTTCCGACTTTTTGTGATGAGGGTTTTAAGTTGTATGGTTATTTGGGGGCTATGGTGGTTGGATGGTGATTATCGGGCTGTGTTATGAGGTATATATTTGGTTGTAGCTGGAAGTGGGTTGGTGGATGGGTGGGTGGATGTAGTAGTTGAGTGGTGAGGATAGTAGGGTTGACTTTCTTTCTTTCAGTCTTAATGATACTTAGCTATTGGCTTCGTATTATAACAGTATCAATGAACCTTTTGTTTTTAATACATTCCAGTTCTCTGAATAGAGGAGCTCGCTGGAACTTATTAGTCAGGTTGGTAGTATACTTGAGTGTTCAAAAGACACTAAACACTGGTATGTCGAATACAGGCATTCAGAGCATAGAGTCATCTACCTCACCTCTTTAATGCCCTCATACTCACCTAATATATTTTATCCATCCTGGCTCATCCCATTCACTCCCCGTCTTTTCATATCTCCAGTCTGCTCTATATTCTGTCTACTGTTCCCGCTATGCCCAATCGGGTTTATCCCAATCGGGTTTACGGCCGGGCCCATCGCAGGCGGTGGGCAGCGACCAGAGCAGAGCCTGGATACTTCAATTGACCGTGAATCTTTTTCCCTCCATCATGCTCTCTTTCATCCTAATCCCGAGTCCTCCATGTTCCTTCAAATGACCTTGTGATGCGACTACTATAACACACCCCAATCCATTACTCTCGACCCCGCTGTGTGGGTGATCCCAACGGCAGACCCCAGTCTGGATCTTTCCCCGACCGACCGGATAAGCCAGACACAGCTTGGTGACGTTTAGTCCGTCCGATTCGACCCTTGCTGTCTTGCGCTTATCAATTGCCGTCGATACTACCGCCGCTACAATCCTATCAACCTAAAGAAAGCAGTATATTAGCCATGACCCCTGCAAGAGGGCGTGGCCCAAGCCAAAGGAGTCCTCATGTCCTGGTGAGCATTCATTACCCCCCTACCTCCCCTCCCTCCGTCCGGCGCAATCTATACTAGAAATCCAACTAACCACGCCCATCATCATCCAGGTGACCGACTCCCGAGACCAACAAACCACTCAACCCCGTCGTCGCCGCTCCCCCGCAACCCGTTTCATCACAGTCGACAATGTCCTCCAATACACCTCCGACGTCCCCTCCATGCAGCAGCGCCATCCGCCCCAAGGCAGCGTCCGGGCGCGGCCGCGCTCCCGTCTCGCTTCCGCCGCGGGCGGCTTAATCGGTGCTGGCGGAGCGGGCTCCTCCACCGGGGGATCCAGTGCGGTCAGCCCAGCAGCGACCATGAAGCGACTTGCAGCGCAGCCGCGACTGCCTCCCCGTACAACCAAAGTCAGTGAGAAGCTGGTGCTTCTGCCAGAGGCCGGGGACGAATTGCGCGAGGAAGAGGAAGAAGGGGACGAGGAAGATGAGGAGACGGTGGACGAGGAGTTTGTGCAGAGGATCGCGAAGGATAAGAATCTCAACCCCGATGCGGTGAGGCAGACGTTACTGGCGCAGAAGAAGCTTGATGGGGATTTTGGCGTCGATAACGAGATTGCCCCGTTGTTGGCGGAGGAGGAGTTGATGAGGAGGAGGAAGGTCGCTCCGGAGAAGGCGAAGAGTTATGCGGAGAGGTTGCCTAAGGCGCGGCGCGCGGAGAAGTTGGCGAGAGTGACGGCGTACTGTACGGCGCAGGCTTATAAGATGAGCTCGTTGGCGTCGTTTGTGAAAGAGAGGCATGGGGGGAAGACGAAGCTCTACGATGATTGTCTGTATACGGCGTATCATTTGCCGTTGTTGCCTGGGCATGAGGGGTATAGGCTGAGGAGTAGTCCGGTGCTGAAGAAGCCTGGTGGGAAGTCGCTGCTTGATGAGGAAATTGAGCGGAATGAGCTGCGAGATCATCATGAAGACTATATGCCGGAGGCGGAGGAGCATTCGGTGTTTGGGGGCCGTCATGAACATGGTTCGCACCCACATGAACCGCATCAAGCTGGTGGAGAAGACCATGCTGAGTCTGGCTCGAGGGAGCAGTTTGGTCAAGATACTGGACACAGCCAGCCAGGTCCGACTGCTGGCGCAACGGCGTCGTCGAGGCTATCATACAATGTGGCGGAGATGTTTGTCTTTAGCTACGGAGTTGTCGTGTTTTGGAACTTCACCGAAAAGCAAGAGAAGGATCTCCTAGCCGATTTGGCATTTGCGACGTCGTCCGCAACGGGGTCACCCATCCCACTGGCCACCATGCCATTGCAAGAGGAGGACTTTGAAACGGAGGAGTTCCATTTCGAATATTCAACTGAAATCTCACGCCCGCGCGTCTACAATGACATGATCACTCTGCGCAGCGGCGACCACATGATCAAGCTAGCCATCAGTCATGGCATTGCTCAGAGTACTAAGCTCTGCTTCTTCGAAGAAGTCATGGCTCGCCAGATGGCCGAGGCCAAGGACGTCCCTCGCCGACTCGCCATGACTGGCAACCTAGGGATGAAGCGAGACGAAGTATTCCGCATCCTGGGCAGTTTGTTCAAGAGCCGAGTGGAAGTGAACCTCTGTAAGTGACACTCTCAAACCATCAAGCTGGATAACTTTCTAATCTTCATACAGCATCCAATATGCTCGACGTCCCCAACTTTTTCTGGGAAAGCGAACCCACTCTCTACCCGCTCTACATCGCCGTGCGCGAATACCTCGAGATCAAGCCCCGAATCCAAGTCCTCAACGAACGCTGCCGTGTCTTCCTCGACCTGGCTGAGATCCTCTCCGATTCGATCGCCGACAACAGAACCTCGCGTATGCCACCATCCCCTACCATGAAACTAGAACCCCAAACTAACATGATTAGACCAAACCTGGATCATCATCGTCCTAATTATCATCTCCATCCTCGTCACCACCTTCGAAGTCTTCCTCCGCTTCGGCCTCCTCTCCGCCCGCGAGAACGACGCGTCCTCAACAATCACTACCATCCTCTCCCGAGCCCTCGGCCATACCTCACCCGCACCCGTATGCTCATGTCCAGCACCTGCTGTTCCCGGAGTTCCAGCAGGCATGGGAGCATTGAATACCACCGGCTTGCCGTATTGATTATACCATACATACCTAATACTCACTCATCTTTCCCACCACTCTCATCAATTTTATTCACAATAGCAGGCTGGATCATAGTTTCTACCACTCATTCTCCATTCCTTTACTTACCACACAAACCCGTAAGCATACGCAATCCACAGACTCATTTCCTACGTCTTCTTCAAGCGATATCTCCCCTTCAGTGATTAGGCTAGGTCATTTTAGCTAAAAAGACTGGATATATCCCTTCACTGTTACCTATTACACCTATACTAGTTAATCAATCGATCAAGTCTCAACCACCAAGCCATCACGACCAAAGAATCATGTAGATAATCTACCAATACATATCTGCCTAAGGCATCGAGATATACTGCTGAATGCCTCAGGCAAGGACACCTAATCTTCTGCCTTAGGCCTAAATACAGGCCTAAGGCACCTATGAGCTCATAGCTGTCAAAGCTCCTCCGGAGCCGAGGCGAGGCAGACAGGGAGGGTACGTCATCAACCGGGAAGAACCTTGCTAGTGGGTGTTTCAGGTAAAATGAGCTGTCGAGCTCTCCTCACGATCTGATTTCGGAAAGGTTGGGTAGAAACGAGCAGACCACTACATAGATATTCATTTACGGGCGATATACCGGAAGAAGTAGTTTTTTTTTCTGGTGAAAACTCCACTGCAGTGAGTGCATTTCCACAGTAACGATCGATGTACATCTAATAAGGTAGTAGTATACTATGGTAGTTGTAAAGCAATATTTCTATCATACATGAGGACGAGGAACAGGTTCATCTACACCTGAGTAAATAAAAGGATGAAAGGCCGTCAAGAGATTGTCACACAAAGGAAAGTAAGGAAACAACGAACAAGATGATGCTTGGGGGGGTACAACACACACAAGAGAATAGGTATAGAACAAATGCACAGATGATGATGATGATGATGGAATAATAGCATAAACCAGACCAAGACCCCGAATTCCCAAACCCCATTCCGACCGAGCCATGACACCTTTTCCACCTCTCTATATTTTATGCTTCGTCCTGGTGGTCGTATCGCACATTAGACACACTAAAGGAATAACAAGAATGGAACAGAGCGGACAACTCGGATCCTGCGCACGCGACAAATCAGCTAGCCCGGACTCCTTCCAGCGCTGGTGACCCACACTGGGAAATGCAAAGATGACGGTATATCGAATATCCAAAAGATGTATGCCATGATGTAAAACACAAGGGATGAACAATGCTGGAACAGACCAATATGACAAAGGAAATAATAAGAAATCAACAAAGGAAATATGTTATATCCGCCTAGCACCATCTAATGGATGCTAAACGTTATGCGTAGTAGGACAACTCTCTCGATTAGCGGCCCTGCCGTCTGCTGGGAGAGTTTTGTCCACTACCCATATTTAGACCGGAGTCGACCATGCGCTCTCCATCTTGTGCTTCAGGTCATAGCTATCCGGTTCAGTGCTCGTGGGCCGCCGGATGGTGGAGTTGGGGAAGTACATGTGAGGGGGCATGGCGCTCGGATATGCGGGCCCGCTAGTTTCAGGATAGAAATCGGTTGCGGAGCCAGGCGACGGGATGCTGGCATGCGAAGGAGAAGGCCAACCCAGGCTGGTCATGTGCGGGCTTCCGCTAACGCTATTGGGCCGGTGGTCGTTGTTGGCGGGCGGCTCAAGAGGCTGCGGAGGACCGTACCCAGACGGATGGGAAGTCATCGATGGACGGGGGTGCGGAGCGCTACCATAACTAGACAACGATGGGGACGTGGCGGTCGGGGACGCCCGGGGACTAGCCTGCGTGAAACCGCCGCGAACATGGGGTGGAATCGATCCATTCGGCATGTAGTAGTCGGAGCGAGGCATATTCAAGGGAGGGAGATCGCCAGCTGGAGAGATAGGATGGTGTGCCGGAGAGGGGGTAGAATGGACAGAGCCATGCTCGGAGAACATATCACCAGGCATTCTCGCTCTCTCCTTGTTTTGCCTCAGATTGGCCTCGGTTTCTGCAGCGGCTTCCTCGATTGTACCCGTGTGGTGATTCTGATGGCGTGTCAAGGTAGTGCGACGAGTAAATGTCTTCTGGCAGTTCGCATACGGACACTTGTAGGGACGCTTCCCAGAATGGATTCTGCGGTGCCGCGCTAGGGAGGACGAATCACTGAAAGGCTGCGAGTCGTTAGTCCTGCTCAAATACAAACCAGAAAGCAGGTACATACCTTGCCACATCTCTCGCACATATGAGGCTTCTCTCCAGTGTGGACTCGGGAGTGCACCGTCAGAGCTGAACGTTGGATGAATTGTTTGCCACAGCCAGGCCAGTCACAAGCATGAGGTCTGATACCGGAGTGAATGCGTTCTAGGTAGCGTTAGCTGACCGTTCTCTCTACATTTCGTCAGAAATGCTTACCGTGTCTTGCAAGATCACTGCGGCGGGCGAATCCTTTACCGCAAGTACCACAGTGGAAGGTTTTGGGAGGAGGATCCGGCCTCCCTTGAGGGGCACCGGCGTTCGGTATTTGAGCATTACCGGCATAGGCCCCAGGAACAAAAGGATTCTGCAAAAGGGGCAGCCCCGGCCCCGGGTGTGCCTGGTGTGCATAGCGCATATCATGGGCCATGTTCGGCACCTGGCCGAGCGGACCATGAGGGGGGTATGCAAGGACAGCTTGATCACCAGCATCGGAAACACCAGGTTCCGACTTCATCTTAGGCGATGACGTGTGGTCGAGCCCGGGATTCGGTACCAAATGCTGATGATCAAAATGTCCGTCTGCGGCAACCATGGCGGCAGAACCTTTTCTATTCAAAATAGTTGTGATGTCCATGACCCGACCCCGCGAAGAGCTGAGGGACGGTGGTCAAGGACGGTCGAAGAATTTCACGGTAGCCCGTCTGACGCGTAGCCGCAGAATGACTCCACGGCGCTGGTTGAAGGCTATGAGTGGCTGAGACAGATGATGCGTTGGCTTCGCTAACAAAGCGCAATGGAAAACAATAGTGATACAGACAAACAGCGCAGTCGTGGCTTGCATATGGGAGTAACCACTCCCAACAATCAGGCAACACGCTGGCAGAATGACCGCGAGGGCTCCACCGACTTCAGACCGAATACGGTTGAAAGCAAACAGACGTCATGGACAGATGATTTGCCGGGATAAACGGGAAGAAAATAACTGTAAAACTCTTGCTTTGCGCTACCCGTAGCTCAAGGACTTTCTGTCCTGACGAGGCGTGACGTGGGCAAAGATGACCGGGATTACGGATTTCTCGTAATCAGGAATGTGAGGACAAGGGCGAGTTGTCAACCCAAACTGTGCAGTAGACTCACGGCTGGGCGGCGAATAACAGCGCGGATGAGGACCCTTGGTATCGCCAGATGCCCAGACACTTGACTGTCGAGTGTTGGCTTCTAGGAGCAGAATCCGCAGTGTTGGAGAGAACGGGCGCTTCTTCACGAATCGGAACGTCCGCAGTTGTCTTGTAAGAGTAGATTCGGAAATGACCCAGCAAAGACCAAGATCCTAGTTCTGACCTCCACGGATAGCTGCAGCGAGACTTATCCAGCGGTAATCGAATGGAAGCGGCTCGAAGTCACCGGTGTAAATTCGATGAATCTCGGATCGGTCGTAGGGAACACGCGAGACTTATAATCACCCTAGTGTCGCTACGGTTTGCACGCAAATTTGCGACAAGGTCCGGATTCACTTTTGGTATGTATGCGGTCGCAGGAAGTGAATGTGCGCGCCGTCGCAGTGTCTCAGCGGGTTCTCCCAGGAGAAAAGCTCAGCGTCTCCAGAGGAGGGGTAATCTGACAGGACGTAAATTAATCGGACTCAAACGGTGGCCTTATGGATCGGATCTGAATGGGGGCACAGTAGGAGATTAGTCAACTGCGCGCAAAACGAGAATCAAGTGAGGGAAAGCTGTCTTGTGCGCGGCCTGTTCAGTGTCTCAAATTCCTTTTTCCTTTTGCCCACCAAAACAGGTGGTGAGAAAAATCCCCAGTCCGAGCCTGCTCAATGGACGGCATTGCGCGCAAGTTCAGAACCCAGGGAATGCGACGAATAAGACGCTGGATCGCACAGAGACGTGACCTGCAGGCGCTCATATCCTTCCACATGCAGCAAGGGAAGGCAGTCATCATTGACTGGGGGGGAACGGAGGAGAGGGGGAGGGAAACCAAGCAGCCGCGGGGGAGCTGCGGTGTGGGAAGCGCCAAAGGAGCCAAGAATGAGGTACTTACAGAGACCGAGGAAAGAAATGACAGCTTTCAGGTGAAACGCGGTCAAGATGGACACGGTCTGGGGAGACCCAAAATGTTGTTGTTATGTTGCGCGCGGAAGGAGGGGATCGACGGAAAGAAAATGGGGGGTTCCGAAGAGTTAAAACAGCCAGCAATGGGGAAAGAAGAAGAAGAGGCCTGTTCGACGGAGCTTCTCGGGGTTATTCTGACGGGAGAAGCAATAGAAGGTGAGAGGGGAGGGAAATTTTTCGAGAACCACACGGCCGTGGCGAACCGACGCAAGAGGCGGAAAAGCAAATGCACCAGCAGGATGACGGGGAAAAAGTGTGGGTGTGGGAAAGAGGAAAAGCAAGGAGGTTTGACAGGGAGGCAGAGGAGAAAGGATGAGGAAATTAAAATAAAAAAAAGTCAAAAGGAAATTATGAAATAAACGAATAAAGAGGAAGTGAGTTTTGACTCTTCTTCTTGGTACAAGCCAGAAGAGAAAAAAAAATAAGATGAAGGGGAGAATTTGTAAGGTGAGGTGATGGAGACAGAATAATTAATGGAAGGATAATTCTGGATGCTGATGGATTGATGGATGGATGGATGGGGATGTTTTGGTCGGTAAAACAGGAACAGTAATAGGCAGAGTAAGAGTTAAGAGGAGGTAAAATAAAATCAGAATAATAATAATAATAATAATAATAATCAACTTCTCAAATCAATCCTGCAATCAATCAATCAATCAATCAACCGGGGATTCGGGGGCTGCAGGTGAATATTAATGGGCGAAAGCAGAGCCAAACAGCAGGTGGCTGTTCGTTTTCTTATAGATCCAGTTAAAATAACTTCTTCTACTCCTTCTAGTGTGATCCAAGTGTCCATACGGTGTGCGTGCCTCACCCGTTCGTAGTCTTATTAGTGAGGATTGGATGTGCTCCTCTCCTTCCGACCATCACCACTTGGTCTGGCAGGTAAGTTAAAATTAAATGTTATTATAATTAGTATAGTTGGAGGTCCTTCCTTTTCCCCTTCCAACAGTAGTGGCGGTAAAATAAAATCGAAAATGAAATGAAATAAAAAAAAAAAAATGGGAAAATAATAATAATAATAATAATTAATCTTATTATTATAATAATTTCACTGACGACTTCTTCTTGACTAGTTCAGTCCCAGACTTACTACTACTTACTGCTACGAGACTAGTACTGACTACGCTTTAGTTCACGGAGGCTACCACGACTCTAAGTACCACTACAGCTTCGCACGTTTCCACCACAGGCCCCAAGTGGCTCCAGTGAACTCAACTCGCCCGAAGAAGCTGGCGGCACCAGAAGGTCACCGTCAGCGCTCGGCTCCACAACGTGGCTTTCCCCGTCTCTCCCTGGCCGTGCGAGAATCGCTCCTGCTGGGTGGGTATCGGCGGGATGATGCCGATCTGAATGAATCAGGACAGACAATATTATTCTTTTTCTGGTGCCGCGGGCCAGGCGATTACCTTCCATTGCTTCCATATACCCCCCTCCCCGGTCATGATTCCTCGGGACATGCTGTGAAGGAAAATGTGAGGGAAGAACAGGGAAACTGCGGCCGATAACAACGGTTCCTCGCCGCCTTAACTCGGAGGAACACGCGATGACTAGAGAACATCCCACGGGACACATTTTGCGCTAAAATGTGAGGAAGAGGGGGGTGTGTGATATAACGTAAACTGGTACAAGGCAGAAATGAGGAACAAGGTCCCCCGATCGTGGCTGGTAACTGGGCCAGGAGTTTGACCACGGATATTGCATCACTGTTCGGAAGCTACTCCTGCACCTACCCCAGGAGTTTCCCTGGCTCAAGGGGCCTCTATCTGCCCCTGGTGCGCCCATCGAGAGGGGAAAAGGAAGGGCACGGAGGATAAGCCGAAACCATTGGAAGGATCAAAGACAAATGGAAAAAAAAAAAGAAAGCAGGAGAGGAAAAATGGAAACCAGGTGATCAGATCGGACTGGCTGCATGCTTCAAAAGTATCGTGCGACACAATGCGAAAATAAAAAAAAACTCTCCAGCGCCGGCTCCGATCAGGCATCAACCATCACCCTATGGCGTGGCTTTGCTCCATTTTCGCCCTCCAACCCCCCCGGAGAGGGCAAGAAAATCCTTCAGCTTCTTTACACAAGCTCGCCAACAGGATGCCTTGTTCGGGAAAGAAGCGAAAATGGATGACTCTTATTTGTTGTCAGCCTATTTTCTTGGACGAAATTTCAGGGCGACGCGATCGCTAATCTCGCTTTAGAGTGACTACTTCACCTTACTACAGAAGACTAAAATCAGATTGACCAGCCGCGAAGAGGCATCACGGACTAACCCCAGGCGATTCGGCTGTTCAACGGAAGATGTGATTTGCCCCTTTTGGAAGAGGGTCTCAGCATGGCCTGTGATTACCGAAAGAACAACGGTGGGAAAGCTAATTTCCTTCTAGAAAGGTTCCAATGATGGGGAATCGGGCGTGGCCCAGGACCTCCTGGAGGAGCTTTGAACGCACTATTACATAGTGCTTCAACCCGTCCCTCCACGCAGCGCCGCGCCCCCCTCTCTCTCCTCTGGTCTTCTCTTCCCTCCCATCCGGCTGCAGGGACAGGCCTGCCTCGTCCTGTCGGATGCTTCGTTTCCCCATCCCACTCACCGATCTGCATGTCACGTTGAACCACATGCTGACTGGTTCAGCGAAGGTGTAGAGAGGAAAGGAAACACCAACCAAGAAGGGGCTAATTCTGAAGCGCAAAAAGCAGGGTTTGATGATACGGAGGGCGGTAATGGGCCGTGGAGTCTTTTCCCGCCCGGTTCCTACAAGAAATGCCCTAGTCCTGCGACTAGTCGCCTAGTCTTGCTAGTCTACGGACCTGACGGAGGAGGCTGCGACGAAGAGAGTCCACCCGTGCTGGCTCTGGGCTTCAGTTCAGGGCTTCCCTCCTTTTTTCTCTTTTCCCACCCCTCTTGCCATTTTTTCTCTGTCGATTTTTGTATTTCCCCTGCTTGCTTTTTCCTTTTCGGTTGTGACCTTGTTGGTCTCCCTTGCAGAAGACTGACTCCACTGCTACACACACTAACGGACTCGTACATCGTATGGGAACCTCCATCTGAACCAGTCATGTTGCCTGCCAAGCCCACTTCGGGCTTCCGGCGACCTTCTAGAAAGAGCTCGGAAGGGCAATGGAAGGCTTCTAAAGCGTCTTTTTCCCCTCTCCTCTCCCCTTCCAACCCCCCATGTGCCATTGCGGCTGCGTCACCCACCTTGGGCCGATGGTGGCCCTTGTCTCTCCCTTCTGGCGCTCGTGTCACATCCCTGAGTGGAAGATCCCACGACAACGCACAGCGGACTTGTTCATAACCGGTGCTCCGACAGCCAACAGAAATAAATAAAAAAAGAGAAAAAAAAAAATTAAAGTAAAAACCATAAGGTATATGATAGCTGCAGACTACTTAGCGAACCTCGGAATTGACTTTCTGGTGGTCAGTGTGAATTTCTAATGATTAGGACAGCTATGCGCCCGTCCTATCTGACCATCGGCATCGTCATCGTCACCCGGAATCCCTGCAGGTGTCCGTGTTGGTCGCGGATCCGTGTTGAATGATTCTCTCGGCCCCACGGCTGGTTTTCTGTCCCGAACGTTGGCCTTGGGACTAGGCAGTGCGAATTAGATTGACTCGTTCTTCGAGACAAATAGGTACAGTAGGCCTTGGGAATGGCTTGACTTGGCCCACGTAAATTCAGGGGCGCTCGGGGTCCGAGGAGAAGTGTGGCTAGAGCGGACGATGATGACGTCCTACCAACTGCCGCCTGCATCACCCTCACTGAGTAATACTTAATAAGAAGAGGGACACGGCGGCCGACCATCATATGCGGGACATACGATTGGACCGACGGGCTAGGCTTAATTGCGAGTGGCCGCTTGGAGTTTCAGTTGTTGGAGAGGACGGGCCCTGCGAGAGCTACGTTGCCCAAAGCAGAATAGGAGAGAGTTCCACAGGTGGTGTGGTCTGGTTCACGGCGCATGAATTGAGAGACGGTCGACTAAGCCGTCAGATTGATGAGGGACGATGGATGGATGCATCGCCATCGGATGATGCAGTAGCAGATGCTCTAGCGCCAGATTTGCCTCTTTCTGGAAGCTTGCCTATGCAGGACAATCACATCGTCAGCCCCAGGTCAACGCGCAGATGCATGGAGGATTTAAGTTAAGTTCATGAATCGCATTGTCTCTGGTCGCCACTGTTTTCCTTTTACCCTACTAGTGTAGTTGAGGAGCTGCAGCTGCAGTACGACCATTGTCGTCACAGCCGAATGCGACCTCTTCCGTCTTCCATCGGATAGGGGAAGGGAGAGAGAGAGAGAAGGCAGACAGAAGAACTACGGAGAGCATCCGATTACCGACCACCACCACCACTTTCATCTCCCTAGCACTAAATATTCATCCCAACTTGGTATATAGCGCGTATTACTTTACTCCGTCAGTCACACATACACACACATACTGCTCCCTCATTGCTGTACACCGCATCAATATCGCCGCCGCTTTCTTCGTATCCTTATTTTCCCCGACACTACGCGACACCAATATGGAGCTACTCCATACAAACTAGGAGATTTCTCCATACCATAGCAGTCATAGTGGCAAGACCATGACCCATCTTCCACCTTCCGCCCCCTCCCCTTCTCCTCTGGCCGGTCCATTCCTGATCGACAACCCCAAGAATCAAGCCCGCCCAGAGCAAGACAGACACTCAGTCTTACTCTACGCAGATAGTGCACGCCCTCATGATCTTCACCGGCATCATGAAAACGAGACCCGACCCGAGACTACCTGACTAGTCTGCTTGAGAAGGAATAACATACTCAAACTATACTAATATACTATAGCTTAAACCGCACCGGGTAAGACGAGAGCCGTGTTAAGGACGGCCGATTATTTTCTCTTTCGTAATGAAGACCTACTATCTATCTATCCCATGAATTGTCATCGATTATTCAGCTATCAGTTTCACACGGCAGAGTCAGGGAGAATTAAAAACAGGAGAAAAATAAGGGAGAGAGAGAGAGAGAGACCAGAATAAAAAGATGGACCAAAGACAAAACCAACTAACCATCTGGGTCCCTCCTCCGAACACCGAAAATCCATCAAGCTAGACTAACGGCACAGAAAGGAAAATGGCCAGGCCGGCCCCATAACCCTGACTAGAACATTAACTAACTAACAAAACTAGGTAGACTCCGTAAACGTCGACGGTATGGATAGAGTATGCTTCCAGAAGACACGTAGAACACTCCCTTAAGTGGGGAAGAGTTGGCTGGATCATGGTTCACCGACGGAGTTTTATTCTGTGTTTGGAGATGTGGATTCCTTGTTCGTGACGGGGGGGAAAGGAAGAATGTGAGGGAATATTCTATTAGCAATAAGTTGCTGTGTAAGTGTGTATATTGAGGTGCCACATTTCTTTCATTTCCTTTTTCTTTGTCCCTTTGAGTGAAGCAGTACGCGGTGGATGTGTACTGGGTACCTTGTGGGAGGTACAGTTATTGTATTATGGTAAGTAAGCCATCGTAGGCAAACAGTAGGAGATTAGTTTAGTAGTGGTAGCCTGATCGCCTGAATTGTAGGCGATGTGGAAGGGAGGGGGATGGGGCAATGTACACGCCACGATGCATGGAGAGCAGCCGAGGCTGTGTTTTACACATAGACCTCGTATCTGATCCAAGAGAGTTGATCTATCACATCGGATGCGATCATTCATTGCGAGCAAACAAACACTCGGAATTCTGAGAGTTGAGTAAAGTACGTACCTGGCTGGCAGCCAGACCAAACAAACACAGCCTTGGCATGTTTGTTCCCCCGACATCCGCATCCGCAATATCGCAACTTCGGCTTCAATTCTGCCAGACCAGCGCTGCAGCTAGTTCAGCTATATTATCTCTGCCATTGACGATGCGCGTCGCATCTAATCACTTCCTCTAGGTACGTACCACCGATCCCAATCTATATCTACCAAACTCCAACTAACACCGTCCACCCAGTCCATCCTTCCTCACCCCAAACCACAAACCTCCAATCCAACCCAATCTACACATACAAACAAAACACCAAATACACCCCCCCAAAATGCTCCGCCCAACCTCAACCTCAACCACCACCACCCTCCTCCGCACCCTCCGCACCCTCACAACCATCACCACAAAACGACACCACTCCTCCGTCTCCGCCAATGAACTCTCTCACTTCTCCTCCCTCGCCACATCCTGGTGGGATCCCCAAGGGCCCTCGCGCGTCCTCCACCTCATGAACCCCGTTCGCCACGACTTCATCGCCTCATGCCTGGCCGAATCGACCCCGATAAGCAGCACGACGCCGTCCTCGCCCATGGACGCCTCCAACACCCACAACAAGAACAACCTCCGGTACCTCGACATCGGCTGCGGAGGGGGCATCTTCGCGGAGTCATTAGCGCGCACGATCCCAGCCTCATCCTCATCCTCAGAAGGAACTCTGAGCCGCACGCGCGCCGCCTCAATAACAGCGCTGGACCCCAGCCCCACGCTGATAAAGATCGCGCGGGACCACGCGCGCCTCGACCCCTCCGTGCAGGCGCATCTGGATAGTGGGCGGTTCAAGTATGTGAATGCGTCGTTGGAGGAGTTTATTCCTACTCTACAGACAGAAGAGAGAAGATTCGATATCGTGACCCTCTTCGAAGTGCTCGAACATATCGATAATATCCCCGGGTCTATCACTCCGCAGAGCTTCCTGTCGAACTGTTTGTCGATGGTGAAGCCCGGTGGATGGCTGATCGGGTCTACGATTGCGAGGACGTTCCCGTCGTGGTTGGTTAATCAGGTTGTTGCGGAGGCGCCGTGGCCGATTGGGGTGGTGCCGAAGGGGACGCATGAGTGGAAGAAGTTTGTGAATCCGGGGGAGTTGGAGGGGTGGGTGCAGGAGGGGTTGATGAGGGGGTTGGATGGGAGGGCTGCTCGGGGCGGGAGTGAGGCGTTGGAGGGGGCGAAATGGAGGTGTGAGGGGGTGGTGTATTTCCCGGGGTTGGGGTGGAAGTTGGTCAAGGGGTCGGAGAGTTGGGGGAATTATTTCTGGGCTGTGAGGAAGGGATTGTAATTGGGGAGGTTATGGGTTGTATGTATATTATTAGATGGATGGGTGATGTATGATATGTATCTATAGATGCAGTGGTTTGATTACTGTCATAGCATTAGATAGGTGTTTCATTGCATTAGGCTTATTTTCTTGCATTGATGCTGGTCCGCAATCATAGTGATATAGTGATGTATGATGTAGTGATATAAGTGGACTGTTTTAGAAGTACACCTCCCTGCATAGCGGTATGGTTGATCAATCGACTCGAACCGGCGAGCCTACTCGTAAAGATGAAAGTCTCCCTTCGGATTACTTCTTCCTCCCCTTCCCCTTCTTCTTCGGCTTCTCCGGTTCAGGCACACTGACCGTCCCCTGCACCACATCATCGCCCTGATTCTGCAGTCGCGCCGACCCGCTAATAAAGAACGTGAGATCCCGGTTCTGTTCCGTCAAGTCTGCATTCGCAAGTTTCAGACTCTCCACCTCGGACTTCAAAAGCTCAACCCGTTCTATCAGATTCTCATTCATCGTCTTCTCTTCCCGCCACTCCTTCTCCATCTTGCGCGTCATGGTCTCGAACTTCTCCGCGCGCTTTTCGGCCCGCGCCTTATCGCGCTCCAGTCCGGGGATGATCTCGCTAGTCAGGGTGTCATATTGCGCCTGTAGACTCTTCAAGCTGGCGGTGGCTTTCTCGACTGCGTCCTGCGCGGAAGAGGCGGCAGCACTGGCCTGAGACGCTTTGTCCACGGCGCGCTCAACTACCTCTTCGAAATAGGCCCGCTGGCTTTCAAGTTGGCTAGTAAGTAAGTGAGTATATTCCACGCTCATGTTTTCTAGCTTCTCCCGCGGAACGGCGTCCGTCCAGTCTGGAGGGTCAAGCGCACTGTTGTCGGCTGCTGGGAGTTCCACGAGCTTGCCGTCGGTTTTGCTTTGGATGATGCGGTGCACGTAGGCATCGCCGACGTAGTCCCAGACGCGCTGCGTAGAGAGATCCATAGCAAAGGCATGCGCCGTTTCCTTGTAATGCGCAAATGCATGTGCCCCATCATAGCGTCCACAGCCGACGTTTCCGCAGATAAGGCATATCCAGAGGTTAATGTCCGAGTGGCACACGCTGCACTCGGCTGGTTCATCATCATATAATGCGGCTTGGCTGTTTCGCCGGATGTCGTCTTGTGTGTATCGACATACCGGGCAGCCACTTCCTTTCCACTTCTGTAAACACGTGCAGTGAAAGACGTGCTGGCATATGATGGTCAGCAAGCCGGTGGTCTCATCCATGCGCTCTAGACACACTGGGCATGTTGGCAGTTCAATAAGCGCAGGGGTAGGAGGCGCCAGTGGCCTGGTAGAGAGGGTAGCGGAAGGTATGGAGCTTGACTGCGTAGTTGAAATGGGTGTTGTCCGCACAGGGCTCGTCGCAGCGTGTGGAGAGAGAAGGCCAGTCTGTGATCCAGTAGACAGCGCGCCCGGCTCAACGGCTTGTATCTCGACGGTTTTCACGAAGACGACATGACACGTTTCGGGCTGAAGCAAGGGCGCGTTAGCATCGCAGCTGTGGATCTGCACCAAGCAATGCATGATGCACTTACCTCCATGCTGTTAAACACCTTTCCATTCCAGTCTTTCTGCCACTCCTTGGCCTTCTTTCCGTTGCGGAACTTCATCAAAACCATATACCGGTTCGCTCGAGCGGTCTTGATCATGCGAAAATGATTGACATCGTTCATAGTCGATTCGCCCACGAACCCCAAAAAGTCGGACGGCGACATATAGGAAGGCACGGCTAGGATGCATAGCGTTGTGCAATCCTCATCGGGCATATGCTCTTCTGCGCGCGGGGGCCTACTGCTGCCGGCCACTTCATCGTACGGTGTCCTCGCCGCAGCTGCCGAACCTTTCAAGTACGAGGGGTAGTCCTCTTCTGTCAAGAACGGCGTCTCCCCAGCATCTCGGTAAAGATGCACGATTCCCCAAACACTCTCCGACGTACTCTGGTCTAGCGGTATGTATTTGCCTTTCGTGCGTAGTCCTCCCAAGATATCCGTGCCGATCCCGGTCGCGATGGGATTCTCCTTTGCATTCTTCCAGCCCGTCCGCTTCGCAGCAGTTGTGTCCTGCTCCGATGGAATCATGTCAATGCACTCGATGGATACTTTATCAAGCCTGAGGTCGCGCTCGAAGTCGGATGCGCTTGTCGGCGAAGTCGTGTAGAGGTGAGGGGTACGGAGGTCTGCAACGCTGGTTGTAGAGTCTGAGCCGTGGGTTTCGGCGAAAGTGTTGGGTGAGGGGCGTGGGTGTTTCCCATGCGCTTGATGACGAGAAGATCGATGTGCCCACGGTGAGTGCCGGCGCTTCTGGAACGGGAGTAGAGATTCGCATGCGGAGTCGAAAGATAGCGACGTCGAGTGCTTGTCCACGCCTGGGTATGTGCCTTGGAGGTCAGAGTGCGGGCGAGCAAATAATTCGATCGCAATGTGGTAAAAGTAGGAGGGCATCACGACTGATGCTCACATCTCCAGCGTGCTACAGGCCTGCAACTGCTCTCCTGGGTCAGCTTCATGAATGGAAGCTACTTTCCTGTCCCACGCCGCCTTGGGACGGTATCAGTCACGTGCCGAGATACGGGTGGCGAAGACGGTGACTCACGCTCGATGTCTGTTACTTGTTCGATAATTTACAGGTAGATGAAGTTGAAGCTATTCAGTTCCTATTTGATATCGTCTCATGTTGTTATGTAAGGTGGTTGATAGCTACTTGAACTGCACGTTGACGGCGTCTCTGAAAGCGTGTAACGGTCTACCTCAAGTTCCTACTAAATCTACAAAAAAAGCGGTAGATATCAGGTGGAATATGATTATTGAATTGATTCCTAGGTAAAAGAATGACGCAAGGCACCATGGAAGATGGTGACCCTAAGGTATGCCCAATTTATCCGTATCATAAAAACCGATGAAAACAACCGTCCCAACGCCATGCAGGCCACTCAACCGTAGATGAGCCGTGCTAAAGAAGAAAGATCAAAATAAGGCATTAGTTTCCGCCACGGAGACGGAGCACCAGGTGCAGAGTGCTCTCCTTCTGGATGTTGTAATCGGAGAGCGTACGTCCATCTTCCAACTGCTTACCAGCGAAGATGAGACGCTGCTGGTCCGGGGGAATGCCCTCCTTATCTTGAATCTTAGTCTTGACGTTATCAATGGTATCCGAGCTCTCCACCTCCAGCGTAATCGTCTTGCCGGTAAGAGTCTTCACGAAGATCTGCATACCACCACGGAGACGAAGGACAAGGTGAAGAGTGGATTCTTTCTGGATGTTGTAGTCGGACAAGGTACGGCCATCCTCCAACTGCTTACCAGCGAAGATGAGACGCTGCTGGTCCGGGGGGATGCCTTCCTTGTCTTGAATCTTGGTCTTAACGTTATCAATTGTGTCGGAAGATTCAACTTCCAATGTGATCGTCTTTCCCGTGAGAGTCTTGACGAAGATCTGCATACCACCACGCAGACGAAGGACGAGGTGAAGGGTGGATTCCTTTTGAATGTTGTAGTCAGACAGGGTACGGCCATCCTCCAGCTGCTTTCCAGCGAAGATCAGACGCTGCTGGTCCGGGGGAATGCCCTCCTTGTCCTGAATCTTGGTCTTCACATTGTCGATGGTGTCAGAAGACTCCACCTCAAGGGTGATGGTCTTTCCGGTCAGGGTCTTGACGACTAATATGAGGTCAGTATATGGTCCAAGTGAAGGTGGCCAACAGGGTGGCAAATAGAGTTCAGGACAACTTACAAATCTGCATACCACCACGCAGGCGGAGGACAAGATGGAGAGTAGACTCCTTCTGGATGTTGTAGTCACTAAGCGTGCGGCCATCCTCCAGCTGCTTTCCCGCGAAGATCAGACGCTGCTGGTCGGGAGGGATGCCCTCCTTATCCTGGATCTTGGTCTTGACGTTGTCGATGGTATCGCTGGACTCGACCTCGAGGGTGATGGTCTTGCCGGTTACTAGATGGAAACAAACAGTCAGATGATGGATTCCTGATGCTAAGCTTGAGAAATGGTTAGGGATACTCACGGGTCTTAACGAAGATCTGCATGTTGTAGAAGCGCAGTTAACGGTGTATGTATCTAGGTGGAGTGTTGTGGGGAGGATCGCAGATGGCGATGCGCGGAAGGTGAGTGGTAGGATGAGAGGTATGAGGGATGAAGGAGGGTTGGTAGTGAGAGGAAGGAAGAGAAGGCTTAAGTAGTCAGGAGAGGAGGTGAATGAGGGGAGGCGGCGGAGGCGAAGCGCCTTAGTCAGAGGTCGGTCAGTGAGATAACGTGATGCAAGGGAATGGCTTAGAGGTTAAGTCGCAATAAAGGGAAAAGAGCAGCAGGGACCTTAGCCCGAGCGGTGTTAGCCTGTCAGACGAAGTACCTTTCGAGCGACGCTTCTGGCACCTCCTGGGGGATTCCCTTGCCATCCGGCTATTGCACCGGAATCCGCTTGGTCTGCGTCATTTGGTTCTCCAATACGCTTCGTTGCTGAAGCGCTTGGGGGAGAATCTACTAGAAAGGTTCTGGTTGGGTTGACTCAGGCTCCCACGGCAGCCACCTATTATTGGGTTTTCACTACGGAATGGTTGCTGAAAGGAAGAGTGGTAACGCATACGAAAATTTTGTCCTGCAAACTTAGACGACGGGGCAAAGCCTGATCCCATGTGGTAGGCACTCCTGATGCCCTGGAGTGAGACGAAGCCAGTTGCCGGGGCCTGATATCAGTCCGGGGGAGTGTCTACGAGCGGCCAGGACGACTCCGTCCGTACCCGCCACTGACGCCACCAGTCGGTATCTCAGCCCGACCCAATCCAGACCGCAGCCGTGTTCCTGAAATAGAACCCGTTGACACTCCCGGTGAAAATACTCGTTGCTACTCTGAAGAATTGCTCATTATTGTTGGTATCCTCTCACCAGGCAAACTGGTGGTGATCAGGGAGTAATGCGACAACTGGCCTTGCGGCGGCAGCAACGGCGATGACGTGTGAGTTGGGGGCATCCCTTATCGGAAGATGGGGGAAGGGGATCCTCTCCAGCTGTTATCTCGACGGCGCGGCCTCGGGAAGTGGCCTTAGGCCATCGCTAGCGGCTGGAGATGGGTCAGGTGATCGTCGCATCCGGAATGCCCCGCTTTTGGCCGGGCACCACTGAATCGTATCCATGACTGCATGCATTCCAGAGTCATATACCAGCTCATCGTTTGCATCATCACTATTTACTATTTACTCACCAGTCATGTATCAATTATCTCTCTTGATAACTGCCTGTCTCTTGGCTGCGTCACCTGCCGTGGTTGAATGTGCGTATGTGCCATACAGGCTATTGCATTGGGCGGCTATAAGAAAGTTTCCCTAAATACGAACTAGTGTTTCTTCTGTTTTGAAGGCATGATAACCCAACGAGACTACCACTATCGCGTCCAACTCTCTGGGTCGTAGGACGGAATGACCTTCCACTTATGGTTACGTCGGTTCGGAACTTTCTTCTGCTTGAAGAGGGTGACTCTAGATAAACAAAGAAAGGTGGTACCATTCTCAATTCCCGTTGAGTGATCCGCTCTCAATCAAGCCAGTCATGAACTACGGCTGCCGGCAAGGCGCACGCGGGCAAGCTGCTGTCGGTGTGATTACCGTCCCCACCCAACAGCTAGGCATAATGGGCTTGTTGTGGCCTTAACCCATACACGTTGTAGACTTAAAGAGTTGACCAACAAGGTAGCCAAGATGATAAATATTGGGGGGCTGTAGCAACAGAGATCCTGAGTTCAATATGCTGTTCAATCAGCACGGTGGTGACACGAATCAGACATATACACAGCAATTGCACACTAGACTTGGTGCGACAGTGGGGACTCTCGCATCCACCCTGAAGAATCACCTCTATCCAGACTTCACCGAAGATGCCTGACAGACGTCAAAGCCTTCATTCAAGCACTCATTCATGTCAATGGGGATGGGTAGGAGAGTACGTATCTGAAGCAAAAAACCGAACCGTCATAGGAGACCGGCGCTCTACCATTGAGCCAATAGACCAATGGAAACGATCTACATGGGACTCGAACCCACAACCTCCGGTTTTCCAAACTCATCCAATGAGCCAACGGACCGATTTAGCCGGGAGCTTCAAAATAATGTCTTATGGACAGTAGCTTGCCCTTCTCCGAAGAATGGCAGCTGCCAGCTGATGAGTGGGTCTTACCGACAGATGCCCGGTGCTTTGTTTACATTTCCGATGCGGTATGGGTGAGTAGACTGTGAGAGCATTCCTCACACTTAAGTTTGCTTACTATAGAGACATACATGCGCTGTGAATGTATCCTTTGCATCACTGTTGCTCATGTTGCTCAGTGAAAGCGGACATCCAGCATCACTGCAAGGAGTAGCTTAGTGCTCAGCCGCAGGCTGAAGATAGATCAATAGTAGCGGAACTCACTCACATCACCCTCCATCTTTCACTCATCATTATTTGAATTCTTGTCCAACCCTCTGTTTCGACTGCTCTCGTTGCACCCTCTGATAAGGTTGCAAATAAGGTGCTTATTGTTTCCTGGCTGGGTTCAGTCGAGTAATTACTTCGTGCAATAGTGGTTCTTGGTCCCTGCCCCTCCACCGCTAGAGACAACATAAGTCTTCTGGTCTCATCTTTGTTCGACACACCACAATAAGCCGAGAATATTTCCGTCCAAGCAGCATCATTGCTTTCCAGTCACCCCTCTACTACCCACAATGTACGACTGTGAAACCTGCCCTCGCTACTTCAACAGCTGGTATGCCTGTCGCCAGCACATGAACGACACGGGCCATTGGGGCGTGCGGTACGAATGTGAAACCTGCGATGACCAGTTTTTGACTCAATGGGAAGTGAAGGAACATATGGATGACTACAGACACCACGCACCCAAGATTCCTTGCGAGACATGCGGGAGGAAGTTCTACAATCAAACGTCAGCGGATCAGCACATGAATGCAATGGACCATTGGGCTCCAACATGGCCATGTGAGACTTGCACGCAGATGTTCCATACGGAAGGTGCTGCAGAACAGCATATGCAGGCCAAATCCCATTACAAGAACTACTGCCACCCCTGTAACCGGCGTTTCGATACCGAGAATAACCTCAAGATGGTAAGGCCTTCTATTTCCTCAAACATCGTGAATAAACTCAGATTTCGCTTGTAGCACTTGAGTTCGAAGATTCACCGCGGTCAAGACATCTTCTGTCCTTTTTGCAACGCTGCTTTTACTACGGCCACTGGCGTCGCTCACCACCTTGAAACCGGCTCCTGCAAACGTGCTACAGGCCTCAATCGCGAGACTATCTACAAATTCGTTCGCAGCCGTGACACCCAAGGCGTCATTACAAGGAAGCTGCTTGAATGGAATGAGGATGACAACATTCAATACAAGGCTAATTCCCGTGCATACAACGGCGCCTACTGGGAGTGCTACTTGTGTCATCGGGAATTCAACAGCTTGACCGCACTTAATCAACATCTCAATTCGCCCGTGCACAAGCAGAAGCTATATCATTGTCCGAACGCGAAGTGTAGGAAGCAGTTTGTTACTATAGCTGCTCTGTTTAATCACCTGGAAAGCGAATCTTGCGCCTTTATGCGATTCGAGAAGGTACAGCGGCAGGTTCAGAATGTGTTCCGTGACCAGAGAGCTATTGCATTCTGAAAAAGCACAACACGATACTGCCACTCAGAAAGCTCGTCGCTGGATTCAAATCTGATGTCTGCTCGTACGGGCCTGAAATGTAAGTGTCGGTATTCCACAGGCTGATTTCGGACGCTGTCATGAGCCAGCTACCAGGGCATATGGCGCAATCTCGCTACAAGACTGCTTCATTGAGGCCACTGTCTGACGTCTATCTATCTCTGTGTATTGAATCTGTTCTGATATTCTATTCCTCACCGCTGGCGGCTAATAAGGTCTCATTTCAAAAAATTCGCCCGAGCATTATTATCCTAAATTGCAACAATACTCTGATCAATACTTTGTGATATATTCATGATGTAATGCTTGTTGCTTTGATTCCTTTTGTTTTCCAGTTAGTAATTAGTACCTCAGAATGAAAGAACGTGTTTACAACTAGGTCTGTTCGCTTCCAGTAGACAACGGCCACGGATGTTCTCAAGCAGTGTCATACACTTGAGTAGGTCAGCAGACAGCAAATCCAATACCATAATGCACTTCAATACTAGCACCACCATCGTTAAGCAGTAAAAAAGGGAAAAATAAACACAGGGACAGTCGAAAAGTTCAAATACACAAAGCCATCTCACATACTATGTGACTTGCCACTCAGGCACTACTGTACATTGTAAGGCAAGGGAACCTCACCAGTCCCAACAAAAGGAGTATGGAAGAGAGGTAGAACATTGGTTATCTGTCGTAAGAACCCCTCTCATTAGTTCCACCCTATTCCCTGGGGCATACTAAATACCACCACCTGATGCATTCAAGCCAGTAGGTATCCAAATTTTCAACACTGACATCTTTAGCAAACAAACGAATAACCACATCTTCGCAAAACAGAATATTCCACTGATATAACCCCAGTACGCACTTCCTCAGTAGTAATAAGCAAGCATATGAGTACTTCTACTAGATAAGGATAAATTTCCCCAACGGTCAACTAAACCTTACATACTACATAGAAATCATACTGAACTCTATAATAAAAGTTAACGTCAACTAATCAACATGTAGTACTATATAAGACATACAATCGCAAGAAATGTAACGGTGATGACGATGACTGGTCCCGAAAGTGGTTGGTGAGAAGTACTAGTAGTATCGATCTGGAATTATTGCGTGGGATTATTTAGCAGCATCATAATTTTCTGATGTAGATGACAAATAGCAATGTAGAGGGTTCTATATACTGATTGATAGCCAATGATTGTGTAGATAGTAGTAAAACAAAATAGTTTTCAAGTAATTGATTCTGACTTGGTGGTTGATTATACTTGCGGTATGTAGGGATAAGTCAACGGGTACCTGGATGTAGGAATAGCGTGTCATCATAACATGCTAGAAAAGTTCATGGGACTTGTGCAATGAAATGGCATACAAGAAGTAGTCAAAGTATGGATCTGTGGTAGATCGAAGATCATCATGAGGGTCGAACTGGTCTTGGTCGTAAGGGTTATTTCCCAGGACGGTTACTTTCTATCTAGTACATAGTATTGCATGGCGGCTTGCTTCTTCCAAGAAGAGGAAGAGGAGGATAATATGTGAGAACATTGTTTCATTGTTGAAGTAGTAGAAACCCTTCTAGACTTTAGCTCTGATCTATCGGGCTCATTCTTAATGCGAAGAATACTGTTTGTCAGTGTCTCGGGTCATGAATATAATCTATTGACATTACGTTCAAATGGATTTTTTCATTGATAATTTCTAGCTAGTAGTGGTTAGGCTACTAGTATATCAAAGATGAGATGCGAAATTCATCCATCGGTATATCTACTTATGCGGCTGCTGTGTCATAGCAAGCACCAGCAGGGATATACACACTACTTAATGATAACAAGATCTAAGCGATTTAATACCCTACATGGTCAGAACTGATAGAGAAGATTTCAATAAGAAGATCCCAGTGTACATACACAACTCTCTGTTTATAAAAGTTATTCCATGTTATGAGCACGTTAGTACTAGTAATTAGCATCATCTCATCACTATCACCGCCGCTATATAATCCTTGATTATCATCGGGATTTACTTCTCTCGGGCTTTGACAGTGGATATCAAGCATTTCAATACCACCACCATCCAATTGGCCGTCACATATAGCTCCAGCACTTATAGTTCGAATCAAGGCACACAGTACATTTGACGAGGCTACTTACGCAAGCCAAGCGCCGCACAGGCTGCATTTCATCTCCAACCAAGCCTTAACCGGCAGATAATAGGATCAAAAACCACGTAGGTAGATTCGCCACGGCCGCCCGCCGTTAGGCGAGGTAGATCTGAGACGCAGGTCGAATGAAACAAGATCAACGTTGTGGCTATTTACTTAGTTTTCTTAGATGCAGCAGTCCCGAGATGTTCTATCTAACTAGTAGATATCTGGTTTAGTTTGCCCGGAGAAACTTTCCAGCGAATGGTAGTGGGTGTTGGTGTGGGATTTTCCGTTTAGTATGGTCTTTACTTTGACGGGTAGGTAAGGGAGGTATAGTAAGTACTCTGGGCTCATAAGTTGTGGAATTTGTGCTCAGGTGACTTTCTGAGGTTTTGGATGTTTGTCAGGTGTCAAAGTAAGGATTGAGATCAGACCATAAGCGCAACCGTAGATGCCCATAGATTGGGGTGGCATCGAGACGTGGTATACCACCACCACAAACGCTACTACTACTTAGTAGTAGTCGGTGAAGTATAATACTAGTATAGTGATTGGTCGAGGTTATACCTACCTAGTTCGGGTCACAATATATTGTCACCTAGTCCATATGGGCTGGTGGCTGATAAGTGGATGGCTCTAGCCTTCCCCTTGCCCGATGAGGACTTTGTACGGAGTACTGTCAGACTAAAGTAGGACACTACTGTGGCAGGTACTCCATGCGGGCTGCAGTGGAGGGAGGGGTCCCAATCGAGGACAGGCTGAACGGAAGGATGATGGGACAACAAATTTCTCCCCTCCTGCAGGCTGATGTCATGGCTCGCGCGACAACCCCCCGGCTAGTGCATGCTGTATGATGGGATGTATACTGATCACACGCGGGTGAGATTCCATCTGATTTGAAAGAGGGCAGATGATGAACTGTATGTCTGATGTTAAGGATTCAGCTGAAGTGGAAGCAAATTGCTGGTATCTGCGCCAAGTGATGCTGTGATGAGGGGTCAAGGTATTATTTATCAATCTTGAAAAATGGCTTTAATGCCTGATACAAAATTCATGACCACAAGTGAAGATGATGAGCGAGACGGACGACCGGCCCACTCCGAGAAGGATTCCTTCGAGAAGCAACGTCGGGTTTTCACACACGGTACATCGTACAAGGGTAGTCGGGAGCATGATAGGCTGCTCAGATTGGAGCCCCAGAAGTTCCTAATTGAGGTGGCAGTGGATCGACCAGCGGGAGGCAGACGGCGAGAATTGCCCGGAACATGGATAGGCGTTGAGACTTGAGAGAGCCTGAGACAGGGGAACAATCGCTTCCCGGGCATGACTCGCCCTATCGATCGCGTGGGTGAGAGTTATTCTACTATACCAAGGGACCCCCTTGTAGTGTCACTCTTGCTGGAGATATCCGCGGCCAGTCCATTTTGGAGATAAGCACCGACGGGGGGAAGAAAGATTAAAACTACTAGTAGATTACAATCGTACAAAAAGTGAGAGTTACACAATGCTGTCCAGTGACAGTGATCAGGAATAAAAAGTAGCAAAATAGGGAAGGAGCGACTTGCGGCCGAAGTGTCTGGAAGGCGGTCCAAGCTTAGTTTGGTTCGCTTGGCAATGACCCCGCCAACGTCAGCGGCGCTTTTGATTGGCAGCAGTTCTGCCCCTCCATGATGTCACTCTCCGGGTATCTCGCTGTCTGATAGGCTCGCCCTTCCCAGCCAGACCCAGAAAGAACCTTTCCTCAACTGTCGGGTTCGTTGAATCCGCCTCGCCTCGCAAAACCAAAGAATGAGAATCTGCGATGACGATGTGTCTGTAATTAGAATATAGAATATAGATCCATTCCCCAGCATGGACTACTTATATAGAATCAACAGAGTTGGCAAGTATTGTCGTTCTCTCGAATTTTGGCCGATTTTACTTTTTTTACTTTTTTTGTTTTCTTTCGGCGATTTGCGAATGTCGAATGCCCAATGGGCCTTCTTCCACTCTCCCTCCGCCGGCACCAATTCCTACGGTACTTATGGATCAGATCTCAAGGGGGTTCTTCTGCTCTACGCTCTCTCCCTTCTCGTCCTAGCTTACAAACACCCCGCAACGGAAAACGGATCACGGATCAAGGCGTTGAAAGGATTTTCTTGTCGCCTCGCTTTTTCTTCTGGTCGCCGATTGCCTATGTTTGGTCTTGCAGGTTGTGTACGTCCGGTACAAGCTAATTTGGTTGACCCCTGAAGGGGCCCAGAACCCTCTCTTTTTCCCGGGAGGTCGTAGCAGGGGAATGAACAGGGTCCAGATTCGGCTCCAACGCGACAAACCTGGTGACTGGGTTTACGGTCGATTTGTCAACCGAATACGCAACGTCTCCGGTGGGATTGGTGGACTGCACCGTGCATGACTGCCTCCAGGCAGAGGACAATCCTCCAAGCACGATCTTACTGTGATGTCGTCCCGTCTCAGCCTACCAGACGCACCATCACCCCTCGTTTGCCATTCCAAGGCACGTCGGCATTCTAGATAATTCTGTCGACCATGAAAGACAAGACGAAGGAATGAGGTGCCATCCACGTGCGGTTTGTGATCGTGATGTGATGATGCCTGTTGACCGTTCAGAGACTGGAGGTGGTGCGGTGGTGGGGATCGACGCCCATGGCCGACTGATAAAAATCGGAGGGCGGACACCCTACGTCAATTGTGGTCCTATGATCTCAGCGTGCATCATTCAGAGTGGAGGTAAGGATTGGCTCCCTTTTTGGCCCGAGAATAGGGCCGTCGGTACAAATCCTTTCGCAAAGGTAAGAGGGGATGTAAGAGGGGTCTGGTTTATCTCGGGACGAGGAGCTCACGACTGGCTGGACTGTTAACAAGCACAGGCATTGCAATGTTCAACAAACCTGGATGAAGGGAAGATGGCATTGTGCATGGGTTTGGTGTTTGCCCGCTTCTTTCTTAACCCTTTTTTCCCTCTGGTCTCGCCTTCCCCACATAGGCCGGGCCAATCAGCGGTCCTCACTTATGTGGGATGTTTGACCTGGATATTTTGAGGCTTTTTCTCCCGGCAAATTCTAGTCTCGAGACGTGGGATCGCGTTCGGCTCCGACTTGGGAAAAGTAGACTTTCCTTTGGATGGTGAAAGCGGAAAAAAAGAGGGGAGAATCCTTTCCCTTCAAGGTGATAGAGATCGCTGTACACTACGCGGTTTAAATAGGAGACAAATTTGTCGAAAGGGATTAACCATCGAAGAACGCGCGACAAGAGAAGATGACGCCAGAGGATCTCGTCATCGGTTGCTTAAAACGCTGCCAGAGTCCCGCTCTCCTTTTTTTCTGTCCCCCTCCCGAAATTTCTCTGTTCACGCGTTTTCTGCTCGTCGGTTGATCATCGTCGTTACTCTGCAATATTGTTTTTCTTCCCCACCACCACGACGGTTTGTAAGCTTTCCGAGACCACTCATTGTTTTTTTTGCAGTCGGTGGCTCCCTTTATTGTTCTTTCCGTTCATTAGGTGCCTCCTTCTGTATGACTGCTGCAGCCCACCGTGCCGGTGTCCAATGAATTGACCGCTCTGGATGAACATCGGATCGGGGCCTGTCAGTTGAGGAAGAAGGGCTGAAGCATCGTTGTTCCCCTCGGTTTGTCTCATCAAGGGCTGGCCCACCGTATTATTCATTCCCGCAATAGCGCCTAAAATCCTAATCATAATTCTAGCCTGAGGGTAACTTGAGTGAAGAGGTCACATCATCAACCTTCACTTTTGGAGGTTACGGGCATGGGACTCCCTTGAGGGTATTGTCGGGACACAACTTACTTTTGACTCCTGATAATACAGTCCGATCAGGCTGTACCTTACCTCTAGTTCGGGTCTTGTTGTGATTCTTTTTGTTTCTTTCCTCCCATCGGTAATCTTCCTCCTCCCTCCTCTCCCTATCTGCTGTCTCTTGTGTCTGTTCTGTTTCTATCGGCTGCCAGCCCAGCCCACTTGCTCCCCTCCTCTTTTTCGTTTCCCCTCCACTTTCTGGTTCCTTTTGACGGCGCGCGCCTAACCAGAAAAAAACTAAGTGCAGCGAAAAAAAAAAAAAAAATCAAAAAAGAAAAAAATAATAATAACGACGAAAGATTTTTCTGAAATAAATAAATTTAATAGGGAAAAAATAGTAAAAGAGAAAAAAAAAAGGCGCGCCAAAAAGGAAAGGAGAGAAGAGGTTCACACACACAGAGTGCAACCAACCATCAGCATCGTCATTTCCTTTTACCTCATCCTCCCTCTCTCTCCTCCTCTCCTCCTCTCTTCCTCTCCTCTTTTTCCCTCCCTCCCACTTTCAAGCTTCGCTTTCCCCCTTCTCATCATCATCTTCTGCTTCATCCTCTTTAATCTTATCCACTTGTCCTAATCGGGAATATTCATCTTTCCCACTTCTGCCTCACCTTAACTCGCCTTATCGTCGGGTTCCCCGTTAATCTAAGTTTAATCTGACCATTGCCACTTCCGCTGTTGCTGCCATACTTCTATTGAATCCATATATACCCAAAGGCAACCTCAGCTTCTTAAAACTGCGGTGGACGGAACTGGTTCCAGGTGGGCAAAACCCCCCTTCTGCTGCTCTGCTTAGCGCCTCCCAGCCCATCATAATAAGTGCTCGGCTGCTCATCCTCCCCCTCGGACAATCACTGCCCCTCCCCCTCGTCCCTCCTGATCCAGACAGCTGTTCCCTTGCTCATCCCAAGGTGGATCCATCCCATCTGGTGGATTGATATCTGTGCTTCCCTTCTACCCGCTGCCTCTCTTTCCACAATCACTTTCTTCTTCTCTCCCCTCCCAGCCTCACTTATTTCCACTCCATACGATACCCCTCCCCATTCCCTGGTGGCAGGAACATCCTTGTTTAAACATTCCCTCAGCCTCACATAGCTAGATTACCTTGTGTGTTGCTCTTGAACTCTTTTTTCTTTCTTCATTCCCCTCATCGACCCCTCTTGACTCAATCTTTTTTCTTTACTCACGAGGCAATCATACCAAAGACGAACTGTTGGCCTCTCCAGTTCTGTGTTCTGTGTGTGTCTGCGTGTTCATCCCCTCCCCTTCCTTTCGTTGTATATCTCCTGTTTTATTCTTTGTCCCTGGGCTGGCTTGCCTGACCCTCGTAATACCCCTATTGCGTAGGGCAACATCATCACGATCGATCCGAGCAGCTGTAACGTCGCCGTTCGATTCGTGTTCCACCGCTGACATGGAATTAGCCTGCAGATTCTTTCCGTGTAATTCTCAGTATTTCCGTGTTTGCTGCTTGCCAGCTTGGGCCCGGAGAACAGCCGGCTAGATTGACCCACAGAGTCCGGACACGCAGCTTGTCAAAAGACCATTGACTCCTGGTGGTCTCAAGGCGTTTGCTCTACGTCGAACGACATTGAACCTTAACCCAAAGCACGAGAACCAGTCTCGTATCATCACATCATCATGGCGCCCACCACTACTACAAAGACCGTGGAGGAGCCTGTAGGTGTCGCGAAGCCGCACACTGAAGCCAAGGTTGAAGCTGACCTCCCCAAGCCCAAGGAGACTAAGGAGATCCCCTCCACATTGGCGGAGATGAGTGGGAGTATCGACCAGAGCACATTCGAGCAGATTTTGGAGATGGACGACGACGACAGTGATAGAGATTTCAGCAAGGGTATCGTGTTTGGGTTCTTCGACCAGGCTGAGAGCACATTCATCAAGATGGAGGATGCTTTGTAAGTGTTCGCGCCGCTTGCGGTTTGGTAAATCGCGCTAATCAAGCATATAGGAAGGCGGAAGATCTGAATGATCTGTCTTCTCTGGGACACTACCTGAAAGGTTCATCAGCCACGCTCGGACTCACCAAGGTCAAGGATGCATGCGAGAAGATTCAACACTACGGCGCCGGCAAGGATGAGACCGGTACGACGGACGAGCCGGACAAGAAGACCTCCCTTTCGCGCATTGAGAAGACCCTGACCCAGGTGAAAAAGGATTACAAGGAAGTAGAGGCCTTCCTGCGCAAGTATTATGGCGAAGAGGAGGAATCCTCTTAAACTTAGGACGAACAGAAACAGAAGGACAGGGTAGAATCAGGCGAGAATTCTGTGTCAGTTAACTGAATATACGCGCGAGAGCGAGGCCACACGCTCCGCCCAAGATCAATGCAATCGAGATCACCAAGTGACAGCACCATCACCACACAGCTATTTCTAAGACTGCGGAAACATGCAGGAAGACAAGACATCCATCTTGCCGCGGAAAAAAGATGATTTCATTTCTATTTTTGCCCCTTGTCTTGGCCGGGGCTGTTTGTTCCTAGAACTGTATGAACCATGAACTAAAGGGAATATGAAGAACCAGAACAAAAGGAAAAGAAAAACAAACAAAAAAGAAAAAGAAAAGGTAGATGATTGATACTTGTCGTCCTGCCTTGGTTAGCCTAGTTGCAAGATGGCCCTTGGGGGACGGATGTCGCATGCACATTGCCTTGTGGCATGATCGGGTAGTCGTTGCTTGCCAGGGAGGGCTGGGAATGCTTGGACGACCGTCGCTTTTGAGCAAATACCCCTGGGAGCTTGAGCTTCAGGAACGACAGATGAAATGGGAGGAGGTGGTGACAGCGATCACTCTCATCCGACCCTCCTTAGATCATAGATACAAGTAGGTGGTAGTTGAGTCGACTTTATCGGGTCCGGTAGCAAAGTTCGTGAGCTGCCAGACGGGAGTTTTGCCGTGGATTGTCGGACATACTTGAGTATGTACGACCGTTGCCTCACATGCACCTTTACACAAGGACCAGGCTGAGCAACGTTCGGGAGATGAGCTGGAGGTGCCTGTCGTATCCTTGGGACTCTCCCAGCGTCAACCTCCGCCCCGGGTCACGGCAGCATCCGGATGGATGTCTGCAAACAACAGATTTCCTTCCCTCGAGGAAGGTATTGATGGGATCGACAAACGGTCAACGGGTTCGTCTTAATATATATTTCGCCTCTGGGCAAAAGGAAGAAGGGGCAGGTTGTCATTTCGGTCGAAGACAGGACCCTTTTAAACCAGACTGGGGCGTTTGTCCGTGCGTTAGCGGGGGCGTCTGCCAGCCAGGGATGGTAGGGTTAGCCACCACCACCACCACCACCACCACCACCACTGCCTCCGGAAGCTACAGTAGCTAGCTAACTAGCTTTCTAGCTTATGGCTCGGGAAAGGCAACGCAGACATGACTTGGATTCTGACGGGATGGGACAGGGTCCGTGGCACTGCAGATGGTTGGGAGGTGATGATGATCATGGGGTTGTGCTGATAGCCCCTACCGTATGCCATTCATGGATGTGAGAAGGCAAGCAGGAGCAGCCAGAGGAACTGTTCCATCCAGTTTCTTTCCTCGACTCCCGTACTGTGGGTGCCTGTGTGCGACCATCCATCCATACCAACTTCCCAAGCTGGATGAGAAAAGCGCACGTTACATTGACAGCCTGTCCTGCTTGCCTACCGGCATTCTGTGCGTGTGTCTGTTCGTTTCTATATTGGATATCATGACTCAGAGGGGGATACACCCATTACTCACGAGACTGCGGTCAGACAAACTACGTCTTATTCCCGTCAGTCGGTCAGTGGTGGGATGATCCGACAACCGAACTGGTTGTCCAAGGACGAGAGCATGACATATGGGAATTGTCCCAACAAACGGATAGCTACATGCTACCTATTCACTAGCTGAGTGGGACGACGGGTATCTTTCTTGCCCTGGAAGTGCAGCTGTGGTATCTGATGACAATTATGGTGAGGATATTTGAATAAAGAGGGTTAGTGTGGTCATATGGGAGACATTGTTCATATTCTTCGTATCACAAATTGATTCCGTGACTAGCAGCAACGGCTGTGCTGCAGATACAATAGACAACAATAACACACCCTCTTTTGCTTCTGAAAATCCCATCTTTGTCTTTCCCTTGATTATCATTCTTCTCCGTTTATCAATCATAACACGTGCTGATCCAACGGGACAAGAACACACCCTCTCACCACAATCAACCATCAACCATCAACCACCCAAGCAAGCAAGCAAGCAATCACTCAACCAAGAACCGTTTCTCGGGAACCCGTGCGACAGCAGACAAAACCGGAATCGTTATCCCTGCTTGATACATCCTTACTCGAACGGAGTGAACAGTGGCGTGAGATATTACTACTTAAATCTTACATCAATCCCTACCACCACCAACCCCCAACCCCAAACCACCCCCCACAAAACAAAGACAAGACAAGAGACGAAAGAAAGAAAGAAAGATGTCCGTCTCCCCCCGCGCCAGCAAAGAAGAATTCATGGCCGCATTGGGCCTCTCCACCCAAGACCCCCAACACGAGCAATACTACCGCGCCATGAGAGTAAATCCCCCCCATCCCCCATACCCCAATTCCCCCCTATACACAACCCTACTAACAAAATACCACAAAAGGATGAAGCAATCTCAACCTACAACCACCTGAACGAAGACCCCTCCAACCTCCTCGACATCTACCGAACCACCAAACCACCATACTTCTGGCACCACATCCGGCCTGAGCGCCAGCGATGGGGGATAAATGAAATAGCGAGGAACGCGAGTCCGCTTACAAGACCGCTGTTTGCTCGCGGGATGACTAGTGGCGAGTATGGGCCGAATTGGGTCGCGGGGTGGTTGCTGTATAGTGTTTTTAGGAGTAGGGATGTGAGGAATAATAGGAATAGGAGGTTGAAGGATAAGAATGGGAATAGTGGTGGTATTTCTGGTGGGGAAGGTATGTATCTCTCCCTATCTCTCTCTTTAGTTTTATGTGTGGTTCAATTGGTATGTACATCTAACTAACTATGCTGCTATGCTGGCTGTATGTATAGGTCGGGCGAGTTCTCCTCAGATGGTGTTGAGGTATGGTGGTGGTGCTTCTGCGGCTGCTTCTGCTGGTGGTGGTAGTGGTGCTGCGAACAGTGGAAAGAAGGAGTACTATGATCCTGTTAGGAATGGTTGAGTGCAATGCAATGCAATGCAACGGGCATGGGCGTGTATAGACTAATCTCCATCCTCCTCCTCATCACCTCTCCTCTTATTTCCATTCTTCTGCGTCCTCTCCTGCTTCAACGCCTCCGTGACTCTCTGGTCCCTTTCATCCTTCCTCTCATCCCACTCCACATCATACTCCGCCGCAATATTCTTGATCTCCTTGCGCAACGTATTTCCCTCGTCAATCAATGACTCCCACAACTGCAAATCAATCCCCTTCTCCTGATACAGCTTCTTCTGCCGCGCATTGATCGTAAAATCCAACGCTGACCGGTACGATATCTCCCGGTTATGGTACAGAAACCAGAGATATCCCCCCATCAGCGTCGACAAACTCACCAGATACGTCACCGGCTCCATCGTATCCCAGCCCAGATCCGTCTCAAACGTCAACCTGTACACGAGGTACCACCACATTGCCAGGATTCCCAGCCCTCCCATCGCCACCCGCTGTGCTCCCCGGTGCGCTAGCGCATCACACTCGTGCTTGATCTCCGCGATGCCCTTGATCCGCCCGGAGATCTTCCGCAGTCTCATTCGCAGGAAGTACGTCCGCTCGTCGAACGATGGCACCGCTACTCGGATCTGATGCACCCCGGCTGGTGCGCCTTCCACGGAGACGATGAATTCCCGGGCCCGTGCTGCGTCGCGGATAAAGTCTCCAATTTCGGTGGATTGTGACCAGCGTACGAAGCGCTGCTCTCTCCTGCCGCCGCCTTCTGATTCTTCTCCCTTCTTGCTGGGCTCCGTGCGGCGCAGGTACGTGTATGTATCGTCTTCTGTGGGGATCCGCTTGCCTTCGCCGTCATCGATGCGACCCATTTCGTCGAGCTGGTGGACTTCTGCGCCGGTGCCTTCGTAGACGGCTTTTCGGGGCCGAATGGGGTGGTCTTCGATTTGGAGGGCGATGAAGGAGACGGTTGGGGGGCGGGTTTGGCCGTCTTCTTTCTTAATGGCTGGGACTTCAGACTGGATTAGTCGTTCCAGGTGGGAGAGTGGTTGTTGGGGGTGGACGAGAATAGCTATTGGTTCGATGTCTGTGTCGTCAGTACACTCTCTTCCACAATGCCATGAATTTCAGTGAGATATACCTTTATGCTCCCCCTGATAGCCGGTCGACAGCGGAATCAACAGCTTGAATAACCTCGACGGTGTCGTTAATAGCTTGCCTGTACAGTATTAACACATGCCCTGGTTTTGAAGAACAGGAAAAGATAGAGATATACCCTTCGTCATCGCATCCTCCAACTTCCCCCCTGAGTCTCCTCCCTTCTGCTCCTCCTGCACAACCCCCGTCCGATCCCTCAATCTCAACCTCTCCAATTGCTCTTTCGTCCGGGTGTTTCTCATCCCGCTACCACCAGGAATTCCTGCACGGAACCACCTCCGGTCTAGTGGCATCCAGACCGCACCACTATTGGGCTGCATATGCGCACTCCCATTGTACCCTCCTCTCGTCGTCGCAGCGCCTAATATAGCAGGAGCAGTACTGCAGGTGTTCCATCGTGCACGCGGAACTTGTGGGAGGACATGCCCGACTCGAGGAACTCGACCCAGAATTGACCGCATTGCGGTCACGTCATCGGCTATTGTAGATGGAAGTTCATATATGCACTTGTATCCTCTAGGCGCGAGAAAGATATATAGTATCCACCAGATAGGGCGATAAAAGCTGCACCGGGATCAGGGGTAAAAGTACTGGTATGAAGCCGGTAGATTTGAATTAGGATTAATCTATAAATGTAATTGTTCTCTTCCTTGCTGGCGTAGGGATTTTCCAGAGTTGCCTTGGAAGGGTAAACTTCATAATGTAGTTCGTTGGGTGATGTACGTCATGATGAGTCAGCTGTGATGATGCTTGTGTGGAGACGCGTGTCATGTCGGTTTGTTCGGTTGAGGGAGGCGAAGCAGAGGTTAATTTGGGATGTTAAGGGGTGATGATGATAACTATGATGCTGGTGTTGGCGTCATTGGGGTTTCAGTTGTTGTTCCTGAGGTCAGGTTCAGGAGGAATGGCGGTGGTGTCTGATTCATGGCTGGAGGTTGTCCAGTTGGGTGGTGGTCTAGACCGCTACGTATATATATACTTTAGCAGCAGCGGTAGTAGTCAGTGATTTCAACCTGTATAGTATATACACAAGTTTAATTGAGCGCTCATACATCAATTCACCACCCAAGATTGTGATCGCTGGCCACCCATGCAATCAATCAAACAAACTAGCCCGATCATCAGTCTGGAATCAATCCCTGTGTTCCTGCCATAGACCAATTCCATCATCCATCACCCATACCCTTCACCGCTAAAAGCGACAGCCAACAAGCACAAAGAAAAGCATTTCGATCTATCTGGTATTCAAGTCATGTCGTAAATCGTAGCATCATCAAGTATCCCAGTATTCCCTCTGCTTCACTCCCTTCCTCCTTTTCGAAGAAAATCAATCATCCGCTACTTACTGCCCAAAAGCAAGCGCCCTCGTCGGTCCAACGCCCCGTCGATCCAGTCTCCCTTCACAACTCTCCGGACTGCTCCCACCACTTCTGCTCTCGCCGCTTGTCGACATATCCGTCTCATCTCCATAGCGTCCCTTTCTTCCCGTGCCAATGGCGACCGGAATTCCCTGAATGGGTCCCCCCCGGTGTTCATGACCAGCAGGGTACATGCCGTCGTTGACAGAGAAGTTGCGGCAAATCAGGTACGCGCGCATCGCTGCATTCTCCTCAGCTAGAGTCTTCGATTCGCAAACGTCCTCCGTCTGGTATTCCCGGTTGTTGACCCGGACAATGCACGTGTAACCGCCTCCGACTGCATAGGATTCGTAGGCAGGTTCTGCCCAGTGCCGGCGTCGGCAGAGACCTGTACATGAAATGTTAATGGATGGCTGTTAAAGGACGGATGGCGATCGGATCGTGTGTTAACGCTCGGTCGCTCCGAGGGATGCAAATTCCCCGAGCGATCGACAAATCATAGAGAGTGTAGATAAGAAATCGCATCGCCTTGAGTCAATAACGACCACCACCGCCGTCGGCTTGATCCCAGCCATTGTTGTTTTTCCACCACATGCATACATGCATGGTGTCTAACATGAAGTGGGAAAAAACAGAGCATGGCCACTCGGAGGCGTTGGTCTGACCCAATGGCATAAACGAAGGGGAAGAGAAGCAAAGGTCGGACGAATGGCAAACGAAATCATCTACATACTTGCGAGGTAGAGAATATAGTACATCGTGAAGACCAGTGAATGGCCAATGGAAGGTATAGCCCTGGATGGTATCGGCCCAGTATTCGTTGCCCCAGCTCAGATCGAGACTGCACCAGATCCTGGGCAGTCACACCAAAAAGGTACCGGCACGAGTCTATGTTGACAGCGATGGTTGGTGCCCAATGATCACTCACTCACTGCCTCATATGACGGGCAATGGATGTGCTATTTTTGTGGTTCCGTTATTTTTTACAATAGCCAAAGAGCCCTGTTCACCACAAGCGGGCCGAGACAGTCGACAACGCCTAGTATAGATCAATGCAAACAAAGGGCACGAAGGACCGTGAGGGAAGGAACTAGCGGCCGAGAAGAGTCAAGCAGCATGCCTTACACTGGCGGAGGGCAGGAGGGAAAAAAAAAGAAAAGAGAGGCGAAGAATATCATGCTGGCTCAGGTATAGTCCGCTCAAATAAACAGGGTGGGACTGGTCATTGATAATTATTCCAGTCAAGGGGAAGAAAAGGGTAAAGAGAGAGTGACAACAGAGACACCGTAGGGGCAAAACTAATTACAAAAAAGCAGAAGGAAAATTAAAAATAAAATTATCATTTCAATCAAAAGAACGGCTCTCCACCGGCTCTTTCAATCTCTCCACGGATTGGCCGAGGAGAAAGGCAATAGACGAATGCCCTCCTCTCAAAAACGGTCCTAAACCTCACTAGCTTTGTTCGTCTTGTCGCCTTTCTGCTTGGAGAAAGGAACATGACAAGCGCGGTCCAAACCCTGATGCGCTGGCATGGCTTTTCACCAGTGGTCCCGCGCAAAAAAGATCCAGGACGTCCTGGCCCATCGGCCACCGTGTAATTCGCCGCCGATCCAGGCGGCTAACATATTGACATGTTGTTCAGGATAAGAGCTTTCCGGGCAAATCGGTCGATTCGGTCTACCATTCTTGCTGCAGAACGTGGGCCGGCTGTCTAGGCATGCCTTAGAAGGTGCCAGTCCGTAGTCAGCGCGGCCTTTTTGTGAATTTTATTTTCTTCCATTCTTCCTTGCGCGTCCCCTCCCCTCCCGATCCTTCGGTCTGAAATGTATCCATAAACCCCGCAGTGTAGAGGGAACAACGACTGTCGCCCTGTCAAGCAAGTCGCAACGAACGTAATGGAAGCACGGGAGAAAGACTCAAGGAAGGAGGCGTCGTGGAATCCCGCTAATGCACATTGACGATACATAACAAGGGGTTGATGTCGCGCAGATGAATCCTGGCATGGAACCACCAGAGAGAATTGGTGCTGGCGGGCTTCTTTGTACCATGAGCCGATCGTCCCTTCTGGAGGGGAAGCAGGATGCCACCAATGATGGAAGAAAGTCCCGTTGGACTCGACCGTAACTTTTTTTTCCCTCTGGCCGGGTCAATGCTGAGACGATCATGACCCTCGACGACTCGGTAAGCCATCCGAATCCGCTTCCCTTAGTTTTAGCAGACCGCTTCCTCGGGTGCCTCCTGAGTAATCCTCATGTTAAATGAACAGAATCCTTCGGGAGTCGAACAAAAGATCCAGATGTAGAAACAACCATTTAAAAATTGGCTCTAGAGGTCTCTTGCTATCGGAACCTACTAATTCACAAAAGCATCCTGGAATGTATCGGTTGCCGCGTGAAAAATCCGGATAGGCTCCAGACTGGCCGGAGTGGATCAGGCTCAGATTGGTCGAGGCGTTGGATGTTGTTGACAAGCAGGCATCGCGGATGCAATGATGAGTTGGCAATTTCGCTTCGTGCGGCGGGGAATCCATGCCACTTCGACACGAAGTGAGCAAAGGATGAGGAGAAAGGAGGAGGTTAGTTAACCTTGCAGAGTAACCTGAGAGGCTTTTCTCCCACTTATTCAGCACGACCCCGGGGAATTTGGTGGCCTTTGGCTCCAACTCGACACCCGTTGGGCCACTGCTTCTTCTTCCCTCGTTTGGCTGATTGACGGGTTGCAGCATATTTGCTCAGTGTGTCTGTGCATGGTGTAAGTCCGTCCTTTTTTTGTGGCCCTCGCGTCGCGATGGTGACATGTACCGCTTGGATGTTTGTGGAAGCGAGGGCGGGCCATGCCTTTCTTTCCCCTCTGCCTTCTTAGCCGCCTTGTCCTTTTTCTACTTATCGTGGTCTTCATTCTTGAGGCGCCAGGGGATAGGGTCAAACGTGGGAGAAGCACAGATCGAATGCCCAGTCAATACTGTCCCCTAGTCTTGACTAACTGCCAGGACCGTTTCAGCGGGGTCTTGTAGTTTCAAAAGGACTACTGGAGAGGGGCATCAAGTGGCCAAACTTTGAGCAGCTGATGTCGTACCAAAGAGTTTAACCCCGGATCTTGTCGCAAGCCAGCAAGAAACCATTGGTTTGATCATCTCATCTTCATGCTGGCTGCTTCCTGGCTTTTCCTGCTTCCCCTCAGTGCGGAGGCCAGCCAAACTATCTTACATGCGTGTAACAAGCTTATGAACAATTGATTCTTACATGCGTCATACTGTACAAATTATACTTTTCATTTGATATAGTTCCCCTGCTCGATAGCTTGACCCTGTCCCATCACCATTCGGGCTTGATCGGACGGTGCTCGCACCATACCCGCAGGCTCTCCGCGGCCGCATGGGGTACCACGAAGATCGGGTGAAAGGCTTTCAACCGGTCCTTCTCATCGAATACATTCTGGTCGGAGGATGAATCATCCGAAGCAGGGATGGGTGTGCATTTCCAGGAATACGCCGAACCAAAGCCCTCATCAGAGCTGACGCTGGAAGTGGTGTGGTAATGATAATACTGGGTTGAGCTCAAGCCTGTCAGCGTGTAGCAGGTGTGGTACGAATCCGGATGCCTAGTAGCCATAGTTAGCCTGACCACACTGTGAAAGGAATCGGAAGAGGAAGGGAGTTACGTACTTCCCAGGCTTATCACGGAGCCCCCCGAACTTGGACTGGCAACAACCAAGGATATATCTGGTTAACCCTTCACGGCTGTAGAGATTGGCAGGGACCCGCTCCGGGCCTGTAGCTGACTGGACTCCGTTGAGGGCAGACTGAACTAATGGCCAGCAGGTGCCAACCCAGTGGCTGTAGCAGCCATCCACCAATTTATTGGTCCTTCCCGAAAACCCTCCTTCGGGGGCGTACTGTCGAGCAGAAAGCCAGCTCAGGAGTAAAGGAACATCCATGCACCTGATGTTATCAGCGGAAGCGGGGAGAACAACATGAGAATGCACCTCTTACCTCGACACCATGACTTCTGGTGGGCCCATGAGGCACAGACATGCCAAAGCACAGAAAGTATAGGCACCATGCGCCTCAGAACCGGGGCTTCCGGAAATGCCGCCTTCGTATGTTTGGCCTGCAGTCCAGATCAGTCTAGTCCGGCAGTTTAGGGATGCGAAGCTCTTACACCTCGACAGGTACTCCGAGAGGCCACTGGTGAATGTCTCGAGACCGTGCTGCCGAGCTTCGGCATCAGGGGGTAATTCCAGTGGCAAATTCAGTAGCGAATGGACCACCATGGCGCAATAGGCGCCTCTGACCAAATTTTAGCAAAAGGCAAAAGGTGGATGCGAAGCAAGCAACGGGAGAAAATACCGCACGTCTTCTTCCCCGCCCACGCAGACCCTAAAGCCGCCATCAGGCTGCTTCAAGCTGCCTAGCCATCTCCACCTAGGCCCAGGTCAGCATGCATTGATGCTCAAGTCAGGTACCATAATTACTCACATCGCCTCCCGATCGATTAGTTCGAATGCCTCTTCGCCTCCGACCATGGCTAAAGCGAGCACTGTGGCATAGCTAGAGGCGCAGTGGGACAGTTGCCCGTGACCTCCTCCCATACCCCCTGTAGGATTTTGCATTGGCGTAAACGTGGAAATGACACTAGAGAGAGGATTTAGACATGGTCGTTGGATAGAAAGGTGGTAATTGAGAGCCAGAATCGCAGCAGCGTAGCTATGATCAATCTGCACGCTGTCAAACGCACAGCTCAATTATTGCTTACCGTTCACGGTATTTGGTGACATCTTCCCCCAGGAGGCTTAATCCGGCCAGCACCCAGTAGACCATCCAAGGTCGGCTTGCATCCATGCCAGCGAAGCCCTCTGGATAGTCCTCCAAAGAATCGTATAAGTAGATGAGGTGGTCATTCTGGTTCAGAGATGGTACTCCGAATCGGTTGAATGGACCTGCCTGGCTGTTGTGAATGCCTTTCAAGAAGGGCAGACATTTGTTGACGGTCTCACTTTGGACCTCAGAGGTCTCGGTGCACAGGGCATCTAGCAGCGAGGGCAGCTCTTGAAACAACGCCGGAACTCCGGGATGTGCTTGGGGCTCATACATGCCGCCGCTGCTGTTGCTGCGTTGGTCTAGCGATGTGTGCTTCCTAGGTGTAGGCGCCGAGGGTTGACGGCGTCCTATTGACGAACTAGTAGATTTTGTGTCTCTACCCTGAGCGTCTGTTGGCCTGGATGTTTGGTTGGATGAAAAACGAACTTTGCGACGCGGCTTCCCTGCGGCGGCGATAACGATCGGCATGGAACGACCTGGAGTTTGAATATATGATTTCGGGTCTACTGTTTATTGGCGCGATCGAGAATGATCGAGATGAGCCTGGGTCCGATTGTTCTCCTCTTTCATGAATGGAGATGACAGCTGCCATGGCCGCCCGCAGAATCCATTGTTCTTTCTCCCCGCCGCAGTTGCAAGTCAGGTGGGCCCCTCGTCGACTCCTCAGGCCAGAAGCCCCAGTCGAGTTGGGCGAACAAACCAAGTGCGCAAGATAGAGAACCTCGGTTCCGCGAAGATAAGGCTGTGGAATTTAGTGGATGTGGCTATTATGGATGATGGATGGGAATGATTTCTTTATCCTCATTCACTTCCCCCAACATCTGTCAGATTCTTACATGGTGGTGTGGTGTCAAATCAACCCACACTGTGTTGCCGGCACGTTCCCGAGGCATCTTCGTCTGCTGCTCTTTGTTTTCCTTTTTCTTCGTGACGGATGGATCCCGTGACCCCCTTTCTTCCTTTTTTCGCAGGCAGCCAGCCCATGGCCGATGAGGAATGGATCGCCGCTTTCACTCTCCCACTCAGGCTAGTGGGCATTCCGGTCGGCGGCCGGAAGTCTTAATCCTTGTAGTTAAGATGCAGCTCCTTCAGACTCCATGACTCGACCATGAGGGGTCAAAGGGTCTCAGGGGACCTTCTCCTCTCCTTCCAACCTCTTTCCTCCCCCCTATCCTGTCTCTTTGTCTGGACGTTGAATCGACCGGAAGAAACTCAAGTGGTTTCCCGACCCTTCCAACCCTGTCCTAGCCGACTCAAGCGACGGGATTGAGCGCGCGCATCAAACCAGGCAGGATTTAAAGTTATTGACGCTGGATTTTAGTAGTCTACTACAACACAAAGTCTACTTCCTAGACTACGCTACGTTGTCTTTGACTAAAGATTTCGGGCACTGACCATCGACACTACTACTGCAGATCCGCTTCCCGTGTGTCGTCTCCTCTGTGACCTCACAAACATCGCGACCGTGCTAATAATAAGATTTCCATGGCTGCTGCGACTTAAGCGCCAACGTCGTCAGCCGGCGCAACCGTCTGGACATTGTTGGCTCTGGAGACATTAAAGCGACGCGCTGGAGATAGTATGTATGGCTTGCGGCCGCTGGCGTGGCGAGCTGCGAGTCAGAAGTCCGTGGTGCTGATATGTTTCATAGCCAGCGAATCGAGTTGTCGAGCCCCATCGGAGTGGAGTTCACGGGCTTGGATTTCATATGCAGAACGTTTCCTTACGCCTGGGCTGGCTCGTTGCCTGCTTTAGGGAGGTGTGTCTGTTTCCCTTTTCCCCTTCGAGGGAGCTCCGCGGCCAAGACCGTTTGTGTTTCTTTTTTACTTTCTTTGCACGGCCCCGTGGAGGAGGTGACCACCCCAATGGCGCTGACATAGCCCTGCGCCTGCATGTTTGTTGAGAACCAATTTTGGATCTGTCACGTTTCTCCTCCCATTTTACGAGCCGAGCTGGCGGTTATGGGAAATGTCTTTGTCGACCCTTGCTAAAATTATCTAAACGGGTGGGGTCACGGAAGTCACAAGGAAAAAAGTGGGAAGGCCAAGTAAGAGGAAGAGCAGAAAGGACCCTGTAACCACTACGGAGGAAGAGACAGACATCCGCAGCATGTACATGCCAACGCGCCGCGGGATTGCATATGCCTATCTTCATGATGATGACTTACCCAGAAAGGTAAAACGAGGGGGACGTGAAGTTGCCTCGACCCTTATCGACTCCTCATCATCTCATCATTTCATCATCGTCAAGAGAAGAGGGTTGCAGATAAGGAGGGATGATGTGCTCTTGGGGATTCCGGGGAGGGGAATCGTACAGTAGTAGTCGTACCTAGTTGGCCTCGAGGGGCAAGGCCTGTGGCATGCTGATGAACCTTGGAGCTACTGCACCGTCAGCCACCTTGTTGGCACGAAATCAACATGTGTGCGCCAGTGATTGCTTACTGATTGGGAGGATGGGCGTTATTGGGCCGAGATGATTATCACCTACCGTGAACTAACAGGCCATCCCGGTCGAGGGGACGGGGGAAGGGGACGAATGGCAGCCAGGCCAGAGGCTGTTAGATGTATGTAGGTAAGCCCGGACGTACATCAACAATAGTCCTCCTGTCCACCTCGTTGAACCTGAAGTTTGCCTGTCACTGGCGAGGACTCACGTACAATACAGTTTATGTCCTTTGATTCGGTGGTACGGGAGGCGTTGAGTCAGCGAGGGTCCTTTTCCGAGGTCGCTCAGTCCTTGACTAGTAACTCAAAGAGAGATAGTTTGAGTTTTAACACTAACGGCCCTCGGGGCAAAGCGACGAAGCAGAAAAAGAAAATATTGCCACGGCCGACCTTTCGATCGGAGACAATTGCCAATAATCGTGGCGCCTTAGTCAATAATGCTCCATCGAATCCAGTCTCAACCGATCTTGACGGTTTCCACTGATCTCCCTTTCCCGAATGTGATCCCGTGTCTCGACAACGGAAAATTCCGTCCGGTACCGCGGTAGCCCAAGCAGGCTTTTGTTGGTTTCCCAGTTCCAAGGCTGAGTAGCACTACAGCTCGAAGGTGCGACTATGGCTACTATGCTACTATGCCACTATGATTACTAGTTGACTGACAACAAATCATCTGCCTGATGAGAATCTTTCTTGAGCGAGGTACTACTGACGTAGGGCAGTGCTACGCTGGAGGGCAGTTGAGGGAGTCACTGGTACATGGTCGGTACGTGGCTCGGACGTGGGACGCCAACGAGAGCAGGCTAATCCGATGCATGGGCGTATGGGGCTAGTACTGCCGTCGCGCGCATCCCATGGTCAGCAGCTACTAACTAGTTAGTCCACTCGGGCTAGTCTAGTCTTTTTTTCCTTCTTCCCTTTCTCTTTTGCTTTCGCTTTCTCTCAGTTGGCAGGCTTCCAATTTGTCCAAGATCGAGAAAGGGCTGATAATCATGAGACTTGTCAATTGAACAGTTAGCAGTAGTTCGATCCTGGTGCCATACTGGGTTAACCGGTCTCTAGCATATTGTGAGATGTAGGGTCCTACGGATCGAACTCAGATAGGACTAGTGTGAAGACCATGTTGGCTCTTTCGTCTTGTCTCGTTGGAGTGGCACTATGGTTGTCTGCCTTTTTCTTTTGTATGTTGTTTCTTTTTTTTCTCTTTTGTTTTCTTCATCCAATCTTTTTTTTTTAATTACTTTTTTTTTTCTTTTTTTTTTTTTCTTTTTTCTTTTTTCTTTCTTCTACTGTGGATATCATCTCGTTCTCCATTTTGGCGCCCGGGGAAGAAAAGCAGACTACTGTACGTGCTAACCTAGGACACAGTAGTAGATAGTCAGTAACTGATAGTAAGTAAGTATAGTAAAAGTAAGTAGTTCATCAGCTCTGGATGGAGCAACGCCACTCTCCAAGTAAGTAGTCAAAGGGTCGTGGCATTAAGCCCACCGGGGGGAAGATCCAACCCAGCCTCTCTTTTCAATTTTCCCGGGACAGTCTTTTGACTTCGTTCACGATTCCCCACTCGGATGGTGATAACTCCTTCCCAGGATCCCCTAGCGTATCTCCGGCCGACGCAACTCCCGCCTCACCGCTGCTTTGCTCCCCACCGCTAGCCTGGCTTTTGCCCGCCATGGCCTCATCCTATCGCCCGGCTTCGTCCTCTTCTTCTCGCTTTGCACCCCCGGATTCTGGGCTTTCTGCTCATCCGAAGCCCTCTTCTGGTCCTCAGGCTTCATCAATCAATCAGTATTCCCACGTCTTCCTTCCTATCCCACCCCCCTCCCAATCCCCAATCCCCAATCCCCATTTCCCTACTACACCCACCCATATTCATCACGCCCTTATTTGTTTTTTGTACCACCCAGTGTCTGTCTGTCTAACTGTCTGTCTGTCTGTCTGTCTATTTGTCTATTTGTCTATCTGTCTGTCCTGCTGGCTTGCCTGTCTGTCTATCGCTTGAGTTTTTTATTCCTTTTTTCCTTTTCATTACTCCCTCCTCTTATTCATTTCTTTTTATTTTCCTCTTTTATTTCCCTCTTCAGTGTCCAGCAAAGTTCATGCAATCCTTTCCTTTTCCTCTTCTTCACCGTTGGTAAATAGTTTCCTGTTGTCAGCATCATGTCGAATGTCGATTTATCAAGCGACGGCTTCATTGGCCTGGACTACGACTCGAGGAATTACCTCCAAGCTCACTCATGGCCCGTGGCGGTGGACCATCAGGCCTCTCAGCGATCGGATGGAGCGCGAGACATCTCGCCCTTGCAAACCAGCGGTCACGCTTACGATCAATCGGTAGCTCAGGATCCTAATCTGATGGTCGACTGGCACTTCCAGCACTTGCAACCCCACCTTCAGTACTCCCATGAGGAGGCCTCCTCCGCTCCCCAGCAGTTCACCACCGCCGCTAGCTATGGCATGTCTATCCACTCTTCCCCCGTGGATCTCATGTCTGGAGCCCACGGCCACATGAGCACGAGCCTGCTCGATGGCTCTTATTTGCCCCTCTCTGCGCCGGTCGACATGGTTCCATTCCCTTACCATGACCTCCAGGCCGACCTCATGGCTTTCCCTCCAGCCGCCGATGGCTTACCAGATCTGTCCGCCTACAGCGCACCGCAGAATGTTCTGGAGAGCAGCTCACCCACCGACACCTACCTGGAGGTCCGTTCTCTGTCCAGTAGCGACAATGGCTGGAGCACCATTGAGCCCCGCCGCTCCCATGAATTCTCCTACCCGGACCAGGGCATCTTTATCAATCCCACCCAGACCCTCCACGACCGGTCTCTGTCCGAGTCGTCCTATTCCACCTCATACGGCAGCTTCGTGGAGATTACGAATCCCATCAATTCGCCCAGCTCTGACACCAACTTCGACACTGCTTTCAACCACAGCATGACTCGTCGGGTCTCTTATGACCATACCTCGCATGGTTCGCAGTCCCCGACTGCGGTTAGCCCCGTGGCCATTGTACGACCCATTCCGGTGCCTTCCAAGAAGGCGTCGACCCCGCCTACTCGGTCTGCAGCATCAACTTCATCGGCTTCCCCTCCTAGCCGGAAGCCGTCCCGTAAGAGCCCGATTGCTGCCAAGACAGCCGAGACCAAGGTCCGTAAGCAGTCGCAAAATGGAAAGCCAGAGACCGAGAAGCGTGTTGGCAAGCGTAAGGGGCCGCTCAAGCCGGACCAACGGAAACAAGCCAGCGAGATCCGCAAGCTGCGCGCGTGCCTGCGTTGCAAGTTCTTGAAGAAAACTGTAAGATAGACCCCACCTTATCGATGCGACATACTGATTGAGTGAATAGTGCGATAAAGGAGAACCCTGCGCGGGCTGTCAACCCTCGCATGCGCGGTTGTGGCAGGTTCCCTGCACGCGCATTGACATCAAAGAGATCGGCTATTTCATGAAGGACTGGAAGGCGGACTACGATCGTCACGTCAATTATGATTTCACGGTCGGAAACATCAAGGGGTTCTCGGATCTGGAGACGACTCTCTTCATCACTCATGGCTACGGTCAGGTTCTTCCCATCAATGCCCGCGAGGTCTACGTACACGACGATCAGTGCTTCAAGGTCGACTGGGTCGAGTCTATGCACCGGGAACCGACGCCATACGAGGTGGAAACGGCCAGGCTCTCCGCTGGAATGGAAGGCATTTCGCACGCTATGCTCTCGGATTATCTGGATCGCCACATTGACGGCAACGGAACGTTTGAGAAGTTTGTGGATGACTACTTCGAAGGCACACCTTTCCTGACGCAGATGCTGAAGACGGCCTTCCGGTATTACTACCGCACGAAGTTGCCCGTGATTCGCAAGGCGTTGAAGCTCATCATTGCCTACAACCTGACGCTTCACGTTACCATGGTGGAGGGTATTGGCGAGGAGGAGCAGTTCAAGGGAAAGATCAACGACAAGTCGTCCAAGTTCAGTGGCAAGACGATAGCGCCTGTGATGGTCAACTTCCAGGTCAAGTGTGCCATGGCGAACATGTGGCGAGAGTTGCAGAAAGATGTGCTGGAAGAGCTCTCTAGCCTCTACTCTAGTGTCTACAGTGGAGAGAAGCTCAAGAACTGGCCGACAATTTTCATTCTGGCTTCGATACTTTTGGCCGTGTGGGAGGAGATGCAGTTTGACTGCCATTATCGGACTCCGGTATGTGGAATGAACGTGTGTGCAAGCCGTGATGCTGACGTGTCGCAGGATGCTGCCGCTGTTGAGAAGTTCTGCAACGATATGGAGACCACGCCGGTGGGAGTCATCGTCGGTCTGTTCCAGGCGATTTCACAAAAGCTGCCTGCGTTTACGGACTGGGAGACGACCAAACACCACCACCTGCTGCACTCGAATCCCGATGTCTGCAACACAATGACCGAGGTCCGCCAACATGTTACGCAATTTGGTAAGCAGCGATCCTTAAACCTCGTGTATTAGTGCAATGAAAGCTAACCCTGTGTAGAGAGCTATCTTCGGGGCCGCTCTGGTTCCAAGTTCAACCGCAATGACTTCGACTGTTTATCCAACAAATTTGTTTCCCGACTTGTGATTCGCGCAAACTAAACGACGTGTAACGAGCTTTAAGATGACGGCATTATGATTATGACACCAGCCCCGCATCAGCGAGCGCCTTGCTTTCGTACTTTCGCCTTGTCATCACGAAGCTTTTCATTCCTTTGTTTTATGAGGCTCTCTGGGAGTGGGAACCCTGGAGGGCCGCTCTAGCCTGAAGCATCTGTCCGATTTAGCAACCTTTTACCTTCTCAGTGGTATACCTTTCTCGCACAGTATTTACAATAGCGATGATGAGGATCACGAATGTCATGATATTGTACGGTCACGACCTGATTGGCAGCGGATGACGAGGGCAACTGCGTTGCCGACTCATGCTGGAGGCTAGTTCTCGCTTCATGAAGCTGCGTGTTTGCATTTGTGTCCTTGATTAGCGTGTTTATAGGATGAATCATGATTAAAAAGTATGCCAGTGTAGCCGATGTGCCAGTAATGTGTAGCCGAAATGCCAGTATGTGTAGTTACCCGAGTATGTCCGCATCTTGCAGCATACCATTGAACCCCTACCAATATAACAGTATAACATTACTACACATTTAGTTAAAATAGTCAAGAAGCATTGACCATACATACCCACCACCTCACAATCCCACCACACTAACCCAAAAATCCAGTCAAACACACAACAACCTCTGTTACTTCATGACATCCTCGGCCCAAAATCCGGGGAGATTACATAACCCACCCATCCATTCTCACCACTGATCGACGCGTCCCCAACCAATCCACCACCGCCCTACGGGACTTTCTTTCTACTTAAGCTATTATTTATCTACAACCCTTTCTCTTCACCACACCCTCCCACCACAACACACACCCAAATCCCTCCCTCCCCCCTACCAAAGGGAGCAAAATCAACACAATGGGACTAACCCGCCCCTACCTCCTCCTCTACAACGCCCTCTCCCTAACCCTCTGGGCAACATGCACCATCCGCGGCCTCTCCCTCCTCCCATCCACCAGCATCCCCAAGATATTCAATGATGTCTACACCACCCTCCTAACAACCCAATCCCTCGCCCTCCTCGAGATCCTCCACAGTCTGCTCCGTCTCGTCCGCGCCCCGGTCCTCACTACCGCTATGCAGGTCGCTAGTCGCATACTTCTCGTTTGGGGCATCATGTATCCGTTCCAGGGCGTTCTCGTGGGTGGAAGTGAGGAGGCGGGGCTTGGTGACTATGCGTTCCTGGGTTGTTTGAGCGCCTGGGGTGTTACTGAGTGTATTCGCTATGGGTTCTTTGCGTTGCAGTTGTCCGGAGTGGGTGTGCCGGGGTGGTGGGCTTGGTTGAGGTATGTTTCTATTTCATGTTTCATTTGTGTGTTTGGTGGAGTAAATGCTAATGTGTGTGTGTTTGTGTGAAGGTATAATACGTTCTATGTGCTCTATCCGCTGGGTATTACGAGTGAGTGTGTTATGGTGTTTAAGGCGTTGGGGCCGGCGGGGGAGTTGGTGAGTCCGCTGTATAAGTGGTTCTTGGTCGCGGTGTTGGGGATTTATGTTCCTGGTGAGTTTATCTTCTTCCTTGGGGGAGATGGTTGAGGTTTATTGCTGATCAAGGGCGTGTGCTAATTGTTTAGGATCGTATATTTTGTATACGCATATGATTGCACAGAGGCGCAAGGCGATGAAGAAGAAATAAGTGCGTGCGTTGTTTGGTTGGGTGAAGATAAAGGGTGATGTGAAGGGTAGAAGAGAAGGTAGTAGATTTGTACGATGGATATAGTGGTATAGATGGCATATAAGCTCAAATATGAGCACAGATAATACACAACATAATGTACAACCTATATACTTATCAACTACATCTCCCTCATGATATCACGCACGGCCTTTGCTGCAAACCGTTTCCTCTCCGCTTCGGGCAACTCGTCGCTGATATCTATTACCATGTTAGCAAACACCGGGATCATTGCAGACAGAAGGAATCATCACTACCCTTGATGGCTCTCATCCGGAGCAACAGCGCCTCGACCGCATCGACGCGCAACTCCTCGTCCCCTTCATCGTCATCGTCAAACCCATCCCCTCCTCCCCGCTCAATCGCCATGCGCAACCCGACCATCTCGCGCTGCAGTTCATCCACCTCCAAATCGAACCCATTATCCGCATCATCCAAGCCCAAAAGCTCGCGCTCAAGATCATCATCAACCCCATCATGCAGTAACCCTGTCTCTGCATCCTCCGTCGCAGCCCAATCATGCGTCTCCAGTACCTCTTTAATCCGGCGCATGCCCTGTAATTCTACAACCAGTTAGCATATCACCAATAAGTATACCAAAAAAATAAGAAAAGAATGAACATACCACCGTACCGATTCCTCCCCTCCTCCTCTTCTCCCTCCTTCCCATCCCACCTCACCACCTCCATCCCCATCAACTCCATCTCACAAATCTGATCCTCCCACCACCCCTCCGAAAACACCTCATCAATCTCCAATCCCAGCCCATCCTCATCCTCCTCACCATCCCCAGAACCCACTTTCCCAGACCCCGTCTTCTTCTCCCCCACCAAAACAACCAACCCCGGCACCTCCCCTACCCCGCCCCTCTCCTCTTCAATCAAAGCCCTCACCTCCCCAACAGCCTTGACAAACTCCTTCAGCCCGCGCACATCAGCCCTGTCTTCCACATCCTGCTGCTCCTGTCCAGGTACCGGATCCATCTGCACCGGATTCCGGAAACAGATCATCACGGCGCCGATCGCATCCCGGACGACTTGCGCTTCGGGGCTGGAGAACTCGGACTTCCATTGCGCGGGGGAGATGGTACTCCCGGACACTGAGGGGGTCGGTTCAGAGGAATCGGGGGTTGGGAGAGGGATCTCGTCGACCCAGATCGGGACGTCGGCTGTGTAGTATTTGTTTGAGAGGTGGAGGGGCGGGTGCGTGGTGTAGCCGGCGAAGGTGGTGATAGTGGTGCTGGATGCGATGGAGGTGGTGGAGGAGGCGGCGAGGGTTGTGGCGGAGGAGAGGGTCGGAGTTGGTGTTGGCGAGGAGGATCCTGGTGCTGTTGGGGGAGTGGTGACTGGGGTGCCTGTTAGGGAGTGGAGGAGGGGAGGGACGATGGATTGGGAGTGGGTGGTTGGTGTGAGGATGAGGAGGCGGCGGGGGTTGGTGATGGGGGTTGGGTTGGAGGTTGTTGATGTCGTTGTGGGTGGCATTTTCGGATGTTGATGTGGGAGTGTTTGAGATGAGGTAAGTGGTGTAGATGAATGTAGGGTTGCTGTGTATTTATCGTGAAGGGATAGAGTTGAGGAGAGAAAGTTGGTCGGGTGCGGGGACGGCGGAGAGAGCTCGGAGGTGGTTAGTAGTGATTGATTTGAACTGGTGATCTCGTGTTGACATTCCCTACCATGTTTCATATCCTCTTATCATAAGAATTATGCTTTGAGTTATTCACAATGTGGTAATGATATATTCCATATTCTTCGTGTCGTGGGGTTCAATTTAGCCTATCAGCTTAGCTGTCTGTGCATCTGCAGCACAGCTTTGGTCTCATCACTACATTTTGAGAATCCTCCCAAGGAAACACCATACGGAACCCAAGCAGCACTGCCACAATCACATTACCATCATCAATGCCCTCAGGAAACCCAATTTAACCCAATCAACTCGATTTATTCGATATGATATCAGACCCGACGACCCAGACAGCCAATACGAGACAAGTTTATAGATACGAAAAGGAGACACAGAAAGAACTCAAATAGAACAAAACGCCGCACCGAAGCATCCATCCACTTATCCACTAGTATTCCATCCGAATCAACCCCGTCTCTGTCCCCTCGCCCTCTGCACCGTGGCCTTACCACGAGCAAGACCGACACCGCGACCGCGCTGGCCTCGTGAGCGGAACATGGGAGCGTTTCTATAACCATACTAGTTAGCATTGCCCCATATCCCTGATAAATATGTAGAAAATTAAGGTGGGTGGCAACCGACCTAAGCATATCCGGCACAATGAAAAACTTCACATGGCTTCCCCGAATGTACACCTGGTCGAGATGTGACACGCGGCCGTCGCGCGCGGTGACCGTGATATCCTTCAGTTGGACGTTCATGTTGTCCTCAGCTATAGCAGAGGATGTTAGTGACGAGAATATTTGACATTGGTGTATTGGAGAGGATGGATAGGTGTTGAGGAGGGGTGAAGCAACGCACCCTCTAGGAGTTTTCCACGGTAGACAACCCCGGACGTGATCTCGAGTGTGACGACGTGGCCCTATGCAGAATCCCGCGTTAGCTTAATCGCAATACATAGATACAAGCAATAGCTTAGGATGAAGGATAGACTAACCTGCGCCTCATTAAGAAGCTTGATCGGGATACCGATCGTGCTGGTCAACTTGCCCATTGCGGAATGTGAGAAAATCTAGCGAAGGGATCAAAGTCGAAGAAGGAGGAGATACGAAGCAAGCTGAAAAAGCTTGACTCGTTATTCAAAGCGGTGATAAAACAAGCAACGGAGACAGAATGCCAGCGCGAAAGGGAAGTTCGTTCGAGGATGTCTGTCTGTCTGGCGCGTGCGATCCGCCGGCGGAGAGTTTTGCGGCTCTGCGGTGCGGGAGACTTCTCGGCCAAGACTAGTCTTCTTCCATCCTTTTTACTTACAGACTATCTCTTCTCATCCATCCAATTTATCTGATACACTTTGTACACAATTTTTCTTCTCACCTTCAATCCTCAAACATTAGATCTAGATCGACTATGCATTGAGATCTAACATCACTTTAATCAAGTTCTCCCCCACTACACAACATCACTCACAACATCTACAACCACCCAAAAACACAATGCAACCCCCCAACAGCAACCTCCGCGCCTTCAACCTGGCCGTAACCACCCTCCTCAAAACCCCCTCCCAATTCCTCCCCCACCTAACCATCCCAACAATCACCCACCTACCCGAAAATCTCGGCCCAGAAATCCTCCCCAGCGCCTCAAAGCCCCCGACCATCCGCGCCCTTGTCCTCGACAAAGACAACACGCTCTGCCACCCAAAAACGACCTCCTTCCCATCCGAGATCCTATCGAAGCTGCACGCATTGCGCACATCCCCAACGTCACCCTTCACAAAAGATAACTCGATCCTGATCGTCTCGAACCGCGCGGGGAGTCACCCGCGGTATGACGCGGAGGTGCGCGAGCTGGAGAAGGAGCTCGGCGAGTTGCAAATCCCAGTGTTTCGGCTGCCAGAGGGGAGTGAGAAGAAGCCGTTTTGTGGGAAGGAGGTGCTGGAGTGGTTCCGCGAGAGGGGGGTGGTGAGTCGTGCGGATGAGATTGCGGTGGTGGGGGATCGGTTGGGGACGGATGTGTTGATGGCGGTGCAGATGGGGTCGTGGAGTGTTTGGTGTCGGGATGGTGTGACTGAGGGGGGCAGGGAGATGAACTTGTTGGAGAAGATGGAGGTTTGGGTTGAGAAGTATTTGAGGGAGTCGAGGGGGTTGAAGGCGCCGGTGCCGAAGGAGTGGGAGGGTCGGTAGTTTTTAGTTGGATTTTGATATTGATTTAGATACGATACCCCTGTATACTACTGTTATGTGTTGCGAGTCGCGATAGATTTGATACTCGACTGGTTCCATAATATTATCGCTACGAGCAGCGCGTGGGGCAGATCCGTAGTGTTTCATGGTTCAGGTTGGACCTGAGAAATGTCTCCATATCAGCCGTGCGCACAATCTGGACGGAGATTGTCTCAGCTCCGCCTCGATAGTGGCACCATTATCAATGTGCTACATGACAGGATTGCCAGATCTGGCAGAATATGCAGACGCCGATCTCAGGACGATAAATAACCATCACAAAGGGAAATGAGCAAACAATTCCTAACCCGCCAACCCAGAAGAATCCAAGAAAATAACCGAATGTCGCCATCTGTCTGACTTTCTGGCATAACCACGTTAAACCCTGACCAGGTATAAACAAAATGAAAACAAAAATGGTCAAGGGCAGAGAAGAAGATGAAAAGCCCAGCTAGCCTGCTGAGATATGAAAAAATGCGAATAAACGCTCAGGACCAGCCCCGTAGAAGGTTATTAATACAGAAGACGCTGAGAACATAATCAAGAAAGGATACATCCTCCCGTCATCGTCGATTGGCCATACATCAAGCGATGTCTGGGTATCTCATCAGTCCGAGTGGAGGTACTCGAGACCAGTGGCCAGGAAAAGAATTCGAAACACTGAAGTAGCGGAGATTTGAAGATCCGCGCCAATGTGCGGCGCTACCCAAGGGTAGATAGAAATACGGCTAAGCCGATGGCCGAAGACGGCCCACGTCGATGCGGCTCATAGCATGTTCCGGCTGCCTCAGGAGCCAGGGGCCATACCGCTGGGATCAACGTTCTCCAGGCTCAGGCTCTGGAAATCGCCATGGACCCCCGGGGATGTATGGCCGGACATGGGCTGCATGGGGAGATCATATGTGTTAGTTTCAAGACCCATAGAAGCCGGAACAGCGAAGTTCATGTTATGCTTGGGATAGATCCCATTCATGGACATGCTATCGTCCGTGTAGTTGGGCTGATGCTCGTTACCCAGGCCGTACATATCTTGGGGAGCGTGCGAGATGTTCGACAATGGAGGAGAATGGTTCGCAATCATAGGATCGGCATGACTGACGTTAGAATAAGATGCTTGGGGCGCCACAGTTGAGTCAACAGCGGGCGAGACGAAGGGAAGGTTGAAGGGGGTACCCATGTTGGTAGCAACAGGAGTTGAGTCACCACCGGCTCCAGTGCTGAAAAGTCCGGGGCTGGCAAAGTCAGATGGGGAAGCTGTCGTGGTAGCCGACATGGGGTGAGTCCGCGGGTCGAACCCATAGGCGGCAGAGGTATCTATCCGAAGGTTGACAGCCAAGGGGTGAGTCGACTGGGGAACGGGAGCAAAGATACCCGTATCGGCATGGTTGAACTGAGCCGGAGTCTGGGGCATGTTGTAGTGGGCGAGAGGAGCCTGCATGGCAGAGAAGTCGACAGCTACCGGAACTGAGCGACTCCTCTGACGCTTGTGTCCGCGCATCGCCGGAATGTTGAGGTGAGCATGGCTCTCGGGGAACACGTTCAAGAAAGCCGGAGCGAATTGATTCGGCTGAGATGCAGGACGCTGAATAAACGGAGGGGACATGGGCGGGTTCATGGCAAAGTTGTTGTACGCTAGGCGGTTCTGGAAGGACTCCAGAGACACTAGCTTGGCAAGTTGCACGCTGAGAACCTTGGGATGTCCCCCAAGATGGTGGACCAGGATTTGGCTTGCCTGCTGATCCTCGGTGAAGTCACCACACTGGTAGAATCCGCCCGAGTTGGAGGAGTCCATGTAGAACAGCGGGGGCCGGTTCAGCTCGACAACAAGACCGCCAGGTCGCGGGGGAGCACCGTTTGCCTGAGGAGTCTGGTCGCCCGACTCCAGTGTGATGTTCTTGATGTAGGCAAACGGATACTCGATCTTGTATCCAGCAGAATCGTTGTTGATGTAGTACGTCATGCAGGCCTTCTCAGGGGAATAGAATACCACCAGATCCATGGCGTTTTGTCCGATACGTCGCCAGCTACCGATAGTCAAGGAGCGACAGGTGAAGTGATGGATAACTGTGATTGTCAGTATTCATTACACAGTAGCAGTGGCGGACTCAAACATACCAACTTTGCCAGAAGGAGCCGACTCATGGGGATAAACACTACCGGTTCCGTATCCTCCCGTGCGCCCAAATGGGTCCCTTGCACCAGGCTTGGTGGGGTCAAATTGCATGGCCAGGTACTGGCGCATCGACTCGGGGATGGAATCACAGCCCTCGCCCGTTTCGATGCTCTTCTTAGCAAGCATCTTTATCTTTGCGCGTCTATAGATACGATTAGCCGCAGGTCAAGAATGATAGTACGGACCACAAACCTATTTTGGAACCAGATCTGAACGGACCGCTCAGTCATGTTGATTTCTTGGGCAATTCTTTCGCGGGTGGCTGCCGTGGGAGTCGGGTTCTTGTTGAATTCCAGTTCGAGGGTGACCAGTTGATCCTGGGTCGCCCGTTGCCGCTTGTTGTTCTTCTGCTGCTGGGTCAGCGTGCTCTTCCGCTGAGGTCGACGTGCCGAAGCTGAGGCGGCCGTAGTAGAGTTGGACATGGCCGGAGACGGGCTTGAGGTAGTCGACGAAGACGAGGTCATGGTGGAAGCAGTGTTGGAGGAAGCGTTCGACGTGGTCGAGGGGTCAGGAGTGTCTGTCGAAGACATGTTTGCAGGGATTGAGTGAAGTTGAAATGTAGGAAATGCGATACGACCAAGTTCGTGGGAATGTGAAATCCCGCGGTAGGAAAAGGAGTATGATGGGTGTGACGATCCGGCCGACAGTCAAAGATGGGAGATGAGAGTGTCCGGATCTCTGAAGCAGCGTCAAGCGCCAGAGAGGACGGATAATATCAAACGAATGGAAGCGCTTGGCTGGAAGCACGTCGGAAGTCGAGAGTTCCAGGGAAGCAAAGCGCAAAGAGAGAAGATGAGCGCGTCGCAGAAGCGTCGGGATGAGAGGGTAATCAAATGTCGTGGGAATAATATAAACAGCTGACCTAGGCAGCTTGGAAGGGAAATATGATCCTTGCTCTTCGCAACCGTAATGGGGGAGACTGTACGTGAGATTGAGATATCAAAGTAGATCGGTACAGATTCGGGGGGGCCGGTGTTTGGTAATGGCGAAGGTCTGCGTCAATGGGCGGCCCTGAGGTAAGCGAAGATACAGCTAGATTGGGAAATCGGATCGTGAAAGAGTGAAACGATCGACTGAAGCGAGCGAATGTAGTTGAAAGAAAGAATGGAAGGGGAGAAAAACACAAAAAAGAGTGAATGGGAAAGGAAAGAAAGATGCGAAGATGGTCGGTGGGAGAGAAGGGAAAGGGAGGAAGAAGAAGAAGGGAAGAAGAAGAGACAAACGGGTGGAGGAGGCAGAGGAGAAAGCGAGCGAGCGCGACGGTCAGGAGATGGGATGGGGGAGGGCCCAAAGTGGTTAGCGGGTTCAGTAGTTGGCGCTGGACTGTTTTGGCACCGGCTGTTCCTGACTTTCTCCGTGGGGCTGGCCGCCTCTCTTTTTTTCCTTTTTATTTTTTTTTTCTGCCCTTTTCTTCCTTTTTCCTTATTCCTTTTATTTCCTTTTTGGATTATTTGTTTCCTTTATTATTATTTGTCGTTTTATTTTCCTGGTATATTTTTTTTTGGCGAAACAGCTCCCAAGTAGTAGTAGTAGTAGTTGTTGTTGTTGTGAGTCAAGGAGTAAGTAGTCACCGTAGCGCAGTTCACTCGGAGCATTGAAAGTCTATCCTTTTTCTTTCCCTATCTTCTATTCACATCTCTCAGGATCGTCCAAATCCTTTGAGTATTTATTCTTCCACGATCTAGACATTGTTGATCCAAATGAGATTGTGATGGTGATGATATGCTGCTGCTACTACTCCATCCGGAGGGGGTAAAACATCTGGGTTGTTACAGAATTTCACATGGCTTGAAGCAGGACCAGAATGTTACAAGACCACCACCGCCCTCCACTCACCCACACCCACCGCCTTGTTTTAGCCCCTGCATCCAGTCGCGGCATCTGCACCTGCTGCCCGACGTTGTTGTTTGGGATCCCAGCCATCCAATAAGCATTCTCATTCGCGCCTTTCTGCATGGATGTGGACGTTGAAGACTGCGACCTCAGGATGGTTTAGGTTATGCTCGTACTTTTCCCCTCCCCTCCCCTCCCCAGTCAGTCACTCTGCGTCGCTCCAGCAGATGATACCCAGCATAGGAAATTCGGAACCCGTGTGCCTAAGCAAGGCAACGACCGACCCAACCGAATCGGAGTACCATCCCCTTCCATCATCTATAGCCATAAATAGCCACCATGCTCTCGATCCCAGTCACTTTTGGATGCAATTATGTAGGGACCGGCAACTAATTCATGTATTGTCTACCTCCATGCCTCCAGAAACATCGTGCAGGCGAACCCACCGAGGGATCGGACTACGGACACAACCAGGGGTAGCGAACCAGACACAACGTGACCTGGACCGTTCCAAAGCCCGGGCGGGATCGCATAAGCGCCCGACGATTGACAAGCTACAAAAAGGGTTTCAGGTGGTGGAGTGACCTCATAATTTTGCCGAATCAGGACCGGAAAGCAAAGCGAAAGAAGGAAAAAATCAAGAGAAGGGACGAGGGGAAAAAAGAAAAGAGGACAAAAAAGAGGCGGAGCCAAGAAACCTACCCCAAGAAGCGACCTGCCACTCGACCCGGTTCCTGAATCGAACCGCAGAACCAGGGCCGTGGTTCCGTCACCAGGCACCGCATCACCATGGGTGGGAAAGGGGACACTTCTGACTAACCGATTACTTTACCTATAACAGCTTCAGGATTCGGAACCATGGATAGTGAACCGTAGAATTCAGGGCGCGACTGGGAAGAGGTTGGCCCTGGAAAAGTGGGAGAACTTGGGTGAAGGCAGTTCGGGCCTCTCCGGCCATTGTCCACAGAACGGGATCAGGGACTTTACCGCTTCCAGCAGGTGACTGACCTCATTTTGCCTTTTTGGCCAGCCGTATGAGTGGCCTTCCACTCTTGCGCCCTTTCAGGTACAACCGTAATCCCGGAGCTGTCGACGTGCTGGGTTTCTATTAATATCATTTGGCCTATATTTTCTTCCGTATTTTTCCTCTGATCCCCCTCGCTTTTCTACCCATATTTCTGTCGAGCGCAAATCACTCACTGATCGTTGGCGCTGCACTCCGCCCGTGCCGACCACTTCCACCATTTTTCCTGGTGATTCGGTCCAGGTACCCGCCCCTCTCGCCATCACATAAGCCCTGATTGGACCGCAGCGGATGACAGCGCTAGGGGGGCAGTGGAGAAGCGTTGTTCGGCACTCGTGCTGACTTGTACAGACTACTGAGGCGGTTAGTCGGGGGCTAGTCTTCCATCTGGATTCTATCGCCGAATCTATTAATTTATAAATTAATTAATCGCTGGCACCTCCCTACGAACACATGAACGGGTGCTATTAATACGGTAGGGCAAGTTAAATCTGGGGATAGTGAAAGCCAAGAGAGTGTCGGAGAGAGAGAGGAGAGACAAGCATGCATCTGGAGGTTGAATATATTTTATTCTTTTTTTTTTTCATCTTACCACACTGATCGACTGGATACCGTATATGCAGGTACACACAGCGTACTTGCCCTCGTACCTGACTCCTGCTTCAGAATGGGCGAAGTACCTGCTTGTGCTAGACTACTTACTGCCAGTTGTGCAACTTCGTCTAGACCCAACCGGGAAAAGACCAGGACAGACCCGCAGATGATCCGTGCACATCATCATTGCCATTGGCCCAACCCAACTCAGCCACAGCAATGATAGGCCGAATGGCGATGGAGTGCCGTTTTCCGACCGTCCGAGGGCCAGGCACGCCCACACCTTGCCCAACTAGGCAAGTATCCGACTGAGTCGAGACTTACCGCCGACGCTAAACAAGCATCCAGCGTGCACTAAAGCACCTCCCAGAGCCACTGATAGGGGTAGCCAGCCAAGTCATTGACCTGCATCACAACACAGTATGTAGTTTATGTCTGTTGCTGCATCAGATTTCCCGGGGGTTCTTGATACATTTCCGACCGAATAAACCCCCCAGCGCATGCGCTATGGTCATCACATTTGCTTATCACTTTCGGATCCATCGTACGACCAAAAAGCCTCGCACTGGATTCCACTGCAGGATCATGACTCTTCTGGCTCCTCTTTTTTATTTTTCCTTCCTCCGGCGACGGAATACTCCGTCGCTCAGTCAGCCTACAACGATCTCCGACTAGATCTGCCCCATTTGGTTTCCAATAGTGTCTACCTAAGTACACCCGTGAATAGCATCCAGTCTACCTATCTAACCGGCCTCGTCGGATCCGGTGCGCCGTGAGCGCGCATCCCACCTCCCCCCTCCCGAGTTCCCCTAGTGTTGCTTTTCGCTTCCCGGGATCCGTTGCCTAAAGAGCACGGAGCAAGTGTGCGTGGTGGTTACCTTCCCATGGATGTCTCGGGGACTATCCTCTCTGTCTTCCTAATCTAGATAGCATTCAGCGTTCAGTCCCCGAGCCCCGCAGAGCATACACACATAATTCTACATTAGTAACTCTACCCTTACCAATCCAGTAAGCGACATGTTAGTCCAACAACCGCCGACCCATACCTAACCCGGTGGTCTGCCCCTCTCCGAAGAGGCAGAAAAAGAGGCTTAAAATTACCTGCTTGCTAACCACCCCGTCACGCACGGGCATCTTCATAACCACTAACATACCTGACTAACTAGTTAGGTATCTAATTGATGAACTGACTAGCTGACCGAATTCTCCTCGGTTCGGCCCCTCCCTTCCTCCCTTTCTCCCCTTTTCCGTTAACGGCCAGCCCGCATTCCTCCCGTATATGATGGGGGAAACGGGGAGAAGGGGAGTGGAATTGTCCCCCCTCCCATTGAGTGTTTCATGTCCGCATGCGACGACATCCACTAAGTACTAAATCCGGACAGTTTATGATTTTCGCCATTGATTGGCGCGGATAATTCTCTGCGCTGGTATGTCAGCCAGACAATTTTAAGGTGATGAGTCAGGTAGGTATAGAGCCGATCATTCGATGTTTGATGGGATTCTGTAACGGCGGAGGAATGCTGAAGCTTAGATCTACTCTACTCATAGCTTCTACTACTGACATGCCCATTCCGGACGTGCATGGCTGGTATGACGTACGCGCGGGATAATTTCGACTACTAAATAGTACTGAAATTGAAGGATGTGAAGGAGTCCATAGCTATGAGTGGCCTATACGGAATTGGAATAAGCACCGTCTCTTGTAATAACTAAGGATCGGTTGTGGTTGGAATATTCAGGTACCTAATTTCATTATATATTTCTAGGATGACAGGATAGTTGGTAAACTAGACTAAGGATTGTCAGCTGCCAGATACACGTAAGTATAGACCGGATCATCAATTGACCTCTTAATTTCAATCAATTATATTGTCCAATTCCGCAGATACTTGGTATAGCCCCTCTTTAATATTTCCTAGATTCCCATAGCAATTGGAGTCCCGTAGAAGCCTACTGATCAGTAGTAGTTAGGAGCTGCCTTGATTTACCATTCGATGGAAGAATGATCTACCAAGTAACCAAAAGCCAAATCGCGGCACCATAGTATATGTATCCTTCAGCAATATGATAGTAGATGAATCACACAACATTCAATTGGGCTATAGATCCCCAATTCACACACAACATAAAGTATATTATGCGACTAATCGATAGCGACCATTACACTCCCTGTACTGTCTATAGAGAATTTAAGAACCTGCTAATTTGACCATAAATATCAGTTTTTAGTGGCTGATGTATTTGTGTCGCATACCTGTTATCTACAAATACTGGGGCTAAAGCACTGTGTAGTAAGGCTATATACGGCTTCTACCTTCTATCAAATTCCCTTTGCTTGACTAGCATATCCCTGCTAGTAGGTAGTAGTGAATATATCTTGGTACTAGTACTTATTATCAGACTTGAATACTAGTATGTATGCTGTAGTATCACATAGTACTGCATCTCGGAAAATATATGTCAATGAATCATCTTAAGCGTAGTAATGTTGCAATCCCCTTATTAACCGTCTAGACTGTCGATCCAATGATTGATCGTTCCAATCTTCTGTAAAGAAGAACCGACAGCTTGTCTCATACTTACTATTAGATGTTAGAAATTGCGTCAGTCATAATATCTTTTAGCAGCACTGTCTATGAACCTTTTCTAATAAACACTCGCCAACTATCAAGACTGACCATAAGACCTGTCCACATTAGTGACATTATAAACCAACCCTTACAAAAACCTGAACATGCATATGCTATATACAATACACCCACTCTTGTAACCAGCACAAGATTCCATGGACAACTTACTACTACATAATCAAATCCCTAAGCAAGATCTAACCCCTCCCCCCTTCGAAAACCGTACTCCAATAATCCGCCGTCTTCGAACATATATCATCCCTCCCCTTCCAACTAATACACTTACCCTCCAGAGCACACGCTGTCCAAAGAATCTCCCTCCAATACGCCTTCTCCGTCTTCTTCCCTCCAAATGCCTCCACCACATCATCCGGTGCCGTCCACGCCCGTGTATACCCCCCCTTCTCATCCACCACAGGCCCGTTATCATGGAACACCGTAGCCGGATTAAACTTGGGAAAATTGACATGGACAAAGAACGGATGTGGGGGTGGTACGGATGCGCCCCGGATGCGCCACTCGCCTTTCTTAGTCAAGGCATAGTCTTCTAGTGGATTGTACTGGACCATGGTGGACCCTGCAAAGCCATCGGGCGTTCCTCTACCCACAGCGCGGATTGGCTCACTGACTTGGTAGAAGGGCTCGTTGAGGGCTGTTGCTGCTGCAATAAAGGTCTCCTTGTCTCCTTCGCCGGCGGCGCCTTGGGAAAGGAGGGGATAGTAGTGGCTTGGGCCGTAGAAGTTGTAGTATGCTGCGAGTAGGAGGGTGCGTGTGTGTGTTCGTTTGGAGAGGAGCAGTTCTCCGGATTCGGTGGATTGGCGAATTGTAGCGGGGTTCTCTTGTTTTTCTTTGTTCTTCCCGGCTGTTTCATCCTGTGATACAATCTCGTAGTATAGTGGCGATGTGGTTGGTCGCCAGAAGTCCGGCCAGGTGACTAGGCCTTTTGAGGTGAAGGGTTCGGAAATAAATAAGATTTCTGGGTCCTCGAGAGCAAACGCATCTGCGTCTAGGAAGAGAATCTCCTCGAAGGAGGAGAACATCATGGCGAAGACTTTGTATTGGTATTTCTCGATGGATCTACTGTCGGAAATGGCGTCGAGAATCTCGGACAGAACAACACATTGCGCGTTCAGGGAAGGAAGTACAATTTGGCAGACATAGCCATCGTACTCATCCCAGCTGGCGAGGAAAACTTCCATCGGGAGGGTCGAGCCACTTCGGCGAAGCATACGCAGGGAGATAACGAGTACAGGGAGGTAGGAGCCGCCGGCGGTTGAAACAAGGCCACGAGTGTGCGGTTGGTAGTGTAGGCTTGGTGGATTGTGCCTAATCAAATCGACGAACTTGCTGTGTGAGAGTCTCATCGCGGAGACATCCTCTCTGGAGAGGCGCAGGAGGTTAGGTAGCGGATCGGTATTCTTAGGGTCGAATCCCACAGATTCGGCGTTGCTGACCCTCTTTGGGGAATTGGAGTAAGGCTCCGAGGCCATAAGTATCGGATAGAACTCAGACCAGAACTGTTCATGGCTGGTAACTCTGTTGGCACTCTGCGATCGTGACGCTGCGAAGGTCCAGGTGAGAACGGTAATTAGTCCTAAAATAATCAGAGCGATCCGTCGCCGATGATGTGAACGGAACGCTGCCATTGTTGTAGTTTAACGAAAGGCTGTAGAGGTCATGTCTCAGGTGAAATAAGTGAAAATAAGGAAGTCCTGAAAGGTTGTGCATAGCGCAGCCATGACAATGAGTGAAAAGGCGCAGCGGATAATAACGCTTTTCTATTTTTCGCAGCACCCAGGCAATCATCCAGCCAGTCCAATCAATCTGCGGATGACCCATGCCCATATGAGTAAAGCATCAGCTCGCAGTTCCTGACGCTAAGCATGTTTGCTTGATTGAGATGTGAGTGCTATTAATTAGCACCAAGGCACTAATGCAGCCAAGGGCCGCAACCTACGCCAACCGGCGCTTACAGCAACGGACCGTCGCAGAACGGACTCAGTCCGGCACGGACGGCGTAGGGACGTGTGTGTACCGGCTGATTTGACAAGAGCAGTGATCGCCCTCAACCACCAATGATTGCGACGTCTTCCACAGCCGCAGGGATGTTTTGAACCCAGCGCGGGTGGGAGGCGGCCGTGTGAGCAGACGACCCCCCTTTAAGTAGCACAAGCTGATGTCGGAGTTCTGGGCCCGCATCATGTAGACCAGGGATTCTGCTCGAGATTGAGTGTCGATTTGCGAATACCAAAGGAATCTGGATGCGTGTATCAATAAAAAACCGACTAATATTAGAGGCATGGTCATACTCTAACCCCATGGTCTTAGCCCCCGCTTAATGATCTAGGTATCATTTCGAGGCCTTTCCCGTCATGAGCAACGAGCCCAATTCTAGAGCCTGGTCCGAGCGACTACTCACTGTGGAGGCTAGCAATATCCACTCAAGCCTTGTTAACTGCATATCCGGGATGTTCTAAGACCTAAAGCAAAACGAACTCAGGGCAGGAGACCCCGCTGAACCTGAGGTGGGTGGCGGGCGTCCAACAACAGACAAAATCCACTCAACATCAGCCTAGTGCACCCGGGATTCTTATAATTGACGGGAATGTGGGTGAGTAACGCGAAACCTAAAATGTGACCACCAGCGACTAAGCCAGGTATTCTTACTTGGCACCCATTCCGCCAAAATCAGTGCTCTTTATAAGAGAGAAAACTACTATAACATAAGTTGTCAAAGAAGCATGTATGCTTCCTCCATATATCTGATATTATACAGACACAGCCAGCTCTCTTATAAGGAAAAATTCATGTTAAGACATTCACTGCAGCCAGGCAGGTGTCGGCTGATCCTCCGCCACCTCTTCGGTCTCCGATCACTACCTTTTCCAACCAACCACCACCCACCTTCTTGAGATCTCCGTGGATCGAATATGCGTAACTTTCTACGGCTTGACAATTTGTAACAAATTAGTTCTATAGAGAATGATGCTTTATAGAATTTGAGATCAACCGGAGCCCCACATGCACTTAGATTGATAGTAAGTAGCCTTGACTGGTCTAGGCAGAAACGTATCCCCTACAGAAACTGGGTTATGCCTGGCGAGTCTGCCTTGCTCAGTGCCTTGGTGGGTAATCTATGAGTACAGAGAAATAATTTTGCTAAGACGTAATTGGGAGCGCTGGATGGCCTGCTTTCAAAGTATTCTTCTCAACGAATGCTACTTATAGCAGATCTAAGCTAGTATTACTGGCCAGGAATGTACAAACGCCTTAGAAAGATCAAGCTTAGAGATGCTAGGGCTGGTAAAGTGAGATCATCCTTCTATTTCCTTCTTCCTTTTCTTCCCCCGACTCCGAGAACGGCCTGTGCCACTATGGGACGGTATTATTGGTCATTCGGTCTTTCCATAACCTACTAGTATCTTATCTACATGCCTAGCTTGCTTTTTATGTCACGTTCGTTCTCTCTTAGCCAGTCGTTTGTGCTGAGAGATATCAGGGCCAAGGAAAGGAGTGGGTCTAGGGAATCCTAGCGCTGCTATCTAATATGCTTGTTATCGATGATCCAATCTTTCTATTCGTGCAATTAGCAGAAGGGGCTTCCATAGGTTGGAGGTCTGATCCGAAATAAGAAAAGCCGGGGATGCTTCAGCAACCTCTTCCCACAGAATCACTGGCTTCGTACCAACAACGTAGCCATCAATTCTACTTAAAAATGTAATGATATAATCAAGTTAACCTAATATCAGATAAAGTAAAGGAAAAATCAGTTATTAAAGATCCTTGTAAGAGCTTCTTCAGTATCAGGATTCCCTCTGTGAAGTTGACTCGTCTATTTTCCTGGCCGGAGTCTCACGCTGTTGTGCTGAGATCCCGACCCTGCTGCTGGGTGCCCGTTAACAAATACCCTTGGGCATAAGAGGGGTTTGGCAAGGTCTAAGCCAGGCGTGTGTGGTTGCCTTCTATCATCACGTGGCTTTGCTGACTGCCTCTCTATTTATATTGCATCTCTCTGTCCCTGTGCCAGATTCTGCTGACGATTTGCGGACTGCCATACGTGGTACTACTCTTTGAGTATCACATATTCGATCAGTGTCAATATGCCCCCGCCTACTCCCTCTGTACCTGAGGGTTGGAAAGCCGAATTTGACATTCGATATCAACAATGGTAGGTATCAAACTCTCTCTCTCTTCCCTCTTCCTTTTTACTTCATCTCTGTGTGGACACCACTGACGGCCCTACTACATTCTAACAGGTATTACATCAATATCCATACCAGACAGTCACACTGGGAACGACCAGACCAGCCAGCCCCGCCTGCTGGACCGGTTCCGCCTCCTGAGGGGGCCCCACCCAGTCGTGAGGCTACTACTACTACCACTCCTACTACTACGCGCGATCGACCAGTCGGCCATCCGAATCCAGAAGACCATGACCTACCCGAAGTGTACACTCCACAGCCTTCGTCGCAGTCTGCCTACGCGCCAAACGCGCCAAACCCAGGACAAGGATATCACAGCTACTCGCAGTCACAACACAGATATGACGGCTATAGCTACAACCCTACTTTTTCCCCGTATCCTGCATATCCTAATCAGTATTACAATCCGTACCAAAACACCTATGATCAATCCCAGCCTCCCTACAACCAGACGAAAAAGAAAGGGTTAGGGAAGAAAATTGCAGCTGCCCTAGGATTAGGCGGAGGATTAGTCAGTGGGATTCTGCTTGGGGAGAGTACCTAAGCACTACAAGTGCAAGATGATTTTGTCAGTCTGCCACTGCCACTGTTTCTGATGTCAGACCTCAGTCTCCCATACCCCATCATGTGACTGCTATGTTGAAGTTATATATTGATAGATAATTAGGTAATAAGAGAATAAAATGTTTTAGATTAATTGGAAATCTATATAATTATGGACTATCAGAATCTAAACTATTTTGTAATTACTGGACAGGTGACAGTGTATTAGCCTGTAATCTCAATGTAACCTAAGAAGATATATTATTCTTGTATCTGATTTAAATCTAAACTCTGAAACATGAAAGAATCACTTGTATTTCCCTCTGAGAAAAGCCTCAAGAGCTTGGATTTTGACCTGTTTCTAAACAGTTGAAGCAAATACTCTGGTGATTGGTAACACTGATCCCGGTATCCTCTGCAATGATATGGAACTGTCATGGAATGGCTTCTGGAAGCCGCTTGCGCTATTGTCGAGTGATGTATGCACGCAGAGTTACAACAAGGCCATAGGCAACAAAGAGCGCTGCTTGAGGAACACCCAGCCAGGCAAGACTTGTGTCTTCTGCTCCGATCAAATAGAAATAAAACAACCAGACCAGACAAATGGAAGGGCAAAGGAAGATGTTAAGAAGCCACAGGGTAACTCTTATCCATCGCTTCTGCCCTTTCAATAAATCATCAAATGCAAGTGAGAAGAGAATCAGCTCCCAAAGGCCGATCAATGGAGCAAAGAGAAAGAAATAACATGAACGACCCGCGCCCAACACGACGAATGCTCCTGTGAAAGAACGGACTCCTATGGCACAAGGAAGTAGGAGTCCCAGGATTGGCAATGACATCAGCATGCAATACACCAAGGACATACGTAGAATGCTGCAGTATGAGCGCCAGGTGGCATGGCCAAGATGGTGACTGTTTCTGGACGGTGCAAGAATAGGACTGGATCTACCAGAAGCAGGGAGCATTGTCTGGGCCGTGGTTACTTCTGGAGCAGAGAGCCCATGTGTTTCATCTCCCGCAGAATAGTACTTTCCTCGCCCTGTGTCTAATAGTTAGGATCATGCTGTGTTGGACTCCGAACCCTACCCACCCGCATCCGAGCAGAATGATTCCACTATCGTTACCAGGGGCCCAGCGAGTAATAGCATCGCAATGACCTGCCCGAACGTCCAATCGCTCGATCCATTGAGGAATCCAGTCGGGTCATCTACCATCTGAAGCGTGGCAATCAACCGATAAATACCCCAGACATAGGCCACAGCTACCCAGATAATCTGTTGGAACGTAATCTCAGTAGATTACTAGTAGTCGAGGTCACGTGACCCGAACTCCGTAACTTCAACTGCTCCTCCGAGCGCGCCTAGATAGCGAAGAATCAAGCGTTTTCAACGACTTCAGTATTGACCTAAAACGTCGTTTCAACAGGTTATGAGCCCGGCTCTTCGCTCGTGAGGCTAACCAGCAAAGATCTGAGCCACCATACACACGAAGCAAGCCGCAATTGCAACGGGGACACGCACCGCGATACCCCTATCTCAAAACACCAAAACACCGCGAATATCAAAATATTCAACCGCCGGAAGCAGACCCCAGAATGTCGCAACCAGGCAGATACCACTCTTTACAACATGTCTCGAATACAGAGGCAGTAGCCATACAACCAAAGACACAAGCAGATAGGCTTCCAGTAAAGCTACCAGAAGGCGTTCAACCCGTATCTGAAAGGTTGAAAGGGCGAGAAGACTACTCAACGTGGCGCTTTGAAATATGTCAAATCCTGAAGAACGTCGGTCTACAAGACATGATCGACAAGGGTCTATCCCATCCTAGTACAAACCACACGAATTACTGGCTATGGCACCACCTGTCAATCAACATCCAGTCCTGGCTAGCTAGCCAGCTGTCAGACCCCCTAAAGAGGGCACTGATGACGTCCCCTGACGCGCACGACTACGCGGACGATGCCTACGAAGTCATCAAATCACTCGTCCTAGGCCACGGCCACACGCTTTGCCAAACAACGTACTTCGACCTCATCCACAAACGCCGATCCGACTACTCTACCGTTGAACAATACGTGGAGGCGTTCAAACACGCATACAACTTCGCTAAAGAGTTGAAAGTCGGGATATCACCATACTGCGGGTTGCTACACCTGCTCAAAGAGCTGGAATCCGACCTTCCAACGTGGGTGTCAACAGTGGAGTGCAATTTGCCTGATAATGCTGCGGACACCCTCCAGGAGAAAGAGTTTCTAGTTTACTGCAGGACCGCAATCGAACAAGGTAATAAACAAATGCAAAGATATTCTTTCGCTGCGCCAGCGAAGAACACTGGAAGCACCACCAAGTCGGGAAGCACTGCAACGACCTCAGAGTGGAAGAAATCAACATTCCCACCGAAAGGAACGACCCCTGAGGAACACGCTAGAAAGATGCGAAACTTGAAGCCAGAGATGACTAAGGGACGCTGCGCTTTCTGTAAGACACTAGGCCATGGAGCAACCACCTGCTGGCGCTTGAATCCTGACCTCCGGCCAGAGGATTATAGGCCTCGTATAGAAGGCATCTGGTGGTTCAAAGGATCGAAGCCTAGCGAAGCATCAAATGCAGCGGTAGGCGAAATAGGATCCGATGACGAAAACCCGTATATTTTGAATTTTTCTGGCCTAGCCGTTGCAAACGCCACGAACACCTCGCTACGCTGGATATATGATACAGGCAGCTCACAGCATCTAACACCTGACTGCGCTTCCCTAAGCGGTCTCCACCAATTGAAACCCCACGAATACTACCAATATGGCACCTCGAACGGGGGAATCGGTGTTGCAAAATCGGCAGGGTATCTGACCCTGACCCTAGCTGCAAACGGCCAAAATACGGTGTTGAAGATCAAGGCCTACCACCAACCGGACCTACCCTACGGGCTCCTTTCTTCCAACCGCCTACGTACAGACCTTGGCATCTACGCTACCACTAAGGACCTGACCCTACGCAGGGACCGGGATGACAAGATCGTCGGCCACCTGCAGGCATCGAAAAACGTGCTTTTCGTCAGGACAAAAGACCCTGACCTAGCGCTAGCGGCAGTGGACCCCCTACTCTTGCACCGGCGATACGGGCACGCAGGATTCCGCCGAATCGCTACCACTGCAAAGGATCATCAAATTGAACTCGAACACAGGGACACCCTAGAGTGCGAAGCATGCTCGCTAGGCAAGGCCACACGCCTCGTTTCAAGGGACCCAATCCCAAAGACTAATGATCCAACACAGCTCTGGCATGCAGACATCCAAAAGGTGACCCCGATTGGTCATGGCGGATTCAACTACTTTCTACTCATGGTCAACAACGCTACTCGCTTAGTGAGGACGGCCATGCTTAAACACAAAGATGACGCCTCCGACGAGCTGATCAGGATGAATATGGAACACAAGAATATGGTCGGCCGATACGTGGCCACCTGGCACCTAGATGGTGGCCGCGAGTTCAACCGCTTTAGGAAATGGGCGAATCATGCAGAGCGAGGCATTCAAATCAAAATATCACCTCCTCGAACACCCGAAGCCAACGGCCTAGCTGAACGATACGGCGGCTTGCTCAACCGAATGAGCAGGGTCATGATACTAGATGCTGGCCTCCCTGCTCACCTCTGGCCGTACGCTGTACGCCTCTCAGCGCAGATCCTGAATCGCCTCGTCCCCTACCACAGCGCTGTCAGGAAGACCCCCGTGTTCCTATACAGATCCCACTACAACCTCCCGAATCCTAACGCGTCACTAGACTTCCTACGCGTATTCGGATGTCGTGCCTACCAACACATCCCGCAGGAAGATCGAGTCGCATCCCAGAAAATGGGACCTCGTGCAAAAGTCGGATACTTCGTCGGTTTCGATGGGGACAACGGACACGTTTACTACGTGTGGGATCCTATATCTGATAAAATTAAACGATCACGAGACGTTAAATTCAACGAAGATCGAACCTACAAGGATGACAAGGAGGATCCCGGTGGAGTTCCTACACGCGAACCTGACCCTAAAGGACCAACACCAGCTGGCCCAGGTGCCGCGCTCAAGTTAGACAACGCGTTCCTGCACCAAACAACCAATATATCAGATAACACGAGGGCCCTGATTGAGCAACCGGACCCTGAAGAAGACGTCATCCGAGGCAGAATCCACACCATATCTGCCTCCGCAGAGCCTCCACCTACACGCTCGATCGAGAATGCCACAGAATACGAGGCATCCTCAACGAAATACGCCGCGCAGGACTACCGCCTGCCGGACCCTACTGAGCCAGAAGAACAACCCATACTGAGGCGCTCCGCAAGGACCACTAAAGGCAAATCATCAACATGGCCAGATTACCAACAACTGGCCACGGTTGACCGGGTGACCCTACCCCACCTCAAACAACACGAAGTGGTCGTTCCGAACACCTACAGCGAAGCGATGAAGTCCCCGCTGGCACCATACTGGAAAGATGCTATGGATACACAGATCGATAAGATACAGAATATGGGCACCTACGAGATCGTGAACCGACCTCCAACCGCTCGCGCAATCCCAGGCAAGTGGGTGTACGACCTCAAGGTCAACACTGACGGATTCGTCACCCAATTCCGTGCTAGATGGGTAGTCTGCGGCAACCGCCAGATACCAGGCATCGATTACGACGAATCGTTCGCTCCTGTCGCCAGCGAAGCGGCCCTGAAGCTATTCATGACGAACGTCGCTATAAAAGATCTTGAATGGGAACAATGTGATATAGTATCTGCTTATCTACACGCGCAGATACAGGGCAAACGCGTGTTCATGAAACAACCTACCGGATACCATGAAGGACCACCGGATCAGGTGTGCCTATTAAAGATGGCCCTCTACGGCCTCCGCCAGGCGGCCCACCTCTGGCACCAAACGTTTGACGAAACACTTAAAAGAATCGGTTTCGAACCACTGAGGGAGGATCCCTGCGTATACAAAAAGGGTGATATCTGGTTGATTATTTATGTTGACGACTCCGCTATCGCTGGCCCCAGGAAGGAAGACCTAGCCGAGGTCAAACAACACCTAAACAAGGCATTTGGCCTGAAGGAAATGGGGGAACCAAAGGTTCTACTAGGATGCAACGTTCAACGTGACTACCAAGCAGGCACGATATCACTATCCCAACCAACGTACGTGGAGGAGTGCCTCAATGCAGCGAACCTAGGATCCTGCACCCCCTCCGCCATTCCGATGACCGTTGCCTACAAAAAGTCAGATCGCTCGAATATGACTACCGAAAACGTCAACCTAGCCGAATATCAAAGCCTTGTAGGGCGTTTGAACTGGCTAACCACAAAGACCCGCCCCGATATACGTCATGCAACGTTTAGACTTCAAAGGCGCATGAACACTCCCACTACGGCCGACGCTAAAGCATTGAAAATTGTATACAGATATCTGAAAAGGTCCATCCCGTACGGGATCACCCTCGCCACTGACCATACCAAAGGCATCGAAGTCTTCGTAGATGCCGCCCACGCTGACCACGAAGACGGCAAATCAACGGAGGGATACGTCATCTTCTACGCTGGCGGCCCAATCAGCTGGTCATCCAGGAAGCAATCGCTAGTTGCACCGTCATCTACGGTAGCAGAATACTGCGCGTTTGACTCCGCCGCCAAAGAAGCCTTGTATATAAAGAAATTGGTTGAAGCGTTTGACCTCAAGGCCTCCGTTGACGGCAGGATACCCTTGTACACCGACGCCGCCAACTCCCTACGGATCCTGAACCACGGAGGCTACACCAGGTCCACTAGATGGCTCGATAATCGTTACCTATTCGTAGCCGATCTGATCACGAAGAACGCTATCACCATTCAACACATCCCAGGGACCACCAACCCGGCGGACGGCCTCACCAAGCCGCTTGATAACGAATCGTTCAAAGCGTTCAGGCACCTCCTCGGAATGACCCCCATCTCCTCCCCGAACCTGCATCCAGGGAACACCGGTTGAGATAGCCGTTCCTTCCTATCTAGGCAATGCCTAGAGCCTCGTTACGAACGCTCCCTCGCCTAGGGGGCCGTGTTGGAACGTAATCTCAGTAGATTACTAGTAGTCGAGGTCACGTGACCCGAACTCCGTAACTTCAACTGCTCCTCCGAGCGCGCCTAGATAGCGAAGAATCAAGCGTTTTCAACGACTTCAGTATTGACCTAAAACGTCGTTTCAACATAATCTGTATTGAATGTCAGATCGCGCCAGAAAACAAGCGGGAAAGTGGAAAGGACAACTTGCCTCCATGAAGACAGACGTCCATCCATCGACAAGCAGATCTGCTGATAGCTTAGCTGCTAATAGTGGGTAATAGAACGCCATGCACTTCAAGCTCGGTGGTTGGGCTGCTGAACCTGACCAGCCTTGCACGATTCGTAAGCATGTATATGTCCAGTGGCTGACCCTCGACCTTGCCCTGGCGAAAACATCCACTGAGAGGAATCGATAAAGCTTGACAATGCGCACCACGAATGAGAAGGTTATAAGCAGGACCGAGAATAGCATGGTATAGAAAGCTTGCCTCAATGGCGGTCTGATCCGAGTATAGCAGATTGCGGCATCCCCGTAAGTTGGCTTGTCGCCGCCGCCATCACTAAAAGCCCAATCATAGTTTGCGGTGAATCCGAGGGCAATTGCCAAGAGGACGCACAATGTAGCCATGGCGACTAGCCGCCATGTACGCTCAGAGGAGTGAAGATAAAGGTGATTGCGCAACGCAGTCAGGCAAGAAAGATGTGTAATGGTAGAGAACCAGGTCAGACCTACTACAATTTGCCAGTAGAATGTTTGTAGACCAGAGCCAAGCTGTGAATAGCCACTGATCAGTATCGAATAGCCAGTCAAGAGCTGCATGTCACTGAATGCGACGATACACTACGGTTATGACCTGCGTCAGTACAGCGTGACAGAGGAATAGCCATGGAAGCTTAGAGGGAAGAAACCCTGATGAATGCTTCCTCAAAACTGATATGATTGATGGGAATGCAACCAAATGCACCCAGGCAAGTCATTGCTATACGTCTCAAATCCTCGAGTATGCGTGCGTCCACTAGGTTGGGATAAAAGGCCCTGGGTGCACTGTTTCTTCTGGACCCTTGGAATGGATCATAAGAGGGATCATATGCAACGAAGTAGTAAAGTGAAAGAATGAAGACCACTATTCCAGCTGTAATGATGTAGCTGAAAAGAACCTGTAGAATGCAGATTAGACTAGCCTTGTGCTCTGTTTAGAATGAGCTTACACCGGTGCCTGTGATATCACTGTTGACGACCCATTCGGGAAGCGGGTCTGAACAGTTGTATTTCCAGGATGTACTCATTGTTTCCAAGGATCTGAAATAAAAACTTGCGGCTATGTGAGCATCTTACAAATCTACTAAGATAACAAGAACCTGCTCTGAAGGGATTGCCGCTCTTATGAGGTGTACTGAAAAGCAAACATATGCATTCCAGCTCCGCCACCGTAAGCTCGCCCCGTGAGGTGCTCAAAAAGCCACGCACTGCCACCGGTTGACGTGGCTCAGGGCTCTCTGTGACTCATGCCTCCCTCAGCTAGTAGCTTTGACCTCCGGCAAACGCGACCAAGCAGCCTCTACCGCCCAGGCCTCTTTCTGGCTACCAACAAGAGAGCAAAAGCTCAGCCCGTGTTCCGGTTTGAGTTTGCTGTAACTCGTTTGGATGTTTTGGGGATGCCTCATATCAGTCGAGCTGCTGGTTTTATCGCTAGTCGTAGGAAGGATCTGGCTTGAGGTGGCTGAAAATCACTGGTTATATACATCTCGTTACCAGGTTTCTTACTAGTAGGTACTGGAAATATGTATAGGACACATACACTCATCATTTCACCACGTCCTTATCTCCTGCTTCCAAGTACACATTGATTTCTTTATCGTCGGACTCCGGGTAACATGCATCAAGCATCAGTGCTGTTGGTATAGGGATCGGAGTTGGCGGCTGAAACTTTCAATTTAGGGTCAGCCAAATAATTGACTCTGTCTGTAGCATTTGGTACCACTCACGCTGTTCGTCGTAGTTCGCATGACATTTCATGATAGCTCGACATATAGCCAAAGTGAGCAAGGTATGTAGGAATTATCGAACCGTTATTTCACAATTAAAGAGTGTAAATAGTGTTCTAATATCCGCAAGGGTCTTGAAGAATAATACCCATGGAAGTAAAGGTGCCATTAGTTCCAGTAGACTGTTAACGAACATAAGTCTAAATGAGTCGCTAGCAGAACAACGATACCCACATGATGGTGTCTCAAAGAAACAGGTGTGTATGCTTATCTTTCCCCTTTCGCTATTATTACCCAATCATAAAAGCCCTGGCATATGTCGTTTCAACTCCCTAATCTACCTTAGAATCAACTTCAGTCCGACATGCGTCGCATCTCATACCACACAAGAATCTATCGGCATTTCAAATGCCCTGCATATTCGTCTCAAAAAAAATACGACCAGCGTTAACTCAACTCAAAATAGCTGACAGTAAATCTCTAATCCAACCTCCCCCCAAGCAAAACAAACCACAACACCATATTATCTACTACTCAACCACTAAATGACTTAATAAATCCTCCTCCTCGCCTCATACAAAAAACCCCCAAAAACCTCCGGATCCATACTGGCCCTTAACCACGCCCAGTCCTCCTCATTATCCCTCAAATACCTCAAATCATCATCACTCGCGCCCCCACTACTACTAGCCCACACTATCTTGGACAAAAGCATTTCTCGCTCGCGATCACGATTATTCAAGTCCCTCCACTGCGTTGGCGTAAACGGATACACGTATTTGAGATTATTCATGATCCAGGGTTCGTAGGAGAGGATGGGTAATGGAGTCCTTACACATTTATAATCAGCATTCGCCCACAAATATAACAGAGAGTCTACTTATAATAGGGTATGTGTCTTACAAATTCTCCCCGGTCCAGCTATAATACACCACCGGGACATCCTCATCCTCCTCCTTGCTTGCGGTATGGCCATAATCAACGAGAAACAGGCAGCGGGTCGACTCCGTGGGGTGCCGCTCTGTGCTGAAGGCGTAGCGGCGGTACTTAGTGGGAGTGAATCTGGTGTGCCAGTGCAGTTGGCAGATGTGGTTGATGAGGTAGGAGTTGCGGTCTTCGTTGGTGTCTCCGGGGAGGAGGTGGATGCGGGTGTCGACGAGGATGCGGATGGGAGGGGCGTAGAGGGATTTTTTGGGGTAGGGGGTGGAATATTCCATTGTAGAATATATGTCTTGGGAATGGGGATGGAGGGAAGTAACTATATGGGGGTTGGTTAACTGTGTGATGGGGGTGATCTTTGTAATAGTATAGAGAAGTAGAGATAGTAGGGTAGGTAGGGATGATATTTTAACTTGGTTAAATAGTAGTACATGGCTCTTTGTTGAATGTCATGGTATATTCCTAGGTTGAGGTATTGAAGTAATGGGAAAGTCCAGAGTATTTGGATAGTGAATTGCCATTTTACCTTGAATTGTTCATGGGTGGACTATAGATTCCCTAGTATGTAGGTATCACCAACCAACGGCAAACTCCTATCTAAGTGGAAAGCGTCCGCATACGTTGTTGAAGATTCTTGTACTTCCTCTCCAAACATTTGATAATCTTGGCTTAAGACAGCTGAAGAAGCCGGCCATTGATTATTGAATGCACACTTCCCTATCTACCTGAATATTGAATAGTAAATCAGACTATACTTATAAAACAGCACGCCCTATTACAGCAAGCCAGTCACTTAGACATAACTACTAGTTAACAGACCACTAGTCAGTCATGAGGATCAGTTAACTAATCATGCAGCTTATGAACCACGTCCACTGCATTATTATTCCAACCTATGCACTCCCTCCGGGGTACTAAATCCGATATACCCGGGGAAATTTGGGGTTCCACTCAGGGGGGAACTGGAGCGCCCCTCATCTTCGCTTCCGGGTGCTCCGGAGCTGTCAAGCTTAGTCTACTTTCTAACAATGCTCTTTCTTTCTTTCCCTATCTATTCCACTGCTCGACTTCAATGATGTAAAACGTTGCGCGTTTGTCCACGTTCATAATCTATTTGCTTTCCATGCATATATACATCCGGTATACACACTGATGAGAAAATAAGAGAGAAGGAGTGACTAGAACTTATCCGGGGTATCCACTCTAAACGCCTGAACGCTCACAAATCAAAGGAGTGAAGACACTCATACAACCACAGACACAAAGAATAGCTTTTTGTTTTTCTTTCATCATCGTTCATTTCAAATGCCCCTTTCGGATGGCTCCAAATCCCTTCGTAAACAACTCATGAACCTCGACTGACCGGCGCGGTGTTTTGGGTACCTCTTCGCCCTCTTCCGGAGAAGTGCTGGTCCCATATCCGCCCAGCTCGACGTCTTCCATCTCAACAGGGCCAGAGCCTGTCTTGGTGCCAGCCACCATCACTCGGGGCCGAGCAAGAAGTTCCCGAACTTGTTGCTCACGCGCTTCCATCTCTTCCTCGCGGGCCAGCTCAAAGCTGGGTTTTTTCTTACCGTGATCCCAGCCTTGTTGCAGCTCAGATGCTGCGGCTTCCTCGAACCGTTTCCGAATATCCAAGTCCTGCTCATATTCCTGGAAGACGTCCACGTCCGTGGGGAAGAAGAGCGCCCGGACGGAACTCACGGTCATTTCGAACACGATCACTGCGATGACGGTGACGAGCAAAGCTGCCCAAAAAGCGAGGTCGTGACCCGATGCATAGACAAAGTTGCCCAGGACATGGTAGATTCCATCACCAGAGCTGGGGTTGTACCGGCGGTCGAGGATCAAGTTCCAACAGAACCACCCACCCACAGAAATCACCCACACAATCAAACACAGATACGTCTTGTTGTGCACCTCGAGGGCCTGTAGCTTGGTGTTGATGACGATGACACAGGCTGTGAACGAGAGCAGACCGGCTGAAAAGATGTCGCTGCCCGTGTGCGTGAACATGACGTTTTCGAACAGCCCAAACATGCAGAAGTAAATCATCATCGCTTCACACGCAGCCATGAACGTCCAGCCCAGATACAGCCGAATGTTAAACCCGCCGTTGCGCTGGCCTTTGGTATACAATTCCGGGACAGCTAGGAGAGTGGAGGCAGAGAGGTCTTTGGTGAAGATGCCGAGGAAGATAACAGCCAAAGACGTGAAAAGAGTGTTGAACATACTCAAACTCCACGACTCATAAATACTAGTGCCAGTGTACCCGTTCCAACGCTGGTACAGAGCCTGCGTTAGGTAGAACAGCATTTCCTTCCAGAAGGTCCCGAGCGTGTACTTGCACGCCCGGATATAGTTCCACCGGCCGTGGACAAGGAGCAACTTCAGTAAGAACCTGAACTGGGCAATTGAATAGTCCGAGATTCGGGCCGCCTGCAATCCCTCCTTACCAGTGATGCCGATGCCAACGTGAGCTTCCTGAATCATGGCAATATCGTTCGCACCATCACCAATCGCCAGTGTCACGCTACCCTTGACTTGTTGACGGATCGACTTGACCAGGAATGCTTTCTGCTTAGGACTGGCACGGCAGCAGATAACTGAGTCAACTAACACGGCCAGCCTGAAGAATTGTGCCGCCAGGATTTGGTCTGATTCAATTATCGATAGTGTCTGCCCATCAACTACAACAACTGAATGAGCGACGCTGCCCTTGGTGATGTCGGCTGTCAACTTGACAATCGACTGCTCGACGTCTCCAGTCTCATGATCCAGAATGACAAGGGTTGAGTAGTCCTTCACCAAACGGCAGGAGTGACCAATGTTAATGGCGGTCTCTCGCTTGTCGCCAGTCAACATCCACATCTTGATGTTTGCACGTCGCAGCTTGTCGATCGCCTCGGGAACGCCCTTTTGCAGCTTGTCTTCGATGGCCGTTGCGCCAGTCAACTCTAGCTGTTGCTCAATCTGCTCACCGACCTGTTCGATCTTCTCCTGTCTATCGACAAGGCTAGTGGAGGCCTCGTGATAGGCGGCCTTCCAGTTGTTGTAGGTGGCTTCGTCAAGGAAGCGGTGTCCATATAGGAGCGTACGTAACCCTTCCGTTGCAAAGTCGTTAAGATGCTGGAAGCAGCGCTCGAAGACGGCAGCTTCGTTTACAACCAAGGCCTCCTCCACAAGCTCTTCCTCCTCGGTTTCATGGATCGAGCTGCCAGAGTCCGACCATGTGCTTGAAGCGCGTCCCAGTTGGGCTGAGGGGCGAGGACTGTAATATTCAGGATCGTCCCCTCGTGTCAATATACCTCCATCCGTCTCTCGGTCGCGCAGCCAAACGTCGATGCTTTCTCTTAGAGCCGATACGTGATCACCGGTAATACTTGATCGCCGACGAGCCATGCTAGGCCGGCCAAAGCTGGTCCGAAGCCCGCTATCCTTACGACTGTGATACTCGCTGTTGCGCCGCACCACCTGGGCAGCCTCAGCGGCCTTGCGTTTGCTGGCGCGCCTCTCAATCTCCACAGCCTTCTCCTGCGCGAGCTCGGCACGTTTCAGCAGGCGCATCAGAATGCTATCAGCGCCCTTGCAGAAGACGCAAATGCGTTGATCAGGCATCCGCACCACAACCGACATCCGTTTACGAGCGCTGGAGAATTCGATGACATCCATGATCTGATAGACCTCATCACAAGGCTTGTCGTCGGATCCGTTGGGATAGGTCCGGATTGTAAGCGTGTTCGGCTGCCGGTCGCGAACGAGGTACCCAAGCTCCTGAGCAGCCATAACCAAGGCCAACTCATCGGGTGATGCTGCCTGGAACGAGACATTACCAAGTTCGTCGTCTTCTGGGATACAAGTGTGGCACAACGCCATCGCCAGGATGAACATCTTGGCCTTGCGAGCGAAGACGGTGTAAGGCTTGCGCTGGATGTACTTGATCATATCGGTCGTACGGTTGTTGCGCATAGAGACGCCACGTCCGTCCAGGCCGTTTGTCATGGACATTGAGGTTCGGGGAGGCTCTCTGCGCGCTTCCGAGACGTTCGACTTGCGGCTGAGCGCCTTCTTTCCTTTTGCGCTGCGTTTCTTGTGAATCAACTTCGTATGATCACCGGCCTTGGCCGCCTCTTCGACAAGATCAAAGTCATGGTACCATGCAGTACCAGCGACACTCATCTTGCGGAAGCGCATCGAATTGTTGGTCAAAGTACCGGTCTTGTCCGAAAACACATAGCTAACTTGGCCTAGCTCCTCGTTGATGGTGGACGTGCGAGCTTCGATCGGAGTGTCAGTCTCAGGGTCATACATGTCGATGTCGGAGTTCAGTAGGAGCATCTGGGCGACCTTGACGATTTCCATACTCACATATAGTGAGATAGGAATCATCGTATTGAACATGATCAAAAAGGAGGTGAAGATAGGCCCAATGGCTACACTCGCCTGGGTGAGATACCATGCCTTGGGCTCGACTTGCTGATGGAACCAAAACTTATAAGCGAGAGTGCATCCTACCGCCAAGCTGACGACAAGGAGCACGATCAACATAACAACCCGGTTGACCTTGGCCTGGAGAGAGGGTGACTTGATGCGAGGGTTCTTGTTTGCGTTCATCCGAATCTTACACTCCTCGCCGGTATAGATGACCATGCCATAAGCACATTCGGTATTGCGCAGGATACTACCGCGGTACACGATCTCATTGTTGGTCAAGGGAAGTTTCTCTTCCGCGGCAATGGTCACATTCCCGTCAAACTTGTAAAGGTCCATGTTGGGGTCCTCGACGGCGAAATGCAGAGCGCTGCTACAGATTCCCTCAACTGTCCCACAGACCTTTGCGATAGGCTGAGCAGGCTGTTTGTTTTTTAGATTGGTCTCGCCGTCTAGAGCCATGGTTTCGATATAAGCGACACCATTTGGTCCGTCTGCATGAAGCAGGACCATATCTGCCGGTACAGGCTGATCACGCTCCATTCGGATGACGTCTCCAACTTTGATATCCCTCCACTTCACTGGGACCCAGTCCTGAGACTCGCTTGAAATAGACACGCTGTCGCTAGCGCACATCTGAGGGGAAATACCTGCACCAGGGCGAAGGACAAACGCATAACGGTTATTTTCCTCCTTGTCTAGACGATAACGACGCCAATCGTCGAATCCTTCTTTGCCCATTGAAATTGCCACAAAGATCAACAGCGGGACAAGGGTGGTGAATGAACCAGTCGTACTCAGGCCAGGAATCATCTGTAAGATTGCGACAATAAGGAAGTAAAAGTTGGCCAGCTTCGTAAACTGCGCGAACAGCTGGCGGGGAAAGAAACTCCAGAAGCTGTAACGACTAGAGCGGATGGAGTTTCCGACATACGGGTTTCCGGTCCTCTCATCGATGAGAGCTTCGGTGCGGGTCGCGTCAAGGTCAATGTGCCGACCGTCTTTGCTGGGAGGGATGTCTTTGATACGAAGGATGGTTTTACGTGCGGTCTCGAGCATATCCTCCAGACGAAGCATCAGCGTGGCAACGACAGCCTTCCGCTTGAGCCATTTCTCATAGGACACACTTGTGGAGAGGTGCCTGCTGTTTTTGAGGTTATCCGAAGACTCCGAGTAATATGTCGTCGACAAATCCAAATTTGGATCCGATGCGGACTTTTGCGTTACTAGAACGTCTTGCTTCTCGTCTTCGGTGGACTGACGCGGTACCTCCTCCGATCTCCGCTCGGAAACATCAGCAGAAGCTCCTTCCTGTGGGCTAACCGCCTGAGCTGGACCCAGCTCAATCGCACCCGGAGATGTAACAGCCGACTCGATATTCTTTGCGAAGATCGTCCGTCGCAGCGAATACCCACGATGACGCGACCTCGACCGACCACCGGATTCCGGACTCTGCGGGGAGGGAGGGGACAATGTCGAATTGGGCGACAAAGGCGAGGTTGCGCTATGGCCTGGGGACCTGCCCGACGAAGGCACCTGCAATTGAGCGATATTCGTATTGATTGTTAACCCCCTCGATCCAGGCCGTCGGTCAGTGTCAGGACCTCGCACTTCCTCCGGGGACGGACGCTCCAAGTCGGTCGAAAATCGGACATGATGTTGCGACGATCTTCGGCCAGCATCCGAGACGGTTCGAGATGGAGAAAGAGACGGTCGGCCGGGGACAGCACCACCTCGAGCACGGTTTATATCCAAGGATTGACTCCGTGGCAGCGGTGGTACTGGAGTCGGGCTGCCATTTCCTCTGGTTGTATGCTGTTCCGCCGACGTGCTTTCCTGCGGACCGTGATTGGACTCGGGTACATCATCATGTTGGGACATGGCGGGATTGCAAATGTCCACCGTGATGTGGGTGCCACAATATCCGTCTCCTTGCGTTCCTTATCAATTCACTTCGGATCTCGAGGCAAAAGGTAAATAATCAAATGGCGTATCGGTCGTAGTCGTATCTTGCGTATGACGAAAGGCCTGACTCATTCTTTGTGTCCGGAAAAAAAAAGTCAGAGACAGCGGACTCGTTTATGCCAGCATATGCGAGCACCCCCGAAAGCGACTAGCGATGGAACTGTACAAGCGACTCGCGCAGAGATAGACTGAAAAAGGGGAAAGTTCGTCGCAGCGATAGGGGAGGTGAACCGGAGCGAGAGCCAAGATGACGATGGCCGATGGGTAGGAAGTGAAACAGGCGGAAACGACTGTGGGGAGGCGAGTTCCACTGTGAGTTAGGAACAAGACTGTATAAGCGTGGAGAGGGAGACGGGGGGGTAAAGAGGGGGAGGGAAAAGGCCACGCGGAGAGAAGGGAAGAGACAAGGATACGGGAAGAAGTCAAGAGGAACAACCTCTTTTTCCGCAGGCGGCGAGAGATAAAGAGAGAGAGAAAGAGAGACCAACCAAGTAAGTTCAGCTGCCCTGAATCTGTTTTGTTCAGCTGCAGCGAATACGAAATGAGGCAGCCGGAAGCGGTAAGACGGCCGAAAGAACAATAGAGCCGCCGCCACTTGACTGCAGCCGGATTTTAATTTTATTTAAAGACAGCCAACCTAGCCCGTCTGTTTTTTCCCACTGATGGATGCAAGCAGGGAAAAGGAATGACTGCAAATGCAAGAGTAGAAGAGCAGATGAGTGAAGAGTTGGAAGAAAAAGAAGGGTAAGCTTCTTTTGGAACCGGACTAACTCCAAGTGGGAGGAGAGGAACAAGAACCAGAACCAGAAGAAAAAGGCCGTCGAGAAGGCGAGCCAGAAGGCAAAAAGGGAGTCTCGAAAGGAAGGCCTGAACCCAAAACTGGAACCTGATGGGGAATTTGCGGAGGCACCTTAATTGGCGGCGGGCCACTCATCGGTCGCCGTCGGCTTTGAACGTGGCTTGGGGGCCACGCAAACCATCTCGTTCGGGTTTGACTTTTTGGCTGCACTGCCCCTCGTCAGTTTCCAGGGTTCAACTCCTACTGAAGTAACGTTGCGATCGGATCTCTACAATATGTCCTTGTTGAACAGTATATGATATATGATTGATCACTACTACTGTAGTAATACGCGTCTCCCATGACAGATGCACTGCACTGTCTGTGTCCTCGGAATGACCTCTCAGTGGCGGAATAACCCCTGTCAATAAGTACTACTTAACTAACCCCCCCGCCATTGACAGGACTTTGATCTGATTGCTTTCCCTACTTATCACGCCACCGGTACTTACTCCAGAGTACGTAAGTGTGTGGTGGGTTCAAACGTCCAAGCAGTCAGATTTGCCACAGTTACAATCTTTAACCATTCGACATTCAGTCAACCATGGATAAGCAGTTACTTTTGACAGGGTCCCGGTCTGCCATTACTGACCGCCTACCACTCACAGCTTACCTTATTGCCTGGCACTTTCCTTTGACTTTCTTATTCTTAGTAGCCCATCTCTATTCTTATCCATCTGCTCCGTATCTCTCACCACTTGTATTTATTTGGCTGCCTGCCAGGCTACAGTTATTGTTTACTATCAAGTGGTCTACAGTTCACTAACTACTACTGGTTACTCGGGGATTAGTGCGGGTGTAAGGCTATTTCAATCATTGCAGAACAAGGAAGTTATGAACTGACAATTTACTGCTAGTATCATGCTCTAGTAGAAGCTTGAATAGCCGAATCGCATCCCGACGTGGGAAGACTGGTTTTCGATCAACAGTAATAAATAGTACGCAATAATTACTATTACACAGTCATTATCAGACTCATGCTCCCGCCTTACTCGCTTCCTCTCCCAACCTGCTAATCGTCATCTTCCCCCCAAGCAAATTTGATGTCGTGATCTGATACTCCAAAGTAGAAAACAGCCAGCTCCGCAGCTCTGCCGCAATCCTGCTATGATTGCCATACTAGTCTCTGAGCAATCTTCCCGCTTCCACTCATCCAGAAAAATATACAATAACCTCGCTATCTTCGAGCGAATTCGATCCTCCACTGTCCCGTCCTACTCGGATTTGGACTATGAGTCATATCAGTAATTGTTATACAGTCCATGATCTAAATCTAGCAAATCATCATCCTATGAACAGAGAATAACATGGTTCTAAAGTACTAGCACTGATAAACTTTATTCTAGGATAAACTACATCAATAGCCCTTTTTGTATTCTATATTACCAGTATCATAGTTATACCGGTTACTACTCAGCTTCTTCACAAGTGGCTTTGTAGAACATCAATATCGAAACATGTCATATGATTATTGCAAGGATTATATGGATATTAATCCTTACATCTACCTAGCAGGAAAGACTTTGCAGGATCTTTTTCTGGTAGTGTAGTTCAATTACAATTCATGCATAATCAAGCACCTCCCGAAACAAGATAGGACGCCGCCATATATCTTCTCGAATTTAGTTGTTGGTTGTTTCCCACTACAGTTTGTGGTGCTCTAGTATCTTCACTTTTGCTTGTAATTTTGCAATACTTGATCTGCCAGCCAATACTATGGCTATATTAGCAGAATGCACAGTTTAAGTTGTAGGCGGTGGCCCAAGGGGGTCAAATGCTGCTTCCGTGCTTTCCCGAGAAGGTATTGATACTGTTTTGTTAGAAGCCGATGTTTTCCCAAAGTCAATTCATTTCCAGCTTTATGTATGCCACCTTTCTTTGATTCAAAGGCGTATCTTCTCACTGGCTTGTCATAGATACCACGTTGGAGAAAGTATGCTGCCATTGTTGGAATACTTCATGGAATTCATTGGTGCCTTGCCGGGATTCGAAGCCTATGGATCAAGGCGAAGTTGAGAATATGAGGCGAGTTATTAGGAACTCCAGTGAGTCATTCACACTCGACAGCTTCGGGGCTGATGTCATTGATGGAATGGCTGCAAACATCTGGAAATTTTTGACGAGCATTTTCCACCTTGAGCGCAATTGACAGTGCACGTCACCATTGGTGGAAGTCGCGAAGGCAGTCCCTAAGTTTGGAAGTACATTATAGGACAGCACTACTAATATAGACAGAGCGCTTTCATCAAATTAAGAAAGATACTGTCCTGAATCAACTTCCGGAAACCTTCACTGATCGAGATACCCGCAGCTTACCCTACTTGAATCAGGCCATCAAGGAGACATTGCGACTATACACAGCTTTTCCGGACGCACTGCTGAGGACTGTCCCTGAAGAGAGCCACTCACCTGGCCGGATTCAGCCTCCCTGGAGGGGCAACGATATCACACAGGCATATAGTATGCACCGGGATCCGAGAGTCTTTCCTCACCCGCTCAATTCCTAACCCGGAACGATGGGCTTCGCCTAGCAAGTAGATGGAAGACGCGTCGTTACCCTTTGGGGGTGGGATCTCGCAGTGAGTATTTATCATCTCACACAATATACTAATTGTATTGAAGCCGACCATGCATAGGTTGTCTTGGTATTCATCTATCCCGCATGGAACTGCGACTTGCCACGGCTGTGTTTTTCCGCGATTTTCCTTTCAGTAAGGATGTCGACTCGTGAAGGGATCTTTGATGATGATATGCAAATGAGCAGCTTTTTTCTTAGCTGCACCCAAGGGATATAGGTATTTGGTAGAAGCATGATTTATTCACTCTTCATCTGTTACTTTCGTTCGAACTGCTTCGTCTAGATTAGTTGCTGTCAGATCGTCTTCCTAATACAATCTTCTCACTCCATCCACAACCATCATAAACTCTTAAGATCCTCACTCCATACAAGCCGAAGAAGAAAGCCATCAGCAAACCAAAATCAAACCCAACCACGGTCCCAAGCAGCCCCAGACATACGTAGACCTACTACTCTACCCCATAACCAACCACTAGTACTACCTACATCTACACCAGAAATAGTCTAATAAATCAGAGCCTGCAATCAACCCCCTCCCCCAGCAGGGCAACTAAGTCGAAACTCTATTTCGGCCCGTCCTTGTTCTGTGCCTGTCCTTCCAAACCCAACCCATAGGACCCAAGAACTAACTATTCCGCAGGTTCATTCTTTCCCCCGGGTTTCTACACCACTTACACCCACAGTTCGGCATCCAGCCAGCGGAGGTTAACCCTTCCTTGTCCGTGGGGGAAGGTCCCTACATATGGCCCCGTTACTACGACGCTACCTTATGGGAATAAAGGAAACTTTCTTTGACAGCTGCCTAAGTAGCCGCTTATCATACATTTTCCGTGTTCGCTTATACATTACGAGTAGATAAGGGGGAAAGAAATATGGCCGCCTGATGGGATGATGATGGATCTATGAATAGTATATTATAGACTGCCTTTTGAATGGATGGGGACGTGATGGGGTAACCTAGATACTTCTAATAGGCAGTTGCGTATTGTGCATCTCGGAGAGAATATGTTTACTCGGGTGGGGGGTTTAAGAGATGTAGTTCGTTTTTTCGTATCCGGAATTGAATGGTCAGATGGAAGGCCTGGTGATGTTGGATGCCTGAATGGGTGGGTTTGGACATTTACTCAGCGCGTACTGTGATTGGTGATTGCTCGGAATTACTGTGGGGCTCGCTGAGAGATGACGTCGATGGTAGGGAAGAATGTGAAGATCGGCGTCAACTTCATGTCGATCAATCATCGGTGAGAGTTAGATGGAAGTGGTCAGTTGAGGAAAGTATCATGACTCCATTGTTCAATTTTGCTTTACAAATAAGCTGATCACGTAACTGGGTCTATCCGTGCCCTTCACCTAGCCTGCCATGCGAGCCATTGTCCTCCCGCCTACGAAAATCTGCTTGCTAAAGTCCGAAGAAAACAATCATTAAGAATAAGAAACTTCACATTTGCGCCCCAGTCTTGCAATCCCGTCACATAGGACAAGCGAACGTGATCTATCAGTACCTGGGTGGCTGGGGTGCCTGATAGGGAGAGTAACCCCGCGGGGCTCCGGAGGACTGTCCGTATCCAGGCTGGTTGGGGTGAGGAGAGGGTGCACCATATCCACCACCGTATTGCTGGCCATATCCCGGTGCTGGCGACTGGCCCTGACCCTGGTATGGGGCTTGACCGTACCCCTGGCCATAGCCCGGGCCACCGCCATAGCCCTGCTGAGGTTGGCCATAGCTGGGAGCAGGGGGATATCCGGGTTGGCTGTAGCCACCGTACTGTCCACCCCGGGGAGCTCCACCAGGAGGCCCGGAGGGGGGTCCGGAGGGAGGTCCAGAGGGAGGTCCAGACGGGGGAGCACCAGAACCACTAGCTCTGCCGGCAGCCTTTTCGTCTTTGGTGTCGTACGAGGAATCAATAGCCCCAAGCATCAATTTAGCGCACTACAAACGTTAGTAAATTGCAGTTTGATGTGTGAATTGGAACATACCCAGAGTTCACGAGTCAAGTACACTGGTGGCACGGCGCGTGACATTTCATCCTGTTCGACCTCGAAGTCTGGTGATAACATTAGTTAACCAGTTGTGCTGAGGACCATTCTAGCATAGTGAACTTACTGGAAGTACAATCAATCAATGAGCCAATTCTCGGGTCTTCATCCAGCGAAGCGAGGAAATCCCGCGCCTTGGTGTCATTGCCCACCTGCGAGAATTGGAAAGAAACGGCACCCTGTCCATACTGAGTCCGGGAGACCTCGCTCACGGCGTAACCGATGGAGCTGGAGACGCTGTCAAGAGGCTCTCCGGCGGGCTGTCCATCCGTGATGGTAATGACAAGAACTGGCTTTTGCAGTCGACCTGCTCTGGCCGGGCCCACAACCATGGGGTCGAGGACCTTGTTGCGCAAGCTTGTTCCCAAGGGGGTAAGGCCCTGGAAGCGGACACGCGAGACAAGATGACCGACGTCTTCTGCGTTGCGGATTCCATCTCCTTGCTCCACATTGTTCATGAACCGTACCGAAATGCCATCGTCATCGAAAGTGGACGCAGCAGCAGCAACGATCTCAATGATCTGCACAAGCTGCTCTTTTCTAACGCCACGCTCTTCGAACTCGATGGAGCCGCTGTCATCCACATAAAGGATGACGTCGAATAGAGACAGTTTCATAATGTCCATAGCCACTTCCTGTGGCACACGGAGTTCGTGCATCAGTTTGTTGACCTTTCCTGGCGCCTCGTTGGCCAGCGCCTGAACCAATCTGTCCAGTCTCTCTGGGGGCCAGAAGCTCTGCAGGCGTTTCTCCTGGATAGTTCCGATCAAGAGCTGTCTGTAGGCGGCGATCTGCTGGTCAGATGCACGGGCGGCGGGAGGAGCGCCTCCAGGGGCACCATATGGTGCTCCCGGTCCGCCGGGTCCGCCGGGGTAAGGTGCATTCTGCGGGGGGTATGAGGGGCCCTAAACCATTGAATCGAATCAGCATGTCAGTCACACCACATTTAAGATGATACGCAAGAAACGCGACTGTAGATCATTGGCAAACAAATGCGGGCAAGTGGGTAATGGTATGTACTTGAGAGGCTTGCTGCGGAGGATACTGTGGCCCAGGAGCTCCATATGGCTGAGTTTGTGGCGGGGGAGGCGGGGGTCGGCTATAGCCTTGCTGTGATTGTCCATATTGCCCGGATGGAGCCTCTCTGGTAACATATGGGGATGGTTGCGAATAGCCCTGCGACGGCGGTGCCGGAGATCCATAGGGCGACGGGGAGTAAGCCTGAGGAGCCGGAGATGCCGACGGATAAGTGTGCGCAGAGTAGGACGGTTGAGAGCCTGGATAAGGCGATTGAGGGCCCGAATAAGCTGGGTGCGGACCCGGCGATGGTGAGGGAACTGGCTTGTTTGGAGGGGCCGATGGAGGCGCGTAGGCTTGATACTGTGGCTGCTGCTGCTGCTGCGGGGGCGGCGAAGTCGGATATGGGGACTGCTGGGCCGAACCCGGACGTAGCTGAGGCGGATAGCCGTGTTGGTTATAATAAGGTCGCGACATAGTTGAAGATGGCGTCCAGGTTTTCCAGCAAAGGAGCGGGGAGGGCAAGAAATAGAAAAGCAGAAGTGTGACACGGGCGCGAAGAGAAGGTTGGAGGGGCAAAAGGGGGCCACAGTGGAGAGGAAAGTGAACCCTGGCTCTCTTTCATTCGATGAGAGTGACTCTCACGATGGAGGGCGAGGGTGACCCAGCAGTGAGGAGGGGCAGCGCCAACCGAATGAAAAATCGGGGAAAAAAGGGCGAAAAGAAAGAAGGCACGAGAAAGAAAGAAAAACAAGTTCTAGCTTACCGGACCGCCAGAGGGCGCAGGGGAGCCTTGATAAGCCTGATACTGCGGTTGTTGCTGCTGCTGTTGCTGGTCGCGAAGAGATGCGTCAGCTTTTTGTGGAGTGTGATAAATTGAACACGAACTGGGTAAAGACACCGTGGATAAAATTGAACGGTTCAAAGAAAGACGGGTGAGGAGGGGCGGAGGAGTTCACTAAAGGTTTAGTTTTGCCCGGTAGGGCGGGGACTCACATTCGAAGGATTATTGCCAGGCTGCAGTGCAGCTGGAGGTCCTCCAGCATAGCCTGTCGGAGGTGCGCCTCCATAGACGCCGGGCCTGTTTGCGCTCATGTTGGGTGGTGGGTTCTGGCTGCCGGCGATCTTGGATGCAAACTAAAAAGGACGTGCAGGATGCAGCGGTTAGTTGGGTGGTATTCGATGTAGCCTGCTTGAGGCTAAATTGTCTTGGAATGGTATGTTATAATGGCCTCAAGAAAAAAAAGTAGAAACACCGAAGTGAAGCGGGGCAGGTACGCGGGGCAGAGAAGAAAAACAGAGAGGGGAGCAAAAGGAGAGAGGGGTCATGTTGGGCACTTACCCCCATCTTTGTAAAGCAGCTGACGTCCAACTACGTAGTCAGTAGGTAGTAGTATAATCAAGGGGGGGAGACAATAAATCGGGGAGAAATCGAGAAGGGATAGATAGGATGGTGAAGAAGGATGGCGTCAGAAGGAGAGCAGAAGGCCGACGGCACTACGGCGTCACTGCCACTATAAAAGCACTGCCCGTGAAGAGATCCATCCAAGTAAGAGCTAAACAGCTGGACTGGGACTAGCCGACCACGGGATGACGACTGGCCCGCCCCTCTTGCAGACCCACTGCTGTTGGGGAAAGTCCTGAAGCTATACCCAGATGGCCCCCTTTATCTTGGGAGTTGGGTTACTTTGATGATGGTAAATAGTAGTAGTGAGAGATGTGTTGAATACAGCAGAATAGCAAAGCTATCTGGTGATCAAAAAGATGTATCGCCACCTACCGAATACTACTAGTACTCAAGCCTGATGAGTACTTACTAACTAGTCCCTGCAGGAGTGCATCTACTAATCCAAAGTATGTACAAGCCGATAGTTCATCCCGTTCCCCGCACGCCAGAAGCTCTGGATGATTCCGTAGGGCTGATCTCATCCATTCGGGGTTATCCTGCCAGCCTCAAGGATCAGGCTCGATGGACTTCTGTTACATGGCAAGGCTGAATTGCTGACAGGCAACTCTTTTCAACACAATGATGTAAAATAGCCTTTATACGATTTTTACCTGCGCCTCCATGGATGGCTGTTATAGCCACAGCTGACCAAGCGCTGCACATGATAACTCAATATGACTGCAGACTGACTTCACAGCAAACCCAACAAGCCATCACCAACCCAGCTGACCCTTGCCATTTCGTGCTCGGAACCACGGCGGTCATGGGATTGGGGGCATACTTGAAGGCGCCTCTGCATGCAGTAGTTAGGAATAAGCTTGCAGGGTAGACGATCTGCCGAATCAACGATGGGCCTCATCGCAGGCATCGTCGGGGACACACAGACAGAACGCACGGATCAGCGCAGCCAGGCAAGCTACATCGCTAGCTTGGCTGGAACAGACCAGATCAACAGGACCCCTGGTGTAGTCCAAAATAGCATTTTCAGAGCTTCTAGATCATTTCAGAGCATTAAGCATAAAATCAGAAGAAGAACGGCGACAGGGCGAGATGGCAACAAAGACCAAGATTCCATGGGCGGCCACTGATGTCATGCATGCCACCTGCGGTCCAAAAAAAAGCTTCACATCCCTGCGACGAAGTTCAAAGAACTGTAACACAAATCTTTCCTGAGGATCCTTGAAAAGCATCCCGGGTACTGTTCTTTATCCCTTGTTTCATCTCAAACACCTCACTCAGTGTTGCTGAACACTTTTTTTCAAAGGGACTGAGTGCAGCGCACCCAGTCGGTATCATTATTACCAGCCCCCTTTGCACTTCATACACACATACCAGCTCACCTCACTTTCCCCCTTCGGCAGACTCTCATTCCATCCCTCGAACGTTCGGACCATGTTCTTTTCTTCACCGTCGCTCGATCTTCAGAGCTCGTCCTCACTCTTATCCCTCCCTGAAGATTGAGTTCATCAAGTAGCACAACTAATCTACCACAAAACAAGTACGTCACTCACATTCTCTGCACTCTCTCAACCAAAACGAAGAGCAGACACTAACCTCACCGTAACGCGCTTCAACAGAATCCAAAGAAAACAAAAATGACTGAAACCCCAAGCATCCTGCGTGTGGGAATCCTCACCGCAGACGAAGGTGCCAAAGCCATTCAAGCCATCTATCTCCCAGCTCTACGTGCCCTTCCCACCTCGTTCCAGGTCCAAGCCATCCACGATGGCTCCAAGCAGCCCCTGTCATACGAGAACGAGGTAGACGGCAGCATCTGCAAGACGAACGGCAGCGTGTGCAACGACCATGACCACCAGCACGGCGCCACCATCCCAGTAGTCCCCACCCCAGACGACATCCTGGCCAACCCAACCATCGACCTGATCCTCAACTTCATGCCAAACGAGTATCACGAGACCTACACCGTCGCGGCCCTGAACTCCGGCAAACACGTCATGGTCGAAACCCCGTTGAGCCTGAGCATCCCCAGCGCCAAACGCATCATCGAAGCCGAGAAACACGCCCCCAATGGCGCCAAAGTCTTCGTCGCCTGCGCCCGTCGCTACGCCCCCAGCATTTCCTCCGTCTTCAGAAAGGAAGTCGCTAGTCTCGACCGCATCTACTACGCGCGGTGTCGCAACATCGCAGGCCCCAGCTCCGCACACACGGCCACCGCGCCGCGCAAGCAAGTCTGGAACGAGGTGAACGGACACGGCCAACCATTCCCCATTTCACCCCCTTCGTCGCCCTCAAACGACTCCATCGCCGGAAAAACCCGCCCCCAGCTGCTCCAGGGTCTTCTCGAAGAAGCCTTCCTCGGCCAGGACCTAAGCAAGGAGCGCGTCGCCCTGTACGAGTTCCTCGCTTCCCTGGGATGTCACGACCTAGGCCTCATGCGCGATACCCTGGGCTATCCAGATGCAGTGTCCAGCATCTCCGTCAACGAACCCTACTACGCTGCCGTCTTTCACTACTACAGCGGCGGCAAGGGCGAACACCCATTCACGCTCATGTACGAGAGCGGTACGGATGCCGTGCCTCGTTGCGACGCGCATCTCACCATCTACGGCGATACGAAGACTGTGAGCGTGCAATACGGGCTGCCATATGGTCGACGGCATGGGGTGAAGGTGGTCGTCGAGACCATTGATGAGAATGGGGACATGAAAAGAACGGAGACCGTGAGTGCGTGGGAAGAGAGCTATCGCGAGGAGTTGAAGGCCCTGCATGCGTATTTGACTGCGGATAAGGCCGTGAAGACGACGGCGAGAGATGCGATTCAGGATTTGAGATTGTTTCAGACCATCTTTGAGCAGTATGATCGACAGTGTGGGACTATTCGGACTCCGTTGGGTTGATTTATTATTCGGTTTTCTGAGTTGGCAGAGGGAAGAGTGGAAAGATTGCTATTGCGTCTGCTAGGCTGGGATGGGATGAATGGGGGGCGTTAATCAAGCCGGGATCTCTTTTTTACTAATCAACTCGAGCATCATGCTTGCTCTTCTATTAATGACAAGGTGTCTAGTGGGATGAAGTTAGGTCAAGGGACGGGTAATATGTGTATCATGCATATCGTTGATTAAAAGAGGGCTCAGATTGCTTTCACGATGGATGTTCGAGAGAGAGGCCGTTCACTCATCAGCGTGTGCTCTATCTAGCTACAACCCGAGAATATCAAATATCATTCACATGCTTCGTTTCGCAACATGCAACAACAACTACATTGGTATCCTGCCAGCAAATGCGATGCAAGAAACGGGGAAAGATGAGAAAGAAAGAAAAGCGGCGGTTATCTAACTGCATCTACCGCTTGCCCTTCTTCTTATTCTTCTTCGAGCTGCCACCACCACCTCCTTGAGCCTTCTGAGTGGGAGGAGCCGGGGACTCTTCAGCCTTCTCGTTCACCACACCACCCTGTGTCCGCTCCGCAGCGCGCTGCTTACCCTTGCGGCCCTTGGGGCGGTACGAAGACCGATCGCGAAGAGGCAGCCAACGCTCTGGGTCGGGAGTCTTGCTGGGGTCGTAATCCTTGGGCAGACGGTCCTTGCGAACACGCTTGGTTGCGCGATCTTCCTTATCCTTGGCGCTTCTCTTCCGCGCGCCGGCCATGGCTGCGGCGGCGGCGGCGTTGGCCGCGGAGGAGGGGGAGATGCCGGCATTTTCGAGGGAGGCGATGTTGACGCCTGAGATCAGGTCGGCGACGGAGGGGAGAGTGTCGACCTGTGCTTCTACCTTGGAGTAGTCGAGCGTTGCCTGGGAGGCGACGTAGCCGGCTACGGCGAACTGGTCGGTCGTGTCTTTCTGGTAGAGAGACTTGAAAAGGTCGCCCGCTTTGGCTAGGTCGGAGCGATCGGAGGAATGCAGGAGGGATGCTCCTGCGGCGCGGAGCAGGGAGGCTGGTGGTTCGGCGGCTTGGGCCTGCCAGTATGTTGCGGCTTTGGCGAGTTCGGTCCGGATTTGGACTTTACGGCCCTCCAACTTGTAGAGGGATACGAGGATGCTCAAGAGGCCGGGATTGAAGCGGACTGCTTTGTCTTGCTCGGAGATGGACTCGTCAAGCAGTTGCAGGGTCCGCTCTAGAGTTGTGATCGCGGACGTCGTGTTGCCCGCACCCACGTAGAGCTGGACGGCTGTGAGGGCGAGGCCAAGGTCCTTGGGCCGTTTGTCGAGCGCAGATAGTATCCGCTTCAAGGCCTTGGTGCCTGTTTCTCCGCGTGCGTGAGCGGCAGCGTTGTAGACTGATAGCAGATTGGCACGAGGTTCCGTCGAGGGGTAGGCAGCTTGAGCGAGCGCCTTGGAGGTGGAGCGGATAATGCCATCGTATTTCTGAACGAGGAGGTCTGCCGCATATGAGTTCCCCGTCGCGAGGTTATCCTGGTATTCGAAGAGCTTGTCGCTGTCGGTGGAATCGGGGATCTCGTGAAGAGCCTTGTATAGAGCGAAGGGATTGGTAGTGGTCGTGCCACGGGCAAGCGTGATGTTGGTCTGCGCGATCTTCTTCGTCGAGAGCTCAGGGATACTATCAAATTTTGTGAGCTTCAGACGTTCAAGGTCAACCAGGTTTTGTGACAACCATACTCGCTAACGGAAATTTCCTCCAGAACAGACTGTGCTTCCTCCGACTTCCCTTGGCGAAGCAAGACGTACAACTGCTGCACGGCAATCGGGAGCAGCTCTGCAGCCCGATCTTCAGGGGTGAGGTCCTCCGACGTCCGACAGAGCTCTGTGTGAAGCTAATCAGCTACCATTCTTGTGCGCCATCCGGGGTTGACCACACGAACCTTTAGCCCGAGTCAATAGAACTTGCCCCTGCTGGAACTCGCCCTTGGCGATACTCAAGCAAGCTGCGTTATAGACAGTCTCGAACGCCTCTAGATCATCCCGCATCGGCCTGTTATGGCGTACAAACTGGGGGTAGCCCTTCCACTGCAGCTGTGCATCCGTGGCCCATGAGTTGGTGCGCAAGTCGTTCTCTTCGTTCGACAGGGACGCATCGCCTTTGGACAATTCTTCGTAAATCTCGGCAGCGCGACGGAATTTCTCTGAACGGTAGCTCTTTAAGGAAGATGAGAGTTAGGATGAGCGGACAGACTATGACAGAAGATGTCTGGGAGTAGATATGCTTATGGGAAGCAATAACGTACGGCTTGAGCCTCCAAATGTAGTGCGCCCCTCTCACCAGCGACGCGAGATACCACCTCAATCGCCGGGTCCAGCTGACCGCATTTATATAGAGCGTAGGCGTATTCCAGAGCTGCTCTCTTCTTCAGACCATCACCGGCTTCTTCGAATACTCGCAGGCAGTCCTCATAGCGGTCAAGCTTCAGCAGAGCAACTGCCTTGATATGCTGAGCATGCAAGTCCGACTTCGACTTGGCCAACGCGGCATTGCATGACTGCAGGACTTCCTCGTGGTCGTCAATGGATGCTCGTTGCAGCAACGAGCTCAGCGACTGGGCAGCCATAGCGGAGTGTGTCAATTGGCGGAACGCGGAGCGGGATGAGGGCCCGAAGAGGGCTCGGAGATAAGTGAAATTAGATTAAGTATCGAGTCACAAATAGGGACACATGAAATGAGAGAGTAGTGAAGCCGAGGGTTTAGTCTGGTTGAGGATGATCAGGCAAGTGGCCTCCGCTGGAAGCCATGTGTGCGGGATCGAGATATTTCCCCATTGGGGAACTCTGCACAAGTGGGCGGGGCGCTCCCCGTAGTCCCCCGGCTCGCCATGTGACTTGTGGCCATAGTACGAATGAAATAATTGTGCAGTGATCGGGGGGTTCTTGACTGATCTAATGTCAACCCTGTTGTGCAACAACAATTCCCAGTACATGGTCTAGACTACCGGGTTGTTCTGCCTACTTTACATCTCATGCCCCTTACTCATGGCGCCACGGCGTTGCTTTTGATTATTCTTGTCTGGGCAATGTTGCATGCAACCATGCAGGGCAGATTACACCAAAAAAGCAACCAGACAATTCTTGACGATAAGCTGTTCAGTTGGGACAATAAGATAGTTCAGTTTCGTCGTGATGAACCCAAGACATGCAGAGCCGATGCATAAATAGTGTTTGTCTTCCTTCATCCCACCACAATTTATCCGTGTAAGGCGGTACGAGGTCATGCACGCAATATGACCCATGCTTAGACTTGACTAGTGGTGTTAATTAGCTTTGGTCACATCTATAATTATCACTGCCCGATTGGAAGAAATAGGAACTAGAGACTACATATCATAGCTCGCGAACTCATCCGACGACGAGCGATAATGAGAATCCATCAGCTTCACCGCGATTGGCCATGGGGAAATTAAAGCGACCATCTACATAAGTCAATACTTTGGAGCGAATGCCATGAGACTGCAGTGCCGGAAAAAGGCTATGACCGCCATTGGCTCGCAAAGGAAGAGAATAATTCCCTGATGGAGTCGACGCGTGGTCACTGGAAGGGATAACGACTTGTCATCTTATCAAAAACTTCTTGACATGTCGTGCCAGAGACAGTATTAGCAGAAGCATGCCTTTTTGTGCTTTCGAGACGAGAACATATGCACACATGCACCACTTGTTGGTCAGTTCGCCAACCCGCAGCAGCGCTTTTCTCCCTATGCAACTGGTTGGCGACACAAACACACTACCGACCAGATAAGTAAGTCGATAAGCCCATCATGAGACGCACTGCCAAGCGATTCGCCTGCGGCCGTCGTCATCAAGCCCTCGCCCCGCTGTCCGGTTGGACCATCGCCCCCAAGTGGAATGCGCGTCAATCAACGGGCGGTTGTACCATCCACCAGCTGCTGCGGCGACGGTGGCTGTCCCGCGGATGTCTAGGCTAGGGCAATCAAATCGACCAACCAATATTCTATGGAAAGTTGTACCGTGTAGGTTCCGTTACTACCGTAGATGTTAACCACCTGGCTGGCGGCGTCTTTTGCCATCGGAAGCGAGAATGCGACCGCGCCATGAGCCATGGCGATGGGGGAACTGGTACAGGGTAAACCACTAAGCCGGACCCCTAACGCAACCCTGGGGAGAGTGTCACCGTCCATCGCTGGAGACATTGGAGACGAAAGCATCAGACTAAAATCTCCTAGAGCGTGTTTGAATGGCCGATCGAGGGCCCCCAGTGGACACCCAGCAGGCGTGCCCTGACGGCCAGACCGGCTCTTATTCGACCAAGCATCGTAGACTCCATCCGTGGCTTCCAGCGTCCCATCTTCCCAAAGTCCAGGGCATGGCCGATCCCTGGCTTGTCGCCAGTCTCCGCCAGGTCAGATCCGACCAATTTCGAGCCGTGCAAGTGCTTGTTTCTTGTGTTCCTTGTCGCCGTGCTGCTTTGGAGCCCCGTTGATCGCCTATCAGCCTTCCCTTTCAACCTTGGCTCCATTGACGTTGTCGCTTGCCCGCTGACCTTCGTCATTCTTTCCGCGTTCTTCTTTCCTCCATCCGTTGGGGTCCAGAGATCGTCTGCTGTTCATTTTATCCTCTGGATTTTCCTCTCCACGTTTCCTTCCTTCCCCCCTTCTTCGCTGCCAATCTTCCCTCCTTTACTCCTCCAGTGTCCGGCCCTCCCCTCCTTCCCCCGGTACTCACACCCCCCTTTGCCCCCTCCTACCGGAAGATTCGAGATGGTTTTGCACTGTTAGTGCGATCATTCTGATAATCTCGTCCTACGCCATCCATCCATCTACCGATTATACCTGAAAGAAGTGGAAAATCGAGAATGTGGGCAAAAACTGCGGACAAGCCGCGGTCATCGATGGGGAAGAGAAAGCTGCTGCGGTTTGTCGTCATCAGCTGCCTCGTTACCAGCTTCACCATCTTCCTTTGGCCCCGTCTAGAATCCCCGCGCGTGACCACAGAAACCGTCTCCAACATTACCATCACATCCGACGTTGGCTGCGAACCGGACTATGAAGCTCTCCGCCGCTTAAATGTCCAGAAACTGACCCAATACGTGCGACGCGAAGTAGTCGCCTCTGAATCCCCCAGCAATATCTTGCCCCTGTCACAACATCTCCAAGTTCCCTTATTTCCGCAAAAGTCCCATGGCGACCAACTTCATCTACCGGAGGAGCTCATGCATGAGGACTGCTTAATACCACACCCGGTGGCGCTCCAAGTCCCGACACCCCCCAGACATGCGGATGCATCCCACATCGACTTTGGTGTCGCTACAGCAATAGAACGGCTGAATGACTCCTTGGACGCGTTTTCTCATTGGGCGGGTTACACCAATGCTCACATCTTTGCCTTGGTTGAGCCCGATGAGAGGGCACACGAGGTGTTGCTAAAGGCCGATGCGCTTGGAATAAATCTCTCAATATCGGAGTCGAGTGAAGAGTACCAACGCCGATACTTTTCGCTGGTCCCTCATCTGGCCAAGAATATGCGTCCTGAAACAAGATGGTCGTGCGTCATGGACGACGATACTTTCTTCCTCTCGATGCCAGAGCTCGTGAAAGGGCTTAAGGAGTATGATGATACGAAACCTATGTATGTCGGTGGGCTGTCTGAAAGCATCCCACAGGTCGGAGTTTTCGGGTTGATGGGATTCGGAGGCGCTGGCGTCTTCTTGTCCCGGCCTCTGATCCAAGAATTGAGCCGGCCGGAAGTATTCGAGGACTGCCAGAGAATGGATGTAACCGGCGACCGCAGAATTTCCCTTTGCATCTACCAGTACACCGATGTTCGTTTAACCATCGACCACCGCCTGCACCAGCTTGATATGATGGGCGATGTGTCCGGGTTTTTCGAGGCGGAACGACAACCGCCGCTGTCAGTGCATCACTGGAAGTCTTGGTTCCACGCAGACATGGCCAAAGCCAGCGCTGTTACCGAAATTTGCGGTGATTCATGTCTCCTGCGGAAATGGCACTTTGGAGACGGCTGGATACTCACCAACGGCTTCTCGGTGGTGAAGTATAGCAGCGAGAAAAAGCCAGGCGACAGAAGCATGGAGCTCACGTGGGACAGCCACAACGGTGCAGTTTTCGAGTCATACCTGCATGAGCTGGGTCCTCTCCGCTTAAAGGACGAGGGGAAGATCAGCTACCTGCATGAGGACGCCATCATTGACGGAAACCGCGTCCGTCAATGGTACGTCCACCGTGACCCAGAGAAAGGTGATCAAATTCTAGAGTTGATCTGGCGGACAGCCTAAGATTGGCCGCCTGTCTGCATTGCGCGTCTACCATTTGCGCAATCCCTCCCATTCCCCTCCGCCCTCATATTTTCGCCTTCCACCACCATCAAAATCACCTGTACTGCTTCTTCAAGCTACAGGTTCTATCTCATGTCCACCCCCCCCGACTTGCTCACTCATATATGAAGAGGGATATTCCTTTCACTCCCTCTTCTACGCTAGCCACGTTTATAATTTTGCTTCTTTCTTACGGCGCATAGATCATGAAACTTGACTTGATTGTTTAGCTTGGGATGATATCAGATTCGTGCGCGATACAGGTACATAGTCTTGGGTTTCTTACATTCTTACACTTTCATACCAATTGTACATTTATTCTCGGATGGACCCGGTTGTGTTGCTTTGTATAGCGCAGTTAGACTGAAATAAAGAAAGATTCCACAAAAAATTAATGCTACCTTTTCAGAATAACAGAAGTGTGATGGCTGAATAGTCCAATGCAATGCATGGTGGCTCAGCTAATATTCGACCACGATCGGTAATCATATAAGATAGTCTCATCACCTATATACATGCTTTATTACATACAGTTCACCTTCATGCCGTATACATTGCCACATAGTCTCCGGATAAATGGTATCATAACATAAGCAAAGTCGTAACAAACGCGGATTAATGCTAGCATCGTCATCGTCGTAGTTGCCTTCCTAGTTCAAAAGATTATTTTCCGGGAATTGCACCTGTGGAGTTGGTAAGAGCTGCGATAGCGGCTCCATTAATGCTGCTTCTTGTTCATGAGGGTCAGGATTCTCCGGGACAGAAACCACGGCGAGCCCCGTTTCCTCTTCCCATGTGGAAGCAGTGGATAATGGAGGGAGGAAGTTGCCCATCGACGTGGGGGAGGTAAAGTCCAGGGCGCCTTTGCATCGCTCCAACAATGAAGGAAAGAGGTAGGACTGAGAGCCGCGGATGCGTGATAAGGTGGTAAGAATGCCCCAAAGGAGTTCGCGAGGATCGACGGCCGCTTCAGTAAGGCGGTGCGCAGCTTTGGAGTTGAGTGATCGTGCCACGTCTGCAACTGAGGAACCCAGGTCGAATAATTTTTGTTCCTGTTATGTTGTTAGTAAATGGTATTGGCATGTGCTGCGCCGGAACTAAGATACTGACCATGCCAATGCCGTGAACATCAACAGCTCCCTGGGATGCAGCACCAATAACATTCATAACGGCTTTTCCGACAAGAACGGGGAGATGAAAGGGAAGAACCGCCTCATCGCGAGATCCAGGCTGAGTAGCACGAGTCATAGAAAGTTTCCACATTACTGTCTGTAGCCATTGCTGGGTGATGAGTATGTCGACCTTTTGAATCTCCGAGACTCCGTCGACCGAAATTGCGTTGCAGAGACTAGACTGAATAGCAGATGTAGGGGGCATCTCGGACGAGCCGTCCATGCCTCCCGCAGAGACCCAGTCATAAAGGTTGACGGTCAGTTTCTCAAAGATGCTAATAAGATTGATGAAACCGTAGGCCAAGATAGGATCTTCGGAGCAAAGTACTTGAGGCTTGCGGATTGAATTACGCAGCATTACCGGTTTCGATTGTTGAAGTGCGTAGCCCCTGATTCACATTAGTCGAAAAATGGGCAATGCTTTCATAGGATGCACCTACCTTTCGGTGACAAACAGTAGCCAAAACACCCTGCGTCGTTCCTCTGCTTCTTCGGTACTCAGATCCACATAACTTGACTCTCGGTGGAGTGCCAGCGTGAAGACCATGGATGTTGCCTGACAAAGGTAGAACCAGGCATGGTCCTGTTTGTCCAGGTTACCATACGAAGCAAACAGGAAGAAAGACGTAAGAAGGCTTTCTATGTTCATGCCGTCTACTGGGTCGCAATCCTTCCTTGCGCGTACTGCTTCAGCCAGCAACTCTTCGCCGGACATCCAGGAATGCCCGTCAATCCCGGCTTGAAGGTGTGAAGGTTCTGGGACAGATGCTGTGCCATCTAGTTTCAGCTGGATGTGTGTGGCTGCGCATAGGGCGACAAGAAAGGCATATCGTTGGGGCGATAACCGTTCAGGCTGGTGGCAATCTTGTTGAAGCTCCTCCTTCCGCACCACAGGCATGATGGGGAACAGATATTTTAGATAAACATTCACATGAGCAAGTAGCACCGGAGCAGACAGGCGTCGTGCATAAGGGCGCACTAGTGCCATACTAGAGTCTGACAATGAATTGGTTGAGTCGGGTGAGGAGACTAGCTCTGGCGGAGGAAACTGAGAGAACGGCTCGGGAGCGTCATGGGGTAAGTATTGAGGGTCTGCCACTGTGAAAGAAGGCGACATTAGTGAGCTTAACGGATAGCCCACTCCATCTGCAGTCCATTGCTTGTTTAACGGATTTTGTGACGAATTCTGTTGGTATGTATTCTGTTGTCGTGATACCAGGGGATGAATGGGCGCAAGTGGATATAAGGTGCGGAACTTGGGGCCTTTGCGCCGGAGCACATCACTGTAGGAACAAGAAAGAAGAAGGCGTCGACACTTATCGCAGGGAAGCTCTCTCGAGCACTTGATCTTACGCCGACGACAGTTGTCGCAGGCTTGCTTGGAGGCCTTTTGTTTGGTAGGGGAAGGATGAGAGTCCATTTGTATGCGGAGACAAGTGTGACTCCCGTCAGAACTTAGCAGTAGCAGCGGCAGTGGAGCGAGACTCTGGAGACTTCATTGTATTTTGAGAAATAACGATACTCGTGAGACAAGTTTCGGTGGTCAAGATGGCCACAAGGTGAGCAGTCACCGAAAATCATGCGATTGCTAAAGGAGGGGAGACCAAAGGAGAGAAATCTGGGGAAGGGCGGCGGGTAAGCGACACCGTGAGAAAGTCGGCACCTCCAGGCTACCCGGACCCCGCGGTATGAGCCACCTCCATTAACCTGCTACGACTGGCCTGTTCATTTCGGCCCGTTGCTCGAGCCAAAGGGGGTATCACCTCGACTGGAGCTACTAGTCTTTTAGTCCCAGGATGGCTTCCTGGTTTAGCAGGTGGACCCTCCGCCCGAGCCATGACGCGGGTCAGGTATACTCCAGACAGGAGGCCGAAGCCATGTCCTTCAAGTGCGAGAGAAGCGTAGGCTGAACCATGATATGTCACGGAGCCATCATCACAGATATTGCCTCGGTATATCCGGTAGACGACTCGAATCATTTAGAGACTCTTTGCGTGTACGTGGTGTGGGCATGCCATGAGTTGTTGGGCCGGCCTGAAGGATCCATCATTGGGACCAAGGGCATCATCCATGCGCTACGGAGTACTTTCGGAGAATCAGCACCCCTGCACAAAGCATTGTCAATGTGTTTTCTTATGTCAAAAGCTGACAGAGTCTGAGGCTCGCTGACGATGGGATTCATGCTAATGACGGTCCGAAAGAGCTTTCACGTAACACTGGTGAACATCCCACTCGGGAAGCCGAGACTTGTGACCTACTTAGTCAAATGAGATGATTATCAAAGCCATTAAATGCCTCGCTGTCAGGGGCCCTGGTAAGTGTCTTCATTAATCGAAACCCATCTTCATTCGTCCCCGCCTTCAGTGCTCATCATTTTAGGTTTAGAAGCAAGATTGAGTGCCACCTGCTTTACAAACCAGCATGGGTAGTCTGCTGTTGAAATTCTTCACCGGGAGCATTCTGGGGAAGGTGCAAAAGGCGGCGCGAAGTGGTCGGGTCGCGATTGTAGTCTGGATTGGAGCACAAGAATCGTCAGAGCCGAAGCCCGAACTGAGGGGGTCTCGGTCATTTATCGGGATGAGAGCCAATCAGCGTGCGCTCATCATCTGATCGTCTGGCTGCCAGGCCCCTCAGGCATCAATACGGTACTCGGCAGTATCCACTCCCGTTTCTCCGGTGCAACAAATCATCGTTGGAGAATCCCCAGCTCCCCCGCCAACTGGGGTCGATGCTTCTCCAGTTGTCCTGGTTTCTCCCATGAACTCGCTTACGATAAGCTGCTGTACCAGCCCACCAGCACAACAATATCTTCAATCAGGTAGGTGCTTGTTCGTTACCTGCCCCATCCTCTCCTCTTCTTCGGTCATTATGAACTCAATTCGGTCGCTAGCTTTGCCGATTCTCCGCAGTCCATAAAAATATATCTGCATTTGCCCCTTACACGTCGGGAATTCACCGGCGCAATGAGCCTTCGGGTATGGTCGCACAGCGTCATGTCAATAGGAGGCTGCTCCTAGTGGTGATCTACTAGTCGCCTCAACACAGCAATATATAAATAACAAGAGCATTCCTTGAGCACATCTGGGTAATAGCTGTTCCATTCTCATCAAGGATTACGCGACCGTGCCTCGAGCCTCCTTAAGCGAGCCATGGTGAAGTTGACGCATCTCCTTGCCAGAGCATGGCTTGTCCCTCTGGCTTATGGAGCGAGCCAGTCACTCTTATCCACCACTGCCCCTTCGCAGCCGCAGTTTACCATTCCTGCTTCCGCAGATGTCGGTGCGCAGCTGATTGCCAACATCGATGATCCTCAGGCTGCCGACGCGCAGTCGGTTTGTCCGGGCTACAAGGCTTCAAAAGTGCAGCACAATTCACGTGGATTCACTGCCAGTCTTCAGCTCGCGGGCAGGCCATGTAACGTATACGGCACAGATGTTGAGTCCTTGACACTGTCTGTGGAGTACCAGGATTCGGATCGACTGAATATTCAGATTCTCCCCACTCATGTTGACTCCACAAACGCTTCTTGGTACTTTCTTTCGGAAAACCTGGTCCCCAGACCCAAGGCTTCCCTCAATGCATCTGTATCCCAGAGCGACCTTTTTGTGTCATGGTCAAATGAGCCGTCGTTCAATTTCAAGGTGATCCGAAAGGCTACAGGCGACGCGCTTTTCAGTACAGAAGGCACTGTGCTCGTATATGAGAATCAGTTCATCGAATTTGTGACCGCGCTCCCTGAAGAATATAACTTGTATGGCCTTGGGGAGCATATCACGCAATTCCGCCTCCAGAGAAATGCTAATCTGACCATATATCCTTCGGATGATGGAACACCTATTGACCAGTGAGTACTGATATCCCGCCCGTATCTTCTGGTTCTACTCTTGAAACTTACTCGTCCTAGAAACCTCTACGGCCAACATCCCTTCTATCTGGATACAAGATATTACAAAGGAGATAGGCAGAATGGGTCTTATATTCCCGTCAAAAGCAGCGAGGCTGATGCCTCGCAAGATTATATCTCCCTCTCTCATGGCGTGTTTCTGAGGAACTCTCATGGACTTGAGATACTCCTCCGGTCTCAAAAATTGATCTGGCGGACCCTAGGTGGAGGAATCGATCTCACCTTCTACTCAGGCCCCGCCCCGGCCGATGTTACCAGGCAATATCTTACCAGCACTGTGGGATTACCGGCCATGCAGCAATACAACACTCTTGGATTCCACCAATGTCGTTGGGGCTACAACAACTGGTCGGATCTGGCGGACGTTGTTGCGAACTTTGAGAAGTTTGAGATCCCGTTGGAATATATCTGGTGCGTATTGTACTGGTTTATGGTATCTCAAAACAGTCTAACAGGCACTTAGGACCGATATTGACTACATGCACGGATATCGCAACTTTGACAACGATCAACATCGCTTTTCCTACAGTGAGGGCGATGAATTTCTCAGCAAGCTACATGAGAGTGGACGCTACTATGTACCCATTGTTGATGCGGCGCTCTACATTCCTAATCCCGAAAATGCCTCTGATGCGTAAGTGTCTAGTGACAAATTATATTACTGCCTGTATGCTAATTAGCGATACAGATACGCTACGTATGACAGAGGAGCTGCGGACGACGTCTTCCTCAAGAATCCCGATGGTAGCCTCTATATTGGAGCCGTTTGGCCAGGATATACAGTCTTCCCCGATTGGCATCATCCCAAGGCAGTTGACTTCTGGGCTAACGAGCTTGTTATCTGGTCGAAGAAAGTGGCGTTCGATGGTGTGTGGTACGACATGTCTGAAGTTTCATCCTTCTGTGTCGGGAGCTGTGGCACAGGTAACCTGACTCTGAACCCGGCACACCCATCGTTTCTTCTCCCCGGTGAGCCTGGTGATATCATATATGATTACCCAGAGGCTTTCAATATCACCAACGCTACAGAGGCGGCGTCAGCTTCGGCGGGAGCTTCCAGTCAGGCTGCAGCAACCGCGACCACCACGTCGACTTCGGTATCATATCTGCGGACAACGCCCACGCCTGGTGTCCGCAATGTTGAGCACCCACCCTATGTGATCAACCATGACCAAGAAGGCCATGATCTCAGTGTCCATGCGGTGTCGCCGAATGCAACGCATGTTGATGGTGTTGAGGAGTATGATGTGCACGGTCTCTACGGACATCAAGGATTGAACGCTACCTACCAAGGTCTGCTTGAGGTCTGGTCTCATAAGCGGCGGCCATTTATTATTGGCCGCTCAACCTTCGCTGGCTCTGGCAAATGGGCAGGCCACTGGGGCGGCGACAACTATTCCAAATGGTGGTCCATGTACTACTCCATCTCGCAAGCCCTCTCCTTCTCACTTTTCGGCATTCCGATGTTTGGTGCGGACACCTGTGGGTTTAACGGAAACTCCGATGAGGAGCTCTGCAACCGATGGATGCAACTGTCCGCATTCTTCCCATTCTACCGAAACCACAATGAGCTCTCCACAATCCCACAGGAGCCTTATCGGTGGGCTTCTGTTATTGAAGCAACCAAGTCCGCCATGAGAATTCGGTACGCCATCCTACCTTACTTTTATACGTTGTTTGACCTGGCCCACACCACGGGCTCCACTGTAATGCGCGCACTTTCCTGGGAATTCCCTAATGACCCAACATTGGCTGCGGTTGAGACTCAATTCATGGTTGGGCCGGCCATCATGGTGGTCCCGGTATTGGAGCCTCTGGTCAATACGGTCAAGGGCGTATTCCCAGGAGTTGGACATGGCGAAGTGTGGTACGATTGGTACACCCAGGCTGCAGTTGATGCGAAGCCCGGGGTCAACACGACCATTTCGGCACCATTGGGCCACATCCCAGTTTATGTACGAGGTGGAAACATCTTGCCGATGCAAGAGCCGGCATTGACCACTCGTGAAGCCCGGCAAACCCCGTGGGCTTTGCTAGCTGCACTAGGAAGCAATGGAACCGCGTCGGGGCAGCTCTATCTCGATGATGGAGAGAGCATCTACCCCAATGCCACCCTCCATGTGGACTTCACGGCATCGCGGTCAAGCCTGCGCTCGTCGGCTCAAGGAAGATGGAAAGAGAGGAACCCGCTTGCTAATGTGACGGTGCTCGGAGTGAACAAGGAGCCCTCTGCGGTGACCCTGAATGGACAGGCCGTATTTCCCGGGTCTGTCACGTACAATTCTACGTCCCAGGTTCTCTTTGTTGGGGGGCTGCAAAACTTGACGAAGGGCGGCGCATGGGCGGAAAACTGGGTATTGGAATGGTAGTGTCAGCCACAAGCCAGGTGTGCGCGTACAGCATGCAACATGGGAACGATGCTCTGCAATGTAGCTCTTTGGTTATAATTCAAAATTCAACTTCCACCTTTGTTTCACCGGCGGCCACGGCATTCCTGCATGACTAACGTTCTGTAA